GCGTAAATATTTGAGGGGTGTATAAAAGCCCTATGTTTATGGTGCTAGAGACAAAGAGTTATATTTTCCGATACATATCCGTACCATCCCCAATTTATAGAGTGATATATGTCACTGCTATCTTATAAACGCAATACTATTGTTTATCTTCATTGTCATAGATTATACGTAGGAAAGTTTATATGTAGCAATAGGAAATATGCGTGTGATTTAAACGTGAAATATTTTTTATAATCTTTGTTGCTTTTGAATTAAAAGCCTATAAAATAAGCCTAAAATAAAAATTACGCATATTCCATATCGACTTTCATTTCTTTCACAAAGTTTAGTATTATATTAGCCTAAAGCAATTTTATTAAAGAGTGGCAAAAATAAACAAGGCGTTGCCCATCGCCAAAATGGAGAACGAGCGTTATACCCAAACTCAGTCAAATATGAAAAATTCAACTATAAAGGATATTATATCTTTCGTGCTACCATCTTTTATCTATACATAGTACGCCTAGCGACTACACACGCTGCTGTGTGTCGCTACTAGTGCAACAGATACGGGCGACAATGAGCGTAATAAATAGATTTTATATTGTTTTATCTAATCAGTCGACGTAGTTCGAGCGCCGGTGACGTCACGCTCGTTCGACAGTCAACAAGACGCCCCAACGTCGCCCGCAAACACCCATTACCTCAGCTTTCTTAATTTACTAAAAGTTGAAGAGGCCCAAGATGAGTGATTATGGACCGTGTCATTGAATTTGCTCAGAAACCGCAATTTATTTCGACGTAACACTATTCTTTCCGTATTTGTATGCTAAATCTATTGTATAATTTGCCAGGAAATATGAACCTTGATGGTATATATAAGATATTTTAAGTTTTTATTATGTCCTTTTGTAATACATTACATACATTGTCTGCAGCAATAAAATCAATGAACAATGCTTTAAAATATTCCCAATCTTTTTTTAAAGTAATAAATGATACGATGTAATATTTCTAATGAAGTTTTTTTTATAATCACTCATTACATAACGTTATAACATTAAAATACACTCCAAGTAATGGCACCTCCATTTTCACAGAGTATTTATTATCAATGTACTAGCGACTTACCATCGCTTCACTCAGGTTCGGCCCTAGGTACGTTTTAATTATTAGAATGAAGTAGATAGATACTGTGAAAAACAAAAACAAGTCCATCTCACGGGACCGTACATTTTTTCGGGATAAAGAGTAACCTATGTACTATTCCAGACTATAATCTATCTGTGTTCCAAACATCCAGACCGGTTCAGACGTTCTGGCGTGATTGAGTAACAAACATACAAACATCCATCCATCCAAACTTTCGCATTTAGAATGTTTATTTTATAATGGGATTACGTATAATTAATACGTTTTGGCGAAGGACTTGCATAGTTCGACGGTCGCAGAATATACACTACAGCCAGCGTTTAATTAGGACAGGTGTAGTGAAGTGGTCGGAATATTACTTGATCAATATGCAAATCCGAATCGAGTTGTGCCGGCCTTGGCTTATATCTGACCTCAACACCCGCTACTTTTTCATTCTACGCGAATTTTTTTTATTCACAGTGAACGAGTTAAATTACAATAAATGATTAGAGTGGACGTTATTCAGCATTTATAATACTATAATTTAAATATATAAAAAAAGTAGATAGCAATATTTCCTGTTCAAAAAACTCGACGATAATATGTACATAAGCTGATAAATTACTTGGCACATAATCATGAACCAATATATTGAAACACAAAAAAATATTTGTATATTACCTACCTGTAACTGACATTATTAATTGTTCTACTAAAGAAAGCGTTGTTTTCATAATTTCAACTTTTATTACGCTGTAATTGTTTTTGTTCTACAAAAACTTAATGACCGCTCGGCTTAGAGGCGACTGATGGTAGATGTTGGTTAGATTTTCCACATAAGCTACGATCTGGTTTAAACAAACCAGTATTAATAACCACACAATGTGAAAAATTAAAAAAATATTGACAAGTGAAGCAAGATATTATTACTTTTCCTTGTCCATGGTGCCACTCCCATACAAAACGTAGTCATTTCACGAACGCTCTTTGCCTGGTTTTCGTTTTCTACTTTTTCTACAACGAAAAAAATATTTGTATGGTTAATACAAAATCAGCTTTGCACAGGACTCAAACCAGTAATGTCCGACGTTATAGACAGTCACCTAATTTATATACCTATAATAATTCAGCTCATTGCTAGACATTTCTTCAATCTTCCCACAATGCGAGGATTAAGGCCATGCTCGCCAAGTGCGGGTTACTTACGGTGCACGTTGGTCGGTATAAGTTGACACATGCTTCGAGAACTAGAAAAGTTCTATAAGACATACACGTTTCCTTACGATCTTTTCGATCACCGTATTGGCAAATAGTAACAACGTAGATGATTCGAACATACACATATGAAAATATAAGAGTTGCGAGACCAGAGTTTGAACCAGTTTCACTTGTTTTTCCAGCGAACGCGTTTAATACTAGTTTGTTTAGGTATTCAGCCTTTTTTAACGTCTTACTGCTGGGTACAGACCTCCCAAGACGAGGGCATCAGGATGTAGTCCACCACGCTGGCCAACTGCGGGTTGGCAGACTTGTCTTTTGATTTGCTAGGTTCTCAGACATGTAGATCTGCTCACGATGTTTTCCTTCACCGTAATACAAGTAGTAATTATATTGAAAATGATTCACACAAGATCGTAGTGCCCGGGATTTGAATCGGTTTCACTAGGTTTCCCAAGCGAGCGCATTACCACTGGGCTACCATTGCCTTTTCTATTACTTACTACCACTTTACAATATGTAAATTATTTATACATATCTCCTTGAATAATTTATTCCTACAAATTTGGTAGCTTATACGGTCATATACAAGGTTGTCCATTAATGTGTATTATAAGGAAAAAATGCTTGCAAAACATTTCGTCGCATCTGCGTCGCCTCTCTCCATATACGTACAGAGGAGTAAGTGCCATGGTATGTGACGTAATACACGTAATATGTGTAATCGCGTCTCGTAAGCTACATTACTGATACAAGGCTGCATTGCATTTTATTTCCATGAGATAATAGTGAACTAAACTTTTGAAGTGCATATTTATAGAGGTCCATAGTTTTTTATTCCACTAGTAGATATCGTTTTAATTTTTTTTGAGCGGAACATTAATTCTTTTTTTAAATAAAAGTAGCCAAGTTAATCCTTATAGCGTCAGCTATCTACCGGTGAAAGTACCATCAAAATGAGTCTTAAATTTTTTTTAAATATAGATTATTAAGACATTATGTTTCTATAATAAATTCTATAGTGAAAATCAAAGCCCAGTGGTAGCGCGCTCGCTTGGGAAACCCAGTGAAGCGAGTTCAAATCCCGTGTCTCGCACCTCTGATATTTTCATGTCCAAATCGTTTCCAACATGATTACCACTTGTCTTAGCGGTGAAGGAAAACAATCTGCTTGTCTTAAAGACCATAGCAAGTTTTCAAGATATGTGAAGTCCTCCAAACCGCTCTCAAACGCGGTGGACTATGGCCTGATCCCCCTCTTATTCAAGGGAGGCCCGTGCCCAGCAGTGGGACGTTAAAAAGGGCTGAATGCATACACATACATTGAAATTATGAGCTCATAAAAATGTTAATTACATTATATTTGTCCACAATATGAACAAATACAAGGTTAATTTAAAAAATAACCTCCTTTTTATTAAAAACAGTTTTCCAAATCTGTTAATGCATTAAATGTCATTTATTGATATCAATGATCTAACAAGATAAACTACACCAATGACCAATCTGAATGAACGAGTAACCATGACAAGTGTTGACATTTCATAATGGTGACTCACCCTTACACTCTCAGGGCCTATAGTTGAACCATGGGTGTTCCTAGGCGAATTTTTTTGCAACATACCATTCCTATGGGAACTGATTAATATAATAAGATAAAGAGTAGCCAATCATCTTTCGAAAGATAATGTATCTTTCTATAAGAAAAGATATTTGAGGATCAAATCAATAATAGGAGCGTTGACTTCTTACATCTAAACTCATAAACATTACTTCTCAATAAATATTAAGGTAGATAATAGATTTCCAATGAGATTAACATGCATGATGATTTGGATGATCATCAATCAATCAATGATGACACTGTATGACAAGAATATATCTAAAATGTATATCATTGTAACTATAATTTATAAAAATATAAGTGTTTTTAATATAAGTCTAATATTCAATTTTATGAAAATGCAACAAGATTATGGGTGTGGTTCTTAAAATTTTCTTCAATGGAGAAATGATATTTTCTTTGTAACTATAATTCATAAAAATATAAGTGTTTTTCATATAACAGTCTAATATTCAATTTCATGAAAAAGCAAAGAGATTATGGCTGTGGTTCTTAAACTTTCTTCTAAAGAGAAGAATAATAAGAAATTAAATAAATCTAGTTGACAGTCCGTGAGTAAGCTACTACTGGCTCGGAAAAGCAGTTTTGCTGAGAAGAGCCAGTGAGAAATTAATAATAAACACAATATTCTATCATCAGTATGTATATAATAAAAGTATGGTAGTGAGACAGTGAGTCTCACTACCATACTTTTATTCAATGTGCTCTCTGCCAACTTGCTCATGATCTGGCATAAAATGCATAAAATAATTTTAATATATAAATTGATTAATTAATTAAAAAATCTTCATAAAATCAAGTGTTTATTTGAATTTGTATTTAGAGAAATTTCATAAGTGAGAGTAAATTAGTGATCCTACATATTATTAAAAAAAACTAATGTATGTAAAATGTTGTACAATATTAAAAACTTAGTGTGCATATTTAATAACTGTTGATTTTTCTTTAATACTTGAAATTTAGTATAATATTACCCTTCAACCAATATTCATTTTGCAAAAACTTGAATAATAAACTACAGATTATTAATAATGTGTATACATACTTTTGTTTCTTCTTTTTGTTCAATTGAAGAGATAATCCTCCATGATGCCCGGCGGGCACCAATCACATTCTTGTATGCCACCGAGAGGAGGTTCCTCTCTTCAACTGTGAGTTCATTATCTGACACATTTCGTGAGGCTACATTCTTCATCGCCTCCACCATTTCTGTAACAAAATATACATATGTATTACATTGTTCTAAAAAATACTTCATTGAAGATCTGGTTATCATGCTGAGCTCCATTTTCATTTTCAAAATCAGCAATAACAAATTCTTTACCTGTAACTGACGAACAAAACTAACATTTGCAAGAATCATTAATAAAAAGAAATTGTTTTCTGGTGACACTGAATAAAAAATGGACACACCCAAATGAAAAGATTGTCTTAAACATTTAATTTTAGCTAGTGTCACTATTAACTAATATATTTATGTGTCACAAATACATAATTTCTACTAATTATTGGTAAAATTATCACTGTTTTATAAAACATAACAAAAATGTAATGGTCATTCACGAAATTCTGAGTAATGTTGTCATTTTATTCAGTTTCATTGATTTACTTTCACTTTACATTGTATACTATTTTTTTTTCAAATTATCTTTTTGCACATTTACCAAGTAGAGTGAATAAGGAGAAAGCAGTGCACAAAAACATGTAAAGAATAATTTAAATCTTATAATACATTGAGTTTCGGTCACAACTCATAAAAATGTTAAAAAGTTATTATTATTCATAAGAATTAACCCAGTAAAAATGCATTAGGTAAGAAAGTTTTTTTAATTAATGTGTGATTTAGTATTACTGTGTAGAGCACTATTTGCAATTTTTCGAAACGCAGTCAATGACAAATGCACTTGATATAAGAGCGAGATTTCAGTATGAATCATGTGTGTAAAGTGTGAAAGTTTAAGCGAGATTAACCTTTACAAAGAACACTATCGAGATGACAAAAGATAGATTGTGAGATATAAGTCAGAAATATTCACATCTGTAGCGTAGGAACAATAGGTGAAAATCTACTAGACTACAGAGGCTGACCTTTTGGTTTAATATCTAGATTCTAGAACATTCTGAATTTTAAAAGGCTAGATTTATCCAAGGTAGGCTATGCATGAATGAACTCTGTGACATCGATCGAGATTACTACTCCGGGGAAATAGGAACATTTTTTTTACGTTTTCTTGACTAACGTCATTTGTGATAGAAAAAGTCGTAAATGAACGATAAAACAAAAAGAATAATACCTGTATAGGATATAGTTTTAAATAATTTAGCTCCCTTATTCTTTTTATGACACAATATAAGGTAAAGGGCATCCCACCGGCGGATGACGCATCGATCGCTGACCAAGCCTAACGAATGCCATCGATTTAAAGAACTTTCGGCAAAAAACTCATCAAAATGAATGCATTGCATATTTTTTAGGCCATAAAGAGAAGGATCTAAGGGTCCAGGAGGCGAAAGGGTAATGAAAAATTTTGAATTATGAAGAAATCGTCTTTCAACTGTCGGCAAAAACTAGGAACGAATTTAACGACCTAATACCTATGATATACCAAAAATAAGTACTCACCATCATAACGCTCGGCCTGCTCAGCTAACTTAGCTTTATACACATTATCTTCCCTTTCCGACATCGTGGATGACAAATGATTTTTCACTAACTAAAACCGAATCGCCAGGTCACTATTTCACCAAGATGGCCGCGCCCGCCAACCGAATCCAAATTCGATCTTCAACTAAACTCCGCCCATGACGTCATAGAAATGGCAGTTTCCGTTCATTCAATGTTGCTATTGCACGTATCTTTTCTGAAACATCCGTTTTAAGAATGGAAATTTACGTAAATAAAATAAATAGTCTTTGCTACATAATATTAGTTAATATTATATTTTATTACTCTTTAAATTAACTAAATTTATAGCTAATTTATAATATGACTGATGAAGAAATTTGTTGTAACTTATAAAGTAATAGTTGGCTAAGTGCGACAAACCTGGCCAATTATTGTATTTCTACATTAGGTAAAGCTTGTATATTATAAAAGAAGAATAATATAATAATGGCTATTCTCAATTAAGAGTATATTTTAAAATTTATGATCAGTTAAAGTTTTTCTTTAAAATCCGTTTAAACTCGTGTCACCGCGAATCACACGATCGCGAAATAACAGAAGGATAAACAGATGGTCGTGTTCCATCACATGTTTTGTACTATATGTAGGCATGAACTATTGTAAGAATTCCAATATCTAACTTATGTAGATTATATTTTAATCGCATGATTTTTCATTGATGTTCCATAGATTATTTCTAAATACAGTTGCTCAATAATAATCGGAGTACTACTTATCGTAAATATGAAAGTTTGTATGTATATATTTGTAACCAGGGATGTACTCTAGTAAAGCAAGGGTAAATCGTCAGTTTAGTAAATATTTGTAGAAATTACACTACTAATATAAATGCAAAACATTGTATATACATAGTGTGTGTATGTTTGCTACACTGAAATGGCAGCCTAGATATATGTATTATATATAGCAACACATAGGATAATGCCAAAACTCAAAAGTGGCAAAGAATGAAGATTTAAAAGATTAATCGGTAATGTAAAGTTAGGTACCTACGAAAAGGAAAAAATGATACCATCATAGGGATTAAAAGTGATTTGATATTTTTGATAAAACCCACGGCCTCATTAACAAAAAGCTTATTCATTTTGTTAGATTAGCTTTTCTAAAGTAATCTTTGTCGGTTATTCTGCAATGTATACATAATAAAAAAAAAATTACACTAACTCTCAATTTATCAACCAAGAAATGTTTTAAGCTATTGCATAGCTTCTATCGCGGGCCTTCAGCGTGGGGATTGAATCCAGAAATTCCGTAACGAAAAAAACCTGACACCCCCCACTCCGACCGGTACAGCGGTGATACTTTTTAGTTTTTCCATCTATCGATAAATACCAGAACTTTTAATGACTTTTTGAAATATCACGCTTGTCTCTTTAGTTCAGCAACCCGCCTTTACGTGGCATTGGTTGTATTGGAAAACTACCGTAATCAGCTGTTTGTGAGAAAGTATATATAGGTGTATAGGTATTTATCATCTATGTACAACAGTGAATATCTGTACTCGTATAATTTGTGTACAAAGTGTTTTAAATATGAATAAACAAAGTGCATTTATTAATGAAGAAAGTCAAGGAAAAAAACTACTGCATTAATAAAATAAATAAATAATTATAATTGCATAAGTTGATAAAAAATGCTATGCAATAGCTTTACCGCGGCAGTCTCCGAGTGCCACACGTCTTTATATATGTAGCAATATACTCAAAGTGTCCATTTTAATTAGTAGTATCCTACGAAAATTTCTAAATAGTATTCAACTACTTTTAGAGCAATAATTTATTTGTCATCCATGGTATGAACGTGAAACGCTTACTGTTTGCGAGCTTTTCATCGCGGATCTTCACCAATTATTCACAAATATCGTAAAGATTGTGCCATGCCTGATTAATTATGGCAGACACGGTACGGCTCAACAAATATTATTGTTTTGAAATAAAAGTTAGGAAAAGTTAATATTTTACCTATTTGGTTATTATATATTAACTATTTATTTATATAAGCCGGTGACGCGTTAAAAATTATTATTATTAATATATAAAATTTATGGCCCTGCCACACTAACACTTTTTTAATAGATTATACAATCTTACTCGCCAGTAGCGCCAACTGGTGCCGCCAGAAACGATAGCCCACAATGAACTAGAGAAAATTATAAAGTATGACGTTCAATATTTCTAATAAACGCTTATTATTAAATAGCTATAATTAGTTATGATAGTAAAGATAACATTACTATACAACGCTTATAAATATAAGACTTATATATGTAATTATGTAAAAAAATAAATATTGAACGTACTTTATCAATGTCTAATTACTGTCAACTGTCAAAATTCAAATACCTATTCAGCTGTCAGTAGCATGGATGACAAATAAAAGTCAGTAGTCACAAGTTGTTGAAATTCGACGTGTTGCGGCGCTGAGTTACAGCTATTTTTAATAGGTAGAATAATGTTTAGAGAAATCTTCTAAGATTGTTATTTAATAACATCGTAGTCAACGCTTCACGCCAACGTTTTCTTTTCAAATAAAATATATTGCTCTGCGGTGTGCGGTCTGCCTGTATCCACAAGAATGGCGGCCGCGGAAGTAATTGGTAGTGCCGAGTTGAATAATACAAATTCAATGAAAAATAATATAAAACATAATAGAATATATGAACAAACTGTGAATGGGAAAATAAACTATTACAAAAATGGTTATGTTAAATCGACGCCAATTAGCAATGGCGTAAATGTAAGTAGAATTTTATTTATTTTCTATTGGTAATTTCTATTGAGAACTTTCGCTGGTGATTTGACCTCTGAGTGCCCATATTCCTGATGGCAGTCCATTGACCAACACGCTCCACTAGCGCACTGATGATCTGATCAAGTAGAAAGGTGCATTCCTTATTTAATAGGAATATATTGCCAGGGCCACACCAATTATGTTGTTAGTTATGTGGTCGTCAAAAAAATAACCGATCAATGATTATGTTACTTAATTTTTTTTCATTGGTTAAATTATTTAAAAAAATATATGTAATAAAATAAAAATATATTGCAATACTTGTACTTAATTTCAATTTAAATGTAGTATGTTTATTGTATAGAACAATTCTAATTACTTTTAACAATTTTGAATTCATATTAAAAACACCTGCAACACGGTATTAATGAGAATATAACTACTTTTTAGTTTTTACAAGCTGTAAAGTATGTGTTTGTAGTTAATCTGCTTTTACCTTTTCTATGCCTAAAAATAAGCATTTATTTAATCATATATTTTGTGGCATTTATCAAAGTCTGACATTATTAAAAAATATGATGTGCCTATTGTGTTCCACGTTGTGATTTAGTAATATTATTATTAATCAATACCACTAGATCAACATTATTTTTGAAGCTACTATTCACTGGGTTATTTTTTTATTTAATGGAACAAGAACACTATACATTGGGTTTTGTTATGGTTCTCTGTGATAAACAAGCAGACAGCTCACCTGATGGAAAATAAGATGATATCCCTCTTGCCTGTAATTATGCTGACTACCTTATCCTTCAAACTGGAACACAATCTATTCTAATTTGTTATTATATCATCACAAACTTATTCACACGTATGTGTGTTCAAGATTTAAGTTCAATACAAATAAAAAAGCTTTATTGCTGATATAAATTACAATTTTTAGCAGCATGTCCTATTGACACATAGGCCTTGTCCAGCCTCTGCCACTCGTATCTGTCTCTAGACACCCAGATTTCAGGATAGCAGCTAGAACGCTATGGCTCAGGCTGGCCAGAGATTTTTGGGTTTATAATTTATTATATATTAAATACTATTATTTATTGTCATTATTACACAATATAAACATTACAATGCTTGTGGAACACTTTGGCAAATTTTATGCTATGATTAATATAGTCCAATGTAGATTGTAGAGTATTTGTTCACCGTACTTTGTTTTATTGCTTTACAAACTTACTGCTTGACAGATAATGCAGAAAATTAAAGATTATCTTAGAACTGTGCTATTGTGGGTGGTTTATAGTTGGTACTTCACACATAAATTAAAGACTCCATTGACATTTACATAATACTTTACTGTAAAATTTAAAGCATTAACAACAAAAATCATAATAAATCTGTGAATACATGCAAACAGATAGTTTTATTTAAAAAATACATTTACATGTTGAGACAATTTGGAAAAAAGTTGATTGGCACTAAAGCATATTAATTCAGTGTACACTAAATTTTCATTACCATAATATTTTATTATAAAACTTTTTAACAAAAAATAAAATCGACTTCCAAGCACTATGGTATGGTATATTCGGGCTTGTTTCCGCAACTCGACGTTTGTGCGCCTATTTTGCGTGTGTGGGAAATTATTCATGTTACTCTTGCCAACTCAATTGCTCCAGGAACTACAGCAATCTCTTCGTCTTGCTGAAAACCTCTGGGAGTATATACTAGGGATGCCAACGTGTTGAGCACGGTACGCCGCTACACCTGGACAATACAAGATCAAGTAGTCATGTGTAGCCGTTTCATCTGCCCTCATGCATACCTTGCAAAGTTGGCTGTCAGTTATACCTAAATTAAATAGATGTTTATTATATGGTCCGTGGCCTGTTAGGGCCGCGATTATCTGAGTTGAGGTCTATTGAGATTGATGAGATGTTTTGTCATTTTGGCTTTAATGGTAGGAAGCTATTCCTTCGCCTGCCTATAGTCTACAACTTCAATATATTATCGTGTAGTCGTCTTGTGCGTTGTCGTATTTGACCTTTGAGCCAGCAAGAAGGTAGCGATGGGCTCGGGTCCTATTGCTCTCAAGTCCGAACCTTTTCTTGCTAGCTCATCGGCCCTATCGTTGCCCCCATGAGTTACTGTGGCCTTTGATCCATTGTATGGAAACCTCATTACGGTCACTTACATTCCTTACCATTGCGTTATGATATTAATAGATCATACCTGAGGTGGTAGAATTACTATTTAACGCCTGTAGCTCCAGACACTAAAATGTAAAAAATAACTAAACAGAGGTTTTAATTTACAATAGATACCTAATCAGAGCAAATCTAATATATTTCGATACGTAAAATACATCACAATTTGATGTAATATAATTTTAACTATAATTAGAGTTCATACCTTATCATATTTACCTATTAGATATTCATATCTCAAAATATTGTCGGCATGCACCGACTTCGAAAATATCTGATTAGGTATCTATTCTAAATGAAGACCACCGTTTAGTTATTTTTTTCATTTTGGTGTCTGGAAGTTGTTTTTTATTTTTTGTTAAAAAGTTTTTATTTTTCCATTTTTAGTGTAGACGTATTATGCAGGTAATTTGAAAGAAGTAAGTTTTTTAATTAATAACATATTCGATTAAGCAATTTATTTAAAAAATTAATTTATTGTTGATTTTTTAAAAACCGCTCGACCAATTTCGATAAAATTTAAATAGTAGGTAAAAGGAAGTATACCCTTAGAAACACAAAAAAAAAATTCAAATCGGTTCAGGCGTCTTCGAGTAATCGGCGAAGATACAAAAAAAACAGATTCCGACGAATTGAGAACCTTCTCCTTTTTAGAAGTTGGTTAAAAATTATCTATAGGCAGGTAGTACACCAAAATAAAATAAATTGGAAAATTTGAGGTGTGTGATTTTGATTTATTTTTTAGAGGAACTTGTAGAGCTCCGGCTACCCATCCACGGCTTGCCGCCTCCATGCCTGGCATAGTGAATACAGTTAGTACAGCGAGTTGAGCACTGTTGTGCACATTACATTTTATGCATATACACACTCATTTCAATTATTATAATCTTACACTACTAGTTTTTGATCAATTAGATACTTATCCAATTTTATTTCTATAAACCTTGCTTTACTTTTTGTTTGTGTATTTGACTGTATATTTAATCTCTGACTGCCCCGTTACTTTTAGTTGATATGTACGGCTGCACACCGAGTTCCAGGCTGACCCAAGTCAACACAATAACGCTAAGTTTTTGCATGCATGTTATGCTTGTTAAGATGTCGGACCTGAGTGTAATTTGTTATCGGTACTCTCGGAGAGTTAAAAGAACAGAACTTGTGTGCACTTATCTGTGCACACACTTATGAATTATATGATATATTGAACACTCTTATAACGACGAGCGGTGTCCTAATTGAAGTTAAAAAGTTTTTATTGCAATCATCAGGTGGAAATATAAGGGGTGCGAAAATATGTATCGTTCACAGCCAACCTAAAAATACGACATGTTTGTTGATGCCAACTGTAAGTATATCGTTTGTAAAGGATTATACGATTATTAGAACTGAAATAATATACATAGATAAAAAAAACATGTTTATAAATATATGTATGTACATTTTTTTTTCTCTCCAAAAAAATCTCTGCGGTATAAACGGGTATAAACTATAACAAGCCGAGAACTTGTCGTAAAATTCAATAAGCACGTGTATAATGATGATACAGACCAAATTCTCCACGGTACAAACGGGTACAAACGATGAGAAGCCGAGAACTTATTGTAACATTCAATTAGCGTATGTGTAATGATAATAGAAACTAAATTCTCGGCGGTACAAACGGGTACAAACGATGAGAAGCCGAGAACTTATTGTTAAATTCAATTAGCGAGTGTATAATAAAATAGAAACGAAATTCTCGGCGGTACAAACGATGAGAAGTCGAGAACTTATCGTAAAATTCAATTAGCGCGTGTATAAAATGATACAAACCAAATTCTCCACAGTACAAACGGGTACAAACGATGAGAAGCCGAGAATTTATCGTAAAATTCAATTAGCGCGTGAATAATAATGATACAAACCAAATTCTCGGCGGTACAAACGGCTACAAACGGTGAGAAGCCGAGAACTTATTGTAAAATTCAATTAGCATGTGTACCTATACTAATGATAGAAACCAAATTCTCCACAGTACAAACGGGTACAAATGATGAGAAGTCGAGAACTTCTCTTAATATTCAATTAGCGCGTGTATAGTGATGATGCAAACGAAATTCTCGTCGGTCTCTCGTAGAATTATTATACACGCGCTAATTGAATTTTACAATAAGTTCTCGGCTTCTCATCGTTTGTACCCGTTTGTACCGTGGAGTATTTGGTCTGTATCATCATTATACACGTGCTTATTGAATTTTACGACAAGTTCTCGGCTTGTTATAGTTTGTACCCGTTTATACCGCAGAGATTTTTTTGTAGAGAAAAAAAATGTACATACATATATTTATAAACATGATTTTTTTTTATTTATGTATGTTATTTCCTAATAATCGTATAATCCTTTACAAACGATGTACTTCCAGTTGGCATCAACAAACATGTCGTATTTTTAGGTTGGCTGTGAACGATACATATTTTCGCACCCCTATATTTCTCACCCCTTTGACGTACAAACGATTTTAAGTGCGGTACAATCCAGTACAAACAATATGCTTCCAATTGGCATCATAAAAATGTCATATTTTTATGTTGGCTGTGAACCATACATATATTCGAACCCCATATTGCTCACTCCTTTGAGGTACAAACCATTTAAAAAGCGGTACAATCCGGTACAAACGTAGTACAATCGAATAGAATTGATAAAAACTAATTCTTGTTTAGTCAGTTTCTAACTTCACATAGGTTAGTGTTGGTTTAGTGCGCTCATATGATGGGCAATGGGCATACAAATAAGTACGAAAGCGGTAATTGTCGATCGCGATTCGCGAATAATCAAACTGGTTTTGCTAACTTATTAACTTAATTGCCTTATTAAACTTAATTATTTCTTGTCATATAGGTACGATACGTAATATAGTATTTGACATTATTTGTTTTTTATCTTAAACTAGTGACTCACCATCGCTTCGCTCGGATTCGTCCCTAGCTTTCATCCCCATTCTCACCCCCTTAAGGGATGAGTTCTGGGGTAAAAACTATTTCACTAAGTAACTTTTCATATCATAAGATTTAAAAAAAAACCCTTATTTTAGTAAAAAAAAATCTTCTATAAAAACTTACAAAAAAAAAAAGAATTGTCCAATTTCATATATTTCGGTAATTCATTTATATGATGATGTTCTCCCGACCGATTCCAGCCACGGCGGCCAATTTTATTGAGACTAGCCAACTGCGCAGGAGATATTATAGTGCACAAGTTTACGCGCAGACACGAGTGCACTCTCTATTCCTGTCACTCTCATATTCCGGTGGGACGACTGCTCGACACGACCAGTGAGAGTTAAGGCGCAGGACTTTAAGTTATATACATATATAAGATACCCATAGCTAATTTAAACACGAATAAAAACCCAATATTTTTCAGCGGAAAATATACCTATCTTATTGACACCCATCCTTTATTAGACTGAATCCAAACCATTTTATTTTATTAAAAATTTATACAGTTCAAAATATACAATATACATATTCGATTGTGTATATAAAAAAAAAACCACTAGAATATCCTTATTGGATAACGTAATATTAGTTTTCCCTATATAACTTCCAATAAAATTTCCTTATTTTTGTCCTTAAATATTGTTTTCCATCGCTGTAAAGTTTGAAATCATTAATACGAGCAGTCTCAGCTTCACTCGAGGCCCAAGAGAGCGACGGAGCGGTTGAGCGTAAACGAATCGACCCAATTTTTGAAATAATCCAGCAGTGTAGGTAGCAGTGCAGATTTCTCATTTTTATTTTACAACTAAATTATTCTATTTGTGGCTCCTATATCTGTCGCTGGTGCTATTTTATACATAGCAATATTGTATTTTATCGAGGTGTATATTTAGAAGTAATTTATATCGAAGAAAAAAGATATTTATTGTTACATATTCATTTTTTCCAGAATATGTCAATGGATCTCGATGAGAAAGTGCCATGGATGGATTGGTCGCAGTACGACACCTACTCCGGCTCGTTCGAGAAATGTTCCATCCTGACGGCTGCGCTCACCCACGCCGGCATGTACCTGTTGATGTTCCTGGGCTTCGTGAACCAGTTATTATTCAAACCTAAAGCTGCCACGGAAAGGAATAGGGAGGTGAGTCAGTCTGTCACTTGCATTGCTTTAGATATATTGTATGTATACATGTAATGGTACAAGACGTAGAAAATATTGCAATTATATAAATTGTAACATATTATGAATATTTGTATAATTACCTAAAGTATAATTTAGTATATAATGAGATGATATTAAGCACAAAACCTGTTAATTGAAATGAAACTAGTCTTGTAGAATTTTTGTTGCAATTTTTTTTGTAAATATCAATTTTTTGCCCACTCGTCATCCTTAACAACAAGCAGATTAAATAAATGAATAAATAAAATATAATATACTTTTCTCAAAAGCAATACAACCTTTGTGGCGTTATCAAAAGCCACTATTTTTTTTTCTTTTAATGTAGCGGTACACGATAAAACTATGAGACTGATATTTATGGATCACTCTATTCAGACAAAAGAATAACATCCGTCCGTCCGTCCGTCCGTCCGTCCGTCCGTCCATCCACACACACATCCATTTTTTTTAACGTTGGGAAATGCATTTACGCACGAGGTGTGGAACTCACCGGCGTAATAAAGCCAGTACTACCCACTAAAACCCAACAAAACCTTCCCCCGTCTTAATGGGGCGTCGCAGGATCGCTTATGCATTCAACTACGACGCCCCGACAGCAGGTATGACGTAGCAGACCACCACAACCATGGGGTTGCTCCAAGGTCCACTGCTATCAGAGAAATCCCAGGAGCAACCTACATGGCACACCACCCACCGAAGAGGGCCACCGCCCACCGAAGTGGGCCCCCTCCCTGTGCGTTTCTTGGCTTCGCGCCCGGTTGGATTGCCGGGCACTACTGAGCTCCCCCATCACGACAAGGTGAACGCACGTTGGGGGGGATCCAACCGTACATCCATACATTCATACATCCAACCTCACAAAAGGTCGCGTTTACAATAACAGTATGTTATACATAAATTAAGGTAACGAATATAATCTACGCTTATATAATGTGCTTCGGTTTTCCTGCTGATGACGGAAAATGCCTGAGAATATCTACTTTGACGCATCTGGGTTTTATTTACTTTGTTTATTACTCATAATAATAATAACAACAACACATAATATTATTAATATTGTCTCAGAGTGCTGGCGCGAGACCATTTGAGTACAGAAAAATAATATTAAAAATACTTATTTTGTATATAACATTTTTTTTGCTATTTGCTATCCATTTTCCGAATACATATTTTAAGTATGAAATTGTATTGAATATTTAAATAATAAACCGTCACATACATTAAAACTTAATGCTACGATACGCCGGAGTATTATAAGACGTGGTCTTGTGTTTGAACTTTGAATAACGTATTTAGTGCTTGCTCGTTAGACGCTGAGCGCTCGTGCTAATTGCCTGCCTAGTACCTCCTATAAGTCTTGGTGTAGTGGCGACCGGCATCGGATGTGACCTCTCAAATTCGGATTCTGGGTTGGGTTGAAATTAAGAAATAGTTTGTATACCCCAGACCTCTGTGCCAGGCGGCCAATTTTTAAACCGGTTATTAATCCCAAACCGTAAGGCTTTTCATTTAAGGTTCGGTTACGTTCTTTAACCAGTTAAAACCCGGAAAACAGTTTTTGTAAAAGTTAACCGGTAATGAGTTTTTTTGCGTTTACATTTGGCCAAAAATATTTCATATAATTTAATTATTATAATCCATCATCCAATTATTATCTATACATATAATAAAATTGTAACTAAGTCGAATCTGCACATTAAATATTTTTTGGTAAATCTAATTAAAATAGACATTATTATCGATACGGAGCCGGAATCTATAGTTTTTAGAAATTTTATCTGTTTGTCTGTCTGTCTGTTACCGCATCACGAGAAAACCACTAGACAGATTTTGATGAAATTTGGTATGATGATAGCTGGTTATCCGGGTCAACATATAGGATACTATTCACCGCGGGAAAATATCTCATTTCTGAGAAAAAATACAAAAACTGCAATGTAAGAGTATACTACTATATAAAACCTAAGAATTTGGTTTTTGGTCATCTGAACGCGGGCGGAGCCGCGAGCAATGCTAGTATTTTATATAATATTGCAAAAATAAAATAATAACTATTTTTTTAATTTAATATGTAATTTAAATATACGTATATAATTTAAATGGAATTATATATATATATATATATATATATATATATATATATATATATATATATATATATATATATGTGGGATTCGCAAGACGAGTATGCATGAAATGATATTTTGGGAATGGAATGGAATGAAATAGATGAATAAAAGGAAAGAAAAATGTTGTGTCATAATGACGACACGACGATTCGCGTCAACATTGCTTTGTATAATTTTTGAAGAATAAATAGTAATTAGTGTACTATAAAAGCTTTTATTAGTATCCCCGTATCCTACACACACACATATATATATATATATTAAACTTAATATTTAAACTAAATAGGATAATTTATTGGAATATTTATTAAAAAAAATACGATTATTGTTTTGTTAGCGTGATAGTAAAACTTCTTGTTTTACTATTGCGTTTATGTTTTTTTATAAGTTTCATTATTAATGTTAATTGATCGATATAATGAACTATGAGTATTCCTCCCAATTAAAGCTAAAATACAAGTACATCTGTCTGTACCAGAGGTAGGGTAGCAGGTATTCCATCACACGACGCACACGCTGCTTTTTAACTGACTTCCAAAAAGGAGGAGGACGTTATGAATTAGTCGGATTTTTTTTTCCTTTTTTTATGTATGTTGACCGATTACTCAAAGACGCCTAAACCGATTTAGGTTTTTTTTTGTTTCAAAGAGATTACTTTCCAGGTGGTCCCAAATAAATTTTATCGAAATCGGTCGAGCGGTTTTTTAAAAATCAACAATTAATATATTTTTTAAATAAATTGTTTAGTCCAATATGTTATTAAAAAACTTTCTTCTTACAAATTACATGCTTATTACGTCTACACTAAAAATGGAAAAAATAAAAACTTTAAAAAAATTAAATTGCTGACTTCCAGGCACTAAGATGTAAAAAATAACTAAACGGAAGTTTTCATTTAGAATAGATACCTAATCAGATATTTTCGAAATCGGTGCCAGTCGACAATATTTTAAGATATGAACATCTAATAGGTAAATATATATTTTACGTATCGAAATAGATTTGCTTTGCATCGCCTATATATATATATATATATATATATATATATATATATATATATATATATATATATATATAGAATCAACCTAGGAACGAACTCGAGCGAAACGAAGGTGAGTCGCTTGTATTTATATATAACCTGAACCTGCACTGCGCTTCTATAAACTCATACTAACCATAAGCGCACTCTACTCGTAAGTAGAGTTTACTCAATGCATTTTAAACGTATGACTGGTACCTATATTGTATCTTATCAGTAGTTGGTAGTATCACTATCGATTGTTACAGTTTCGCATTTCTTGCTAATCATCGATTGCTCACTGATTAAACTAGTACCGTTTTACAGTACGTATAATTAACGATGCCATGCTGCATAGCAAAACGTGCTGCATTTGGAATGACGATTATCTAATTTAGGCGAGTGCTACTACTGTACGAGTGGCATCAGTGTGACTCCAAAGTTATTTTTTCTTTTTGTTAAAATTGTCATCTAGTACACAATTTACTTCTATCGGTTTTTTAATATGGTCAATTTTGGTTTGCATCGGTTTTTATAGCGGCGTTCTTAAGAGATGTGTGAAAAATAATAGATACATTTAAATACCATCTAATATGTTTGCTTTTAAAATTTGAATCAAAGTTCTGGGTTAAGTGCGGCGTACTGCGAGTTACACAGTTGCTAAAAATGTATTGTGCACTGCGCAGGGCTACGCGCCGCTGTACAACCCGTTCGAGCAATTCTACTCGCGCTACGTGTATCGGCGCGTGCGACACGTCCTGAACCGCCCCATCTGCTCCACGCCCGGCGCCGAGGTCACGCTCAAGGAGCGCTACACCGACGATTATAACTGGACTTTCAAGTGCGTTCATGTTTATAGATTTTATTACTTGGCTTTTAGGAGTTCAGCGGTATGTAGTGTCCACGTCTCACTTTCTGCAGCACGAGGGATCAACGACTTAAAAAACCCGATGCCGATGCCAGACAGCGAATAGTTGCCGGCTGCGCGGGACCGGGATACTTAGCGCTCATTGGGCCTACGTACAGCAGTGTACGGCGATAGGTTGATAATAATAATAAATTGAATATTTAATACTGAATTTCTATTATTCGCACATGTTTACTAAGAGTCAATTTTTTTGATATGAATAACAAGCAATTGTTTTAAATAAAACTATCTTTTCGAATGTTTTCACGGATTAATTTTGATTTTTGGTTCCCGTCGTTTCGAATGCTTTAAAACAATCATGGTCACGGGAGAGATTATGGTCTTAGACGTCTCAAAGGTCATTTATATAGTTGTTATATTATAGACAGTTAAGGAAGAAGTATTATTTAAAATGTCAAATATTCATGTAAATCTAAGGAAAACTTAAATAAGCAACTGATCGTTGACAGGTTCACTGGCACAGAAAAGAAATGCATCAACCTGGGCTCGTACAACTATCTGGGGTTCGCGGCGCCCACGGGCGAGTGCGCGGATGCGGCGGAGGCGGCGACGCGGCGCTACGGCCTCGCGCTGGCGTCCTCGTGCGCAGAGCTCGGCTCCACGCCGCTGCACGACGAGCTCGAGCGGACCACCGCCGAGTTCCTGGGGGTTGAGGTATCTACAGGCAGAGGTTTAACTAACTATATGTAGAGTGCGTCTTCTCTTTTGCGACTTGAAAAAAGAAATTGTTTTTAGTTAATATATTTCTTGGTATTCATTTTTAAGACCGGGGCCGTCTTTTGGCTTTCATTACTAACTATCACCTGTCTGTTACTTCAGGTTATGTGTGTATTAAAGTTCAACCAAAGCTGTTTCAACGTGGCGGCGTAACAATCATACACCGACATCAACTTTCGCATTTACAGAGGTGATAGGGGTGACTATTTGCGATAATTTTAACCCCTATATGCATTATGCAAAAGTGAACCATTTTTGAGTTATCATGTTTTTTAGCTTTTTTCAAAATAAGTCAAAAATGCTAAATCAAAAATTTATTTGAAAAAAGTTCACTTTAAATCTCATTTTTTCTTCTGATTTATAAAAACGAATAAACACTGGTTATTCATCAATATTAAAATAACAATTACTGGGCCAAAATTAAAAATGCGAGATGAAAAACGATATTCAATTACGATTTCAATACTTTATTGAGATTTTTTTCCACTAAAATACCTTTAAACAAGAAAAACTTTATGAAACTTGGCTTGCAAATTATTTTAAAAACATAACCGTTTTCTTAGGTCTCCAACAATGCATAACAACTAGGAACTTATTTCAAAGAAATTGAAAAAAAAAAGATTACAAAAAAAGCAGGCGGAAATTCTTATTCGAACTAAACTTAAGGTCGTTCTTTAAAATTTCCATAAAGCTAATTAAAAAACAATGCCCAATGAAAATAAAACAAAAAATACAAATTTAAAATATAATTTAGAACCAGTAACAGTTTAGTAGTAATAACAATTAACAATTAATAATAAGTAACAATTAAGACATTTTGTAATTTAGCCTAATTAAAATTCTTGCTCAAAGTGACTTCCCCTATTGCGTACGCAAAGACGTATTCTTCTTCTGAGTTGTAACTTACTTACCGTAGTAGTCAAATTATTCCGCATCGTATTTGCTGCGTTTCTAATTCTTGTTTGGAGTTCTTCCGTGGGTGACACAGGCGAGACGTCGGAATGTAAACGACGTTGGTAAACTAGGGATTTCATGTTGACCCCAGACATAGAAATCAACCGCGGCGGTAACCGGCGATACCACAATGTGCAGGACATCCGTTTTGCTGGTATATAATAGCTAAGAAAACGGTTATGTTATACTTTCTTAGATTTACGCGAATACTTGACATTTTAAATAAAACTATCTTTTCGGACTTTTTCGGTAATTTAACGGTTATGTTTTTAAAATACATTTTTTTCAAGTCATTTTTCATAACGCTTTTTTGTTTTTAAGGCATTGTAGTGGAAAAAAAATCTCAATAAAATATTAAAATAATATCGTTTTTAGTCTCGCATTTTTAAAATTGGACCGGTAATTGTTGTTTTAATATTGAAAAATAACCAGTGTTTAGTCGTTTTTATAAATCAGAAGAAAAAATGAGATTTAAATTGATACTTTTTTATAAATTTTTGATTTACTTTGAAAAAAAGCTAAAAAACATAATAAATCAAAAATGGTACACTTTTGCATAATACATATGGGGTTTAAAATTATCGCAAATGGTCACCCCTATCACCTCCTAACGGCTATCACCTCCTAATACGTCGAATTATCAATAACTCCTGTATATTGTGAGGTCAAACTGCGGAAAAGGTGCCCTTACTCATACTCTCTAGTTTTAGCAAGTATTAGATTATGAAAGTATATAAACGGGATGTGCATCTAGTTTGTGTATTCTATGTTATGTTTATACACCTGCACTATAGTGCCTTCCTCTACTCTGCCTCGGTGGTGTAGTGGTTAGCATGTACGGCTGCACACCCGGAGGTCCTGGGTTCGAGTCCCGGGTCGGGCCAAGTTTAGTTATTGAGTCTTTCTATATGGAAAGCCTCAGTAACAGCCCGGAGTTGGGAAGTTGGCGATGTTTCACTCCCGTGCCTCGGAGAGCACGTAAAGTCGTCAGTCCTGCGCCTTAACCCTCACCGGTCGTGTCGAGCAGTCGTCCCACCAGAGTATGAGAGTGTCAGGAATAGAGAGTGCACGTTGTGTCTGCGCGTACACTTGTGCAGTATAATATCTCCTGTGCTGTTAGCTAGTCTCAATAAGATTGGCTGCCGTGGCCGGAATCGGTCAGCAGAACATCATCATCATAGTGCCTTCCATACAAATGGATATTTTTTCCCTGATTTTTTTTGGTCGTGAATTATTATCGTGGCTTAGTAGTGAGCGGTGTGAGCCTAACAGAGCGTTGTGTGTTTGTGCGAGCGCAGGCGGCAGTGGTGTTCGGCATGGGGTTCGCGACCAACGCGCTGGGGCTACCGGCGCTGGCGGCGCGCGGCGCGCTCGTGCTTAGCGACGAGAACAACCATGCGTCGCTCATCCTCGGTCTGCGCCTGGCCGGTGTCACCGTGCGCGTGTTCCGCCACAACGACCTCGCGCACCTCGAGCGCCTCGCGCGGGACGCCGTCGCGGAGGGCACTTGGACTAAGATCATCATTGTGAGCTCCCCATTATTCGTACTATCGTTATTTTCGTGCGAGACATCTGTTCAAAAGGACATAGGTGTCTAAAATGAGCAAATGCTAAGGCTGCTTTGTGTAAGTGTTTCGCATCTGTTTAATGATGGTTTTAGGAAAATCTTTCCCAGCGTAATAAATAAAAAAGGGTGTTTGATAATTATATTTAAAAAAAAAACATAACAAACTGGTAAACAACCCAATAAATCAATGACATCATTTTGTCTTACATTTTTTTATTGGACTTTATTCACAATTCAGTAACGGAAACCAACCACACGCTTTAGATCTGAACCTACGATATTTTGTGTAATGGACACATATCCGACTATGTTTACCTCATTTAAACATGTATGCCAATTGTGTAGTATAGTGTATTGTGTGTGTATGCAGGTGGTGGAAGGCGTGTACAGCATGGAAGGGTCGGTGGTGCCGCTGGCGGCGATGGTAGCGCTGAAGAAGCGGCTGGGCCTGTACCTGTACCTGGACGAGGCGCACTCGGTGGGCGCGATGGGCGCGCGCGGCCGCGGCGTGGCCGACCACGCCGGCGTGGACCCGCGCGACGTGGACGTGCTCATGGGCACCTTCACCAAGAGTTTCGGCGCCGCCGGCGGGTATATCGCCGGTACCGATCTCGCTTACCTTATCTTTTATACTGTGTTGATTTGTCTTGAACATATACATATATTCTATAGACTATGGTATTAAGAAATAGTGTCTAAAATCTAAATAATATCTATATAATACTTAATGTAAATAATTTAATTTGATTAAAAAAAGTAAATAATTCAAGGTACCATGATAGTTAACAAGTTGATGTGTACGAATTAGGAGATGCATAAAATTTAATAGTGAGATACAATGTTTATTCGAGAGATTTGATTGGTCGATAAATAAATGATGGTGGATTTTTTTTAAAAAACTTAAAATAAATTTAAGTGCAGTTACTATAACTTAAATAATAAAAAAATTACTTGGAGTGAAACTTGATATATTTTCAACATTTAAGTAACGTTTCATTCTCGTGCAGGGTCGGCGGAGCTGGTGCGCTGCGTGCGCGCGGCGGGGCACGCGCATGCGTACGCGCACGCCATGGCGCCCGCCGTGGCCGCGCAGGTGCTGAGCGCCATGCGCGCCATCGCCGCGCCCGCCGGCGCCGAGCGCGTAAGCACGCTGCGCGCGCACTCGCGCCACTTCCGCCGCCGCCTGCGCGCGCTCGGCGTCGTCACCTTCGGCCACGAGGACTCGCCCGTCGTGCCCATGCTCGTCTACACGTTCAGCAAGATGGCGGCCACGGTGGAGCGCCTCACCGCGCGCGGCATCGCCACCGTCGGCGTCGGCTTCCCCGCCACGCCCCTCAATAAGGCTCGCATACGGTACGCCCTTTTGCCACACTGTATTAATATACTTTAAACAAATATTTATAATATGAAGAAATAAAATTATAACGGAAATATTAGATGTAAAATTATAAAAATATTGCGAGATATCTTCTATCTCGATTAATGACATAATTTAAATGTAATAGACGATTTAACGCGCTCTAATCGGAAATATTTTTGGTTTTTTTCTTTTTAACCCACCCAGTACTATTAGAGATATGCGTAAGTTTCCTGATGTCGAGTGGCCGCTGTCTATAGAAAAACACATGCAGAGGGCCTCAAGGTAGATTATCAAATTTAATTGGTTTAATTTTTTTATAGGTTCTGCCTGTCCGCGGCGCACACCCGCGAGCAGCTGGACTATTGCCTGGACGCTATTGAGGCTGTCGTAGACGAATTGGGCCTGCGCTACTCGCGCCAGCGCTAGCCCCCCCAACCTATTTCACGTCCCCGTCTCATTATAAGTTATAAATTATATCTCTACTTAACTGCGAATTTCTAAATCTCTTCTGAGCACACGCTACAGCTATGATATTATCAATGTCGACACAAACACACGGCAGGTACGATACGCCGAGACAAAATATCAGTACTTTATAGTAACAGTAGGTGCGAAATTCCGTTTGAAATACTTATATCCTAACATAGAGTGCATGACTTAATTATAAGATAATAAAATTCTTCTATTCGTGTCGGCCATTCTATATTTCGTCATTGAAAAAACGCAAATTTTATTGCTCCACTGCAGAATGCTTCAGTAAAGGTGCTATAGCTGACACAAAATTATATATTAGTATGAATGTAAGAATGAAACAGTAGATATTGCGACTGAGGCGCTGCATTGCACACTAATTATTTCCCTTGAACTTTTACAATACACGTAGATAAATAGACCTTTACTATAGATATTATAATAATTTTAAAAGTCATACCTCATTTGAATTTAATCTAAAGTTTTGTAAATAGATTTCCCAACTAAGTTATCGAGACACGTGCGCGTGTTCGTTGTTCCAGTGACCAGTGACAGACACCTTGTAAAATACACAAATATTGCTTTAAAACATACGCGAGCATTAGTTATGCGCATCGATCAAAAAAGTACTAGATACACAATCAGCGCCAAAAAATTTTCTCACCGAATGAGCGCTCATTTAAACACATCAGATTCAATTTACATCGTTGCATATTTATTTCAACTAGAATAATTACCTAAACCCAATCGGTGACAGTTTTAAAAGAACTTTTGCATGGGATCGTGTATCTAGTACTTTTTTGATCGAAGGTGATGCGTCATAAAATATGTCCCAACGGCTCCGACTTCCGAGTAAGTTGTAATGAATTATTGTTAGACAAGTGTTGAGTGGACGGAGCCACTCTCTGAGGGGAACAAGTGTGAGTTTTAATAAATTGTTAATGTTTTCTTTTTATATTTGGTGTGAATGTGTGTGTGTGTGTGTGTGTGTGTGTATGCGTGCATGCGAGCTTGCGTGTGTGCGCCGAGCGAGGTCCTGCCTTATTATTACTATGTAGTATATTTGTTATATGCAATAAATTATTTTCTCACATCTGTCGTATTTTTTATTTACCAAACAGTCAACACCCTTATCGTAAGCAAAGCCGTTACTTATAACCATATAAAGTTTAATCTTTTCTATATTTTTGTTGGAGAAATCACGCTAGCCCAGAGAGCGAGTGATGTAGCTAGATTGCAAAAATTGACTAAGGCTTGCTTGCTAAAATGGTTAAATAATAAATAAATAAGCTTGTATTTCTTGCAACTTATATGCAACAATTTATAAACATTTTGCAAATATAACCTACTGGTATAATATTTCGTATTTAACTCTGTAAGTCTTTTAAGAGCGCACCCGAGCGGTGCGGCGGAGCGAGGATTAACCACTAGTTATTTCTCGACGACAGGTTTGGCGCAGTTTGTAGTGACCCTAGTTGCTGTGCCAGCGGTCTCGGGTTCGAGACCCGCTGGGGGCATTCATTTGTGTGATTAGCACGAATGTTTGTACTCTAGTCATGGTTGTTTATATTTATAATATTATGTATGTATTTTAAGTTATATATGTAGTGTATCCACTATCTGGTATCCATAACACAAACCCATAGCTTACCATGGAATTAGATGGTGCTGTGTTAATGTCCCAACATATTTATTTATTTATATCAATATTAATTAACTAATGCCTTACATAAATAAAAAAATATACAGTCCAAAATCTAAGTTCATCATGATATAAAAATGTCGTAGATTCTTATTTGTTCGGATATCAATAGATAGTGGAATTAGGCTGATAACTGATATCGGTGATGAGACATGCGCGCGGCCGGCGCGGCGGACGCGTCGCATTCTGAGGCTTTCTGTCTGTCCGTGTCACTATTAAGCTTGGAAATAATTGAAATTCGTAGACATCGCGCACCAGTAATCAATTTGAAATATTTTTTATTTTATTAACTAGCTACTGCCACCGTTTCCGCGTGAGTATCTTAATTCCTTCTTATTTTAGTTCCTTAATATGCTTGGACATGTACTCTGTCGGTAGTACGCGGGAGCGCGTAGAATGGGACAAGTAGTACCGTAGGATATGCTCGACTCAATGTAATAGAACTTTTATATTATGGCTATAATACAGATGGATACAAACAAATAAAATAGCTCAATCTCATAAAACTTTGCACTCGTAATAATTTATAACATGTGCTTATAGATTCATGTTACTGCATTGACGAAATGTCCCATTGAACCATCCCACATATCTTGGCCCTCGTAATAATTTATTAAGTACATGTATAGATAATAGCAATTACGTGATAAGCTTGGCTTGTCAGTAGATTGATATGCAGAGGTGAAGCCTCGCGCGGCGACGAGCGAGAACTTTGAGGAAGATGTCTGTGGTGGTGAGGCTGGCGGCGCTGCTGGCCGCGCTGCTGGTGGCGGCGGGCGGCGCGCGCGCCTCCGTGACCGTTGTGCAGATGCAGTAAGTGGGCCTAGTAACAACTAAGAAGTACAGCACATATGCACATAGCACATAGAAGCTGACAAAATACAATGTTAAATACAGCAACAAAGCCTAGAAACTGTTTTTTTTATAAATTCAATATTTTTTAAGTACATATTTCCTGTTAAATTCTAAGTAAAACGTTTCGGCAAGTGACGAGTTGTTTTATTAGTGATAACGGCGGTGAGTGGTGACGGCCGTTTTAGCGGTTTTCCTATCTGCTGCGGGTCAAGGTCTCCCGGCTCATCGCGCTCGTATTCGCTAACAATTAATATGATTAATAAAAATATACTAAATATGATTCCGTGGCGGAAGCATAAATAATACTTGATAATTCATTTATTTGAAAGATCTTTGATATTTTTTATTATATTTTTATAAACGTTTCTATGTAATTGTAAAACCGAAACTACATATTAAATACAATTTACTCAAATTATTTGTATACACACTACAATTACGTAAAATGTTTCGCAATTTATTATATTTAATGTGTGTGCAAAATCATTTAAAAATTAAACTGTTTTATAAGTTAATATATTTTATCTGTTAAATCAAAGTGAACACTTTGAAATAGTATTATTCATTAAATTTATATTTTTAAACACTGTATCTACAAATCTGTGTATTTTGTGCGTTGACAGGTTGGCCTACGAACAGGTCTACGAGCTGCATCTGAACAGCTCCGTAGAGTACATATTAGATGTTGCCACCGTAAGTATGCCTTTTAAATTCTAATGTTCGAAGGGGAGATATGTTTTCGAGTGTATGTATGTCTGTTTCTCCGGTAAGCTTTTTGGCCTAGTTGGCTTGCGTATCTGAAGGATGAGTCATATAACGGAATATTTTTTAGTATCAAGAGAATCACATAAAAGCCACTAAACAGATTATTTTAAGCGCACATAATATATTATGTATAAATATAATAACACCATTAACCCTACCATTTTTATACGTTCAACATAAGAAAGATATTTTTGTCCCGGGTGGTAAAATATTTTCGCATTACATGTTCTATTATAGGCAAATGAGTAGGTAAGGTTGGATTGCTTTTTGTAATAATTTGAAACTTAGGTAGTACCTACCCAACATACAACAAAATCTCACTTCACGCGTGTCACCGTAGAAAAATGTAAGAGAATTGTTCATCCACACACGAAGTTTAAAAACACAGTTTGTATATTAAGTCCTTCTATAGCAATAACCGTGCGCATACGGCATACCCGTCGCACGCGGCACGTGACACTACTTCTCTTATTAAAATCTAAGAAATTATTTTTGAGTCGATAGTATTGTTCAATAGAGGTAGCATTTGATGACAGACAGATTAGAAATTTTAAATTATATTGTTGAAGTAATGTAATTTGATATTAAATCAAAACAGACCAGTACTATTTTGTATATATATTTATTTATAATAATTTATTATAAATATTTATTTATAATATTAACTGCCTCCCAACTGTCTGAACTGTCGTCCCACCGGGGTATGAGAGTGACAGGAATAGAGAGTGCACGTTGTGTCTGCGCGTACACTTTGTGCACTATAATATCTCCTGCGCAGTTGGCTAATCTCAATGAGATTGGCCGCCGTGGCCGGAATCGGCTAGGAGAACATCATCATATATCTTTATATATATATATAATTCTTCTGTGAGTGTGTATGTCACTGAACTTCTCTCAAACGACTGGACCGATTTTGATGAATTTTTTTGTGTGTGTTCAAGGGGATCTGGGAATGGTTTAGATTCACAATTTGAATAATAATTTTCATCAAAAAAATTATTAAAAAAAGTTTGAAATTTTCAAATTAAAGACGTGTAGACAGGACAACGTCTGTCGGGTCCGCTAGTTTATTTTATAACTTGCGAACACAGAACATTTACAGTGATGATGATTGACATTTAAAGTAGGAAATAGATGGCGCTATGTGTAAAATAATAAAGATTATAATATTTACCACAGATTACAACATATATACTAAATTCAAATGTAATACGTTGTGGCGGTGTTCTACTTGCAGGCGGGCGGCGCGTCGCACCTGCCGAGCCTGGTGTGGGTGCACAGCGACGGCGGCGACAGCGCGCACCCCGTGTTCGTAACCGCGCGCGTGCCCACCGGTACGTACCTCCATCCTCGTCTTGTGTGCTTAAAGCTTATTATGGGAATATTTATACCAGGTGACATGAACCAATGTCTTTGAAAATCGTCATCTATTTTGAATAATGATATCGTTATCCCTTACCAACCCATTTTTAGATTTTAAATGAAACCATTTTTTCTACTTTTGTCGCGGTTTTATTTTGAGTTCTTGTTCCCGACGCATCGAATGCTTTACAGGAATAATGGTCGCGGTAGAGACTCACTCCCGCTTTCAGTCTCCTTCATTTAAAATGTTAAATATTCACCTATATATAATAACTAGCGACTCACCCTCACTTTGCTCGGGTTCGTCCCTATCTTGCTTCCCAATACACACTTTCATCCCCATTTTCATCCCCTTAAGGGATGATTTCAGGAATAAAAAGAATCCTATGCCCTTCCCAGGGTCTCAAACTATCTTCTTACCAAATTAATCAAAATCGGTTCTGTAGATCCAGAGATTACCCCCCACAACGTCACAAACTCACAAACTTTACCTCTATAATATTAGTATAAAAGTATTTTATTAACCTATTTTAGTATATTGATTAATTAGGTTGAACCGTTGATTCCATATATGTAGGTTCTGGATGTCTAGGTGTTCGTGAGAGCTGTAATCTTTTCATATCAGTCACTATGTGGTGATAGAGAGGTAGTGCAGGTATCAGTTGCTTAATTGAACTTTTACTATATCATGTAACTGATGTTGGTTCTTCTTTAAACAGTAAACACTATTAATATTTAGAAAAGTTCCTATTTGATACATTATTGCTGAATGCGAGTGCTAATATTAAGTACGAACGGTGAACTGTGTCTTTAAAGTACGATTGAATAATCATTTTTAATATTTAAGATAATTGATACTTAATTTAAAATATCTCACATGACTACCTACGTTCGTGAGTTGTATTACTGACAAATGCTAGTGTACGTTCACGCTAACCGAGTACACGCATGCGCGCAGGCGCGGTGACGTGGCAGCTGCCTTACGAGGCGGGCGAGCGCGTGCTGTACGAGCTGGAGCGCACCCTGTGCCCCGATGACGCGCCCAGCCACGGCAACATCACCAATGACTGTGGTATGGGCCATGGTTTGCTCATTGCTCCTACGTTTTGTATACCTACTACGTATTTCATACTAGCATTGCCCGCGGCCCCGCCCGCGTTCAGATGACCAAAAACCAAATTCTTAGGTTTTACTTATTAGTATACTCTTACATTGCAGTTTTGTATTTTTTCTCAGAAATTAGATATTTTCCCGCGGTACAAAGTATCCTATATGTTAACCCGGATAACCAGCTACGATCATACCAAATTTCATTAAAATCCCTCCTGTGGTTTTTCTGTGATGCGGTAACAGACAGACAGACAAAAATTCTAAAAACTATAGATTCGGCTTCTGTTTCGGTAATAATGTTTATTTCAATAAGATGTATCAAAATATATTTAATGTACACATTCGGCTTAGTTACGATTTTATTATATATAATAGATTTCTCGAATCTTTCGAATTATTATTTTTTCTATTCACATCAAACTGCAGGCAATAGCTTAATGTGCTACCTGAGGTAGCTGCTATTTATATATTACTAGCAGAACCCGCGACTTCGCTCCCGCTAAACCCACAAAAAAACTCAAAATAAGTAGGTTTCATATAAACTTTCATCCCCTATTATAAGGGGGTAACCCTTTATGTGATGAATTTCGAAAAATGCTAAAACACGTATTTATATAATTTTATTAAAGAGCAAAGAGAGAGAGAGAGAAAGATATTTACTTTCAAGTAATTCTGATTATAAATATTTTTTTGGTTGTATTATAACGTGTTTTCCCGTGAGTATAAGAGAATCTCCTGCGGTAAAAAGTAGCCTATGTCACTCTCCAGCCCCCCAAGTATCTCCACACAAAAAAACATGCCAACACGTGATTCCGTTTCGCTGTGAAGAAAGGTCAAACAAACAAATAAATAAACAAACACACTTTCACATTTATAATATTAGTATGGAAGGAGCAATAAATTTCGTCAAAATGCAATAAATTCCATATTAGTTCAGTTCAATGTATAGGACCTGCCGAAAGATATCGAGGGGAGTTTTAATTTGGTATTTAAGTACATTTTTTTTCATAAATAGCGCTAAAACCAATTTTTCAATATATTTTCCCTTTAACGTGAAAATACATGACTAATATTGAAATCATATTATAGTAGATATAAGATTTAGTCGCAACATGGTCGCATTTGACAAGCCTGCAGAAAGACTCATCTGCAACTTGTAAGTGTAACATCGTGAGTGTGGTGTGAGTGTGGTGTGTGTGTTTGTGCGTGCAGAGGGCGGGGAGGGCGCGGTGGGCGCGCGCGGCGGCTGGTCGCTGCACGTGTCCACGATGTGCGCGGCGGCGCTGACGGCGCGCGTGCGCGTGTCGCGGCCGCCCGTCTGGCACCTGCCCTTCGCGCAGCAAGTCACCGTCTCCGCCAACATGGTACACCTGACTCTACTGTCCTGTTAACATGATATTTGATTCTGTTTTTGAAGTTATACTTTTAGCGTGTTATGAAAAAAATTATGAGAGATTTTTTTTACGATGCGTTCGATTTAGTCTACTGTATGAAGTTAGTCGTTAAATCTCCCTTTAATATAGTGTGAGGTGTTGTCTATATTCAAGATATTTATACACACATTTATACATACAAAACATACATTTTATATCGATAAAAACAAAAATTATTACAAACTTTTATTTAGCTTTTAAACAACATTCCGGATGCATATTTTAGGGTTGACAAGTGTTTTTCATCATATTCATTTATTTAAAACATTTATGTTACAAATTTTGTGTAATTAGTTCGTTAAATATTTATCATACGCTAGTGTATACTCACCCTCGCTTCGCTCGAGTTCGTCCCTAGCTTGCTTCCCAATACAAACTTTCGTCTCCATTTCTCCCCCCTTAAGGGATGATTCCCGGGATAAAAAGGATCCTATGTCCTTCCCAGGGTCTCAAACTATCTTCTTACCAAATTTTATCTAAATCGGTTCAGTAGATCCAGAGATTATCCCCTACAACGTCACAAATTCACAAACTTTACCTCTTTATAATATTAGTATAGATATAGATTAGTATAGATGATACGAATATCAATAACCTCTTGTTTCTGTCGCCGTGCCGCAGTCGGCGCCGCGCGTGCTGCACTACCGCTTCGCCGAGGGGCAGGACAGCGTGCGGCTGGTCGTCACCTCCGAGAGCGAGCTCTGCGCCGTCCTCTCCGTGCTGGACTACGTGGTACGCTCCTTGTCTTTTGCCGATCTGTAAATGGCTATGATTTGATTGCTCAGCTAAGCTTCAAAAACTATTTTGTGCTAGCAAATATTGGCTAGCCAAAATAATTACAATTAGTCCGCAAGTTATATCATATCTGCTAAATAAGAACACGTCCGTTATGTATTGCGTTTATTTTACAACTGTCAGTACTACCTACATACAAAGCATACTAATACTTAACTCTTACTTATATACTATGTAATTACCCTCTTATAATATACAACACCTCCACCCTTAATTAACCCTACATACATACATGTTATAATAAATTGTTTACACATCAATAAGTTCATTTAATCTATTTACAGATCTATACTTCTCACATTTCACCCCCTTCTTATATTATTATCCTATTTTAATATATAATTAAAGTTAAGAAATTTAAATACTAAGCTAATGTGACAACAACAAAAAAAAACAATATATTACGAACTATTATCTTCCCTATTTGTTCTCAAATTATCTTACAATCATTATACCTAGGTATACTTAATCAAATTCGTCTATACCTAAGCGTACTGGGGGTTTTCTTACTCTCTTAATTTGCGGAAATAATTCCGTCTCTGTTTGCGACTTCTCGCTTTCCGTCACACTGGGGCTTGAGGGCTGCGGAACTGGCGACAACGCCACCGGCGGCGCAGTCAGGCCCTCAGGCTCAACTGGACTTTTTTCGGGTATTATGAGTGTGCTAGTTCTACGTGGCTTAGGTGGTACACTTACATCGACCGTAGGGTCTGAAACTCTCGTTCTTAATTGGTCGACATGCCTATGTACCTCCGTTCCGTTTTGACACCGAATGTTATAATCTGTGTTACCTAATTTCTCTGTGACTTTACCTGGCACCCACTTATCGCTAGAACCGACGCGGTAGTCCCTGCACCAAACACATTCTCCGGGCTCAAAACCTCGGTGTACCCTGCCTTCCCCTTGACTCTGTGTTTGTCGTTCTAACACGCGTTGCGAACGATCTGGTTTCAATTTATCTAAACGCATACGTAAATTTCTACCTTGTAAAATTTTTGCTGGGCTTTCCCCTGTGCTATAGTGTTCCGTATTCCTATATGCTAACAAAAATCGACATAAAGCTGTATCTATATCAATTTTACTTTTGATTGCCTTTTTAATAGTTTTTTTACACACTTTCACCGCGTTTTCTGCAGCCCCATTTGAAGCGGGGTGGTAGGGGGCTGAGAAAATTTGACCTATTCCGTTATTGTTTAAAAATGTACTAAACTCCGCACTAGAAAATGGGGGGCCGTTATCGCTCACTACTTGCTTTGGTAAGCCAAATCTCGCCCATATCTCTCGCAACATTGCGATAACCGATCTGGCATTAGTACCTTTCATTTTAACTGCTTCAATCCATTTTGAACATGCATCTACTATGATTAAATAAGTTACCCCTTGTATTGGACCCAAGAAATCAAGATGTAATCTAGACCATGGACGATCCGGCCAAGGCCATGGGCGAGACTCGTGAGCTGGAGGAGCGTCGGCTACGCTCGCGCACACGGCACATGCGCGACAAGCCGCCTCGATAGCCTCGTCCAATCCGGGCCACCACACATAATTTCGCGCTAGAGCCTTTGTTTTTACCATGCCCATGTGAGATTCGTGTAATTCCTCTATTACTTTACTCCTACAAACCGACGGGATGACCACTCGGTGCCCCCACATGATGCAACCTAGTTCGTTATACAATTCTGTTTTTCTATTAAGATACGGTTTGAGCTCTCTTAATTCGACGTCGTCCGGCCATCCGTCCGTTATATAGCTCAATACTCGGCTAAGTAAGGGATCCCTAACGGTCTCTTTTTTTAACATGTTATAATCTAATAAGAGCGCTTCGGTAGCGAAATGTAAGTATGTCTGTTCAGGTACTTGTTCCTCGGCGGCGGCGCCGGGAACCGCTTCTTCTTTGTGCGCTTTTATTAACCGCGAAAGCGCATCCGCCGTGTTTCTATCCGTGTCTATGTATTCTATGGAAAAATCGTAGGCAGAAAGCTTAATCGCCCACCTCTGTAACCGACTCGCTGCCGTTGTTGGGATACCAATATTTGGTCCAAAAATACTAACTAACGGTTTATGATCCGTCCGTAACACAAACTTTCTACCAAATAAATATTGATGAAATTTACCTACAGCAAATATTATAGCTAATGCCTCTTTATGGATTTGACTGTAATTTTTTTCAGCACACGTAAGTGCCCTCGAGGCGTATGCGACCGGTCGCTCCGAGCCGTCCGGCGCGCGCTGCGCCAGCACCGCGCCTAATCCGTACGCGCTCGCGTCACACGTCACCACCGTCTCCCGGGACATATCATAATGAACCAACACATCTGTACCACACAAGAGTTTTTTCACGATAACGAATGACTCTTGCTGTTCTTTCCCCCATTGATAAGGTCTACCTTTTTTCAATAGTTTGTAAAGTGGGGCTAAATACAATGCTAAACCTTTAACAAACTTGCCGTAAAAATTAACCATTCCCAAAAATGATTTTAGTTCCGTTGTACTCCGCGGAGGTGGCATATTTACTATAGGCTGTATTTTATCCGGATTTACTCGTACTCCTTTTTTATCTACAATGAAACCTAGATACTGCACTTCTTCAGCAAAAAATTCGCATTTATTCTTTTTAATCTTAAGCCCGTTCCTTTCTAAAATATCAAACACTTGTTCAATTGTTTCACAATGACTCTTAATATCCTTATTTTTGATTAAAATATCGTCATAAAATATTATTACTCCGGGTACATCTTTAAATAAAGTTTCCATAAATTTTTGAAAGATACTTGGGCTTGATGCTAGCCCATAAACAAGGCGATTATATTTGAACAACCCCCTATGGGTATTGATCACTGTGTACGCTCTCGATGACTCATGCAAAACTACTTGATTGTACGCTTGAGACAAGTCTAACTTCGTAAAATATTCATTGCCACTAAGGTCACTAAACAAATCGTCCATTTTAGGAACGGGATACCTGTCGACCATTAAGAATCGGTTCAGTGTTACTTTATAGTCAGCACATATACGTATACCACCATCTGCCTTACTTGCTATAACGAGCGGCGTTGCCCAGTCCGAGCGCGCCACGGGCTCGATGACGCCGGCACGCAGTATTGCATCCAGTTCCGGTTCGACGCGCGCGCGCAGCGCATACGGCACTGGTCGGGCGCGGCAAAACACCGGCGAAGCACCCTCGCGCAAATGCAACTGCACTTCCGGCCCCGTATATCGCCCCAGTGTGCCGTCAAACAATGAATCATGCCTGCAAATTAAGTCATTTATGAATTTAGATTTATTTACTTTTTCGTAAGAGATATTATTAAAACTAAGTGGTGGGACTTCAATGCTTAATTCTGAAAGCCATTGACGCCCTAACAAAGTAGTAGTACCATTATCGATGACATATAAATCTAACATCTTTTTCCTATCTTTGTAACGGACTTCTACTTGGATATAACCCAAAGGCTTTATAATAGAACCATCGTAAAACTTTAGAGTTAATCGACACGGGTGCAATTTAACGTTACCGTATTTATTCCAGTATGTATTATTACTTATACATGACAATGATGATCCCGTGTCGATTTCCATTTTTAATGGTTTATTATTAACTAATAACGTAAGACCCACCGGCTTATATTTCGCTAACGACATTTGATACATCGGTTCGTCGAGTTGTACGTCATCCCTCTGCTCCGCTTCGAGTTCGTCGTGACTCGTCGGCTCCCGCAGCCAGTATGCGCGCGCGCCGTACCCGCGCCCCGCACCGCCGCCGCGCGCCCGGCCCCGCCCGCGTGCGATGCTGCCTCCCCGCGCTCCACCGCCGCCGCTGCTGCCTCTCCCCGCGCCTGTCACGCCGTATCCGCGTGAACCATTGCGATCATTACCGACCGATTTGAATTTAGCGCTATCGACAACTGTTTTGTCCGGACACATCCTTCTTAGGTGGCCTAGCCTCCGATAATAGCTACATTCGAAAGCCTTATATCTGCAACTATCCGTTGTATGTCCATTTACTCCGCAAGCCATACACCTGGCCTGCCGTGTAGCGAACGTTTGCATTTTGTGCACACCTTGAGTGCTAGTGCCCTCAACTGCACCCGCGTTCCTCTCCGCTGCTTCCAGTGTCGACGCTAACTTAACTGCCCTACTGTAAGTAATATCGTCCTCAGCGAAAAGCCGCTGCCGAGTGCACTCGCTGCTGATACCGCAAACGAGCTGATCACGGAGGTTTTCTTCCAGCGAGGATTTGAAATCGCAATCCTTGGCTAATTTCTTTAGCACGGCGACATAATCTGCAACGGTTTCTCCCTCTGCTTGACGCCGTTGCCAAAACTTATATCGTTCTGCTAATATGGACGGTTTCGGTTGTAAATGTGCCGACATAAGCGCTACCGCTGCAGCATATGTTAATGTCGATGGTGCTTTTGGACTCGCCAGTGTCGACAAAAGTTGATATGCCTCCTCCCCCATGACCGTTATTAACGTTGCTAACTTTAAATCTTCTTCAACTTTATTGGCAAGTAAATACATCTCCACTCTTTCACTATACGCTGCCCAGCTCCCATTCTTCAAGTCAAACTCTTGCAATTGTCCAAACACCATTTTTTTTAACTTTTTTAATCCTCGTCGCCACTGCTAAATAAGAACACGTCCGTTATGTATTGCGTTTATTTTACAACTGTCAGTACTACCTACATACAAAGCATACTAATACTTAACTCTTACTTATATACTATGTAATTACCCTCTTATAATATACAACAATATCGAGCAATTCTAAAACTGGTTTCTTAGCGTAATGAATGTTTGTGCACTAATATCAATATTAATAAAAAAACGTAAATCATATTTAATAATTTAACTTTTGGCAACTTGTAAAATTTATTTCACTTCGCTATTTAATTTTAAATCCATAACAACAAAAAATGATTGTAAAATACAGCACTGAGAATAGTACAAAATAAAAAACACCTAATGAGAATCCTTATCACCTACCATAATTCAAGTCTTTTTGTCTTTGCCTGATTTGTTTTAAACTATTTTAACCTAAGTATATGTATTATTTATTGTTGATAAATATGTGGAATATTGCAGTGTCCAATAGCGCAAACGATTTCGGCGCTCGCCACCGGCGGGCAGCGCCTCACCATGATGCGTAGCGGCGCCGTGCAGCTGTCGGTGAGTCCAGTACACGTCGCTTAGATTATGCTATTAAATAGAGCTGTTCATATAAAATAGATTATTTACTTATTGAAGTAAGTCTCTTTGAATGTTTGATTCCTTTAAAAACTATAAGAGTATTATATATACTAAAGTATATATGTATGTGTATTGTGTGTCTTACTCTTTCATGCTGAAACAACTCGATGGATTTAGAGGAAATTAATTTACAGACAGACTATGACCTGGAGTAATACATAGCCTACAGTTAAGCACCTAGGGAGTGGGAATGCACCCGTGTGAAACGAGGGAAATCGTTAGTCCCTGGTCTATACTATCTATACTAAAATTATAAAGAGGTAAAGTTTGTGAGTTTGTGAGATTGTCAGTTTGTGGCGTTGTAGGGAGTAATATCTGGATCTACTGAACCGATTTAGATGAAATTTGGTAAGAAGATGGTTTGAAACCCTGGGGAGGACATAGCATTCTTCTAATCCCGGAAATCATCTCTTAAGGGGGTGAAAATGAAGATAAAAGTTTGTATGATTGGTGAAAGCAAGCTAGGGACGAGCCCGAGCGAAGCGAGGGTGAGTCGCTAGTTAGTCCGAGCTGGGATTATCCCGCAGCGCGGGGAGTACCCGCACGGGTTCCTGGCGGTGGCGGCGGTGCTGCCGGTGCAGGCGGCGTGCGGCAGCGAGGAGCTGCCGGAGCCGGACTGGCTGTGGGCGGCGGCGCTGCTGGGCGCGCCGCACGAGCGCGCCCAGCTGCAGGACCCGCGCCTCAAGGACTTCACCTTCACCGTCGAGGTACGGCGCTCTAGTGCCTAGCATGTACGACTGCACATCCGAAACTCCCAGGTTCGAGTCCCGAGTCGGGCCAAGTTTAACTATTGAGTTTTTGTTAAGAAATTCTCATTAGCAACCCGAAGCAGAAGATAAGATCCAGAAGTTAGGAATGTGACACCCCTTGGAGAGCACGTATCGTGTCGGTCGTTTCGTTGTCTTACCTTTCACCGGCTGGTCGAGTCGGACCACCATCGGACTTTGAGAGTGAAAAAACACGCGCTGCACTATAATGTCCCTAAACACACCTACACTAATATTTACTGCTATGGAACTCGGTGCGAGTCAAACTTGCATTTGTCAGATTTTTTTGTTACGAAACTTCACAAAATAAGTTTAGACTTAGGTATAAGAATTAGGACTAAGTATTTGGTTACTGGAAGAGTGGATTCCTGTAACAATATTCTAAAAGTACCTATTTGTCAGAAGTGGGATTCGAACCCACCCCCACAGAAGTGGACTGCGACCTGAACGCAGCGCCTTAGACCGCTCAGCCATCCTGACTATATATAGCTACATGAATTCATTAGTCAAGTTACCAGTTAGTTTGTTTTTTTTTAATATCCATACTAAAATTATAAATGTGAAAGTATGTTTTTTGTTTGTTTGTCCTTCTTTCACGTCGAAACGGAGTAATGGATTGGCGTGATTTTTTGTGTGGAGATAGTAAGAGGGCTGACATAGGCCACTTTTTATCTTACTCTTTTGAGATTACTTAATTCCCACGGGAAAATAAACGTTATAATACAATCCAAAAAAATATTTATTATCAGAATTACTTGAAACTTGGTATATACTCTTCAATAAAAATAAATAAATACGTGTCTTAGCATTTTTCAAAATTCATCCTATTAGAGGGTAAAATAGAGGATGAAAGTTTGTATGAAACTACCTTATTAGAGATATTTTTGTAGTTTTAGCGCGAGCGAAGCTGCGGGTTCTGCTAGTACATACATAAATGAGAAACTCGATGGGACTTAAATGAGAGACGAGACCAGCCGAACGTTTTTTTTTAAAAAAACTTTATTTATTACATCTAACCAACCAGTACACACGTAACATTATGACTAACTTATTCTAACAACTAGCATTGCCCGCGGCTCCGTCTGCGGTCAGATGACCAAAAACCAAATTCTTAGTATTTACATATTAGTATACTCTTACAATGCAGTTTTTCTATTTTTTCTCAGAAATGAGACATTTACCGCGGTAAAAAGTATCCTGTATGTTGAGCCGGATAACCAGCTATCATCATACCAAATTTCATCAAAATCCCTCCAGTGGTTTTTCTATGATGTGGTAACAGACAGATAGACAGACAGACAAAAAATATAAAAACCATAGATTCGGCCTCTTTATCGATAATAATGTTTTTTTTCAACAAGATTTTCCAAATAATATTTAATGTACAGATTCGGCTTAGTTACAATCTTATTATATGTATAGATTACATAGGCTTAAATATAACTTCATAATTATTTATATAAACATACAACACATTTTATATACACTCATTCTATAACTACACAATTCCAAATCTTTCACGGGAAAGATTAGCGTTTAATTTTTGATTATTCTTTTGATAGTTTACTCGTCAATCGGATAAAAATAGTATTGTTATTAATCGATGGTATCGAGAGCGTAGTGGCATTCAAAGTTCCATTCTATCGATACTGTTAAAGTCTTGAATAGTATTATAAATTCTGTGCTATAGGTACTGCAGATAGTACCGATGATATCGATAGTGACGTATAGAGCGGCAACACTATTTGCATGTCGCAGGCGGCACTGACGCGCGCGCAGTACGCGGTGGCTGCGGCCACGCTGCTGGCGGTGTTCCTCGGCTTCTACGTGGTGTTTGGCGCGCTGGTGCTAGCGCAGCGCTGGCCGCCGCTGGCGCGCCTGATGCGGCCGAGCGCCGTGCTGGCGCCCGCGCCCGACCCCGCCGGTCTGTCACCGCTCCTCCTTCATCGCGTATCTTTCAACAAATATTTAAACTTCTTTTAAAGCATATAAAAATGACAAACTTTTGTTTTATTTTGTAATAAAATTAATTCATTATCAATTTTTATCTCATTCTAGCTGCGGAACTTGAAGCGCAGGCGGAAGATTCTATTGCGGGTACCACGCCGGCGCGCCGTCGTCGCAGGGACTCCGGTGAGTGTCGTTAACAGCCACGAGAATTACTGATTACTTTTTTGGAATTTTCTCATAAATTAAAATTTAGGGCTGTGGTACCTGCCAACGGCCTTAAGGATCTGGGCGGACCTTGTTATTTTCCCCGAGCCACTCGCGTTTCCCTCGCTACGTTTTTAGGCAAGCATTTTATCTATTATCAGGCCGCTAGGCCACAGTATAAATAATAATACTACCACAGTGTACAAAAAAAACAATTTGATTTTCAAATTTCATATAAAACAATAATATTTTTTTTATTACATATAAAACTAAAAACAATAATATTGCTTAAATAAATAATTAATATTTTTTATGGTTATACATATTATAGTAATAGCAACACTAAATAATATTATTAATTAGTAAAGTTTAAAAAAAACTTGTAATATTTATAATAATAACAGCTAAAATTAAATAAATAATATTACTGTATTTAATTATAATACTTATTAAAAAAATTAAAATGTTTAGAATTAAAATCGACAAATTTTATAAGGTACTCGTACTTTGGTGCCATTTTTAAATTTTTGAATTCATTTTTGTAAAACAATGGGTACACTGTCTGTAACAGTGTATAACGCCTTTGAGACGTCTATAACCTTAGTCTCTCCCGTGACCATGATTGCTGTAAAGCATTCGAAACATCGTCGGGTATCAAAAATCAAAATAAATCCGTGAAATAATCATACTTATATTTATTCTGAAAACGCGAGTTACGCGTTAGAAGATAATTATCGGCAATGTTTAGGTAGGTAGGGGAGATTGTGTAAAAGTGGATCACGGGGTACAGTGGATTACTGTCTATAACTCTGTATTACGCTTACGCTCTCTGTATTACTTTTTTTTAAATCAGGTTCCACGTATTACACTATTTAGAAGAATAGTTTTTGATTTTTCTAACCAATTCTGACACAGTGTTATATCTTCCGCTGTTGTTGATTTTGTTTGACCTTTCACTTTTAACAAAAGCCTGTCACGCACAACACAATTGGGATTTTTCTCATTCTGTATTTTTATTAACTAAGATTAATTACTAAATCCAAACGAGATATTACTACGTAAACAATGTCACTATATTACGTTACTGTGTGTTCGCCTTTAAATATTTGTTATAAATAAACTATACTTAATAATTTATTTATTTGAAATCACATTTATTCAAAATAATAGTATGTATATTTATATAACAATCGTCGACTTCGTAAAATATCGACTGTGTTTATACACGCAAAAGAAAGATACGTTTAGACTTGTTTTCGAGACAAAAACAAAGTAAACAAACATGCATCAACTTGTCGTATATTGTAGCGTACGACTAGGTGCTCGTATAAAACAAATTTAACAATAAAGGGATAACTGGAAAAAGAATAATATACATATGAATTATCCTAACTTGAAACGTACCCAAACAAAACAAGAATTAAAAGATTTTTTTAGGTGTATCCATACTGATTTTTTAATTTTTATGCCACTTGTATAGAATACAGCTAATGCTTAAAATAAAGTTTACCAATAAGAATTATAAAAAATTGCAAACATAAAGGATATAAGCACACCTCAATTTCGTACTATTTTATAATAATAATAATTATTATTATTATTAAAATTACATTAAAAAATCAGAGCAATATTACACACTTGACTGGTCTGATATTTATATATGGATAGTAATCATATTTTTTTAACACTGTTCTACCCTAGTGAAAATTAAAAAAAAAATGTTATAGTGCATAGTATATAGAAAAAAAGGGTCTTATATAGAAAAAAAACGTGATAAGTAGTGTCTCTTAAAATACGTGATATTTTTATCTTTTCAATTTTATTTAATTTGTGATATTTCAAAATATGAAACACTACGAAGACTTCAAAGTAACTTATTTGATACTTCTTTGGAGTATCTACCATTTTCAAAAAGGACCACAAAAAAATTATGTTGCATATTTTTTTTTTTTATTAATTGTTTTATTTGAGATACTAGCGCATGCAGAGGGGATAGCTTAGGGAAATGTTTTTCTTAAGGAGGTAATTTCATGGTAAAAATATCAACCTAACATACCCGTGGGTCATCTGAAACATGCTTACCCCTGCATCTTTAATTTTTAGATTTTCTTAAAAACTAGATCGATTCGACAAATTTTCAAATAATTCGAAAGAGATTCGATATAATAATCGCGACAAGATCGCGACGGAGGTAAATATAGCGCAACTCGAACACGCAACGCCTATTGAAGTTTTCAATTTTCATATCGGGAAGTAAAAAAATAATTATGATTAAATTCTTATTGGGTTAGCATTTTTTACTAAAAATAGCATTATTGGAAATCGCCAACAACATTTATAAATTAACAGATATGGAACGTAACGTATTTATTCATCTCATATAATATCCCATCTATCATTATTCAGTCTCGGGCCCTTCTGGCCCAGTCCGACACTGCATAAGTCCGTCGTCTAGTAATGCATGAGCGGCACTGGGTTGGATGGGCGGGGACGGTGCCGACGCGTTCCTCGCACCGCGCAGGGGCCCCTCAGTTGCTTCGAAGTAAAAGCCGTAAGCCCCAAAACTATTTCTTTAAATTTAGAGAGTAACATTCAAATAATATATAATGATGTCTTGGTGTAATGAAAGAACTGACTTTGAAATATTTTTCAGTGTAAGAATAAGACAACTAAAGGTATTTTATATCTTTTTTTTTCGTAAAAGAAAACTTAACTAATCATATTTCTGCTTTGGTACGGTTCAGACTGTAATGAAAAACTACGTAAAAAAGTATAAGAGTTCTAGCATTTATATTTGAAAGGCAGTGTGATATTAAAGATCTCGAAAATGTTGATTTTTTTGAGAGAGCAGACTTAAACAATTTACTAAAAAATTTCAGATGCTACGTTTGACAGCAGCGACCAGAGCGAATCCGACGAAGAAGAAGAGCGCCCGTCGCGCGCCGCTACCTCCGCGCCCACGCCCACTCCTGCCGCAGCCGCTGCGCCCCCCGGCGATGACGCGCAAAACGGCGTTGCGCTTGAGACGCAGCGGTCACCCGATGACGTCACCGCGGACGGCGCACAACAAGACTCACAAGCTGGCGAAAATAATACACAGGTACCGTGTGTGCGTGCGTTGAGTGTATCTCTGTCATGTATCCACCATCACTGACTGTACAACTGTCAACTATGCAGGGCCCGTTCGGGCTGCCGGCGCAGCTGCGGCTGGCGGCGCTGGCGCGGCGGCGCGAGCGCACCCTGCGCGCGCGTTCCGACCGCTACCTGTACACGCTCTACACCGTCGCCGTGTTCTACGCGCTGCCCGTCGTGCAGTTCGTGCTCGCCTTCCAGATCGTAACTCTCATTCACTTTATTTTAAAACTAACTTTGGGGATCAAATTAGAAAACAGAAAAAAGTTTTCTATTATATCTTGTGATATATTATAATAATATATGACTTATACCTAAATGTATCATGTGCGTGTTGCAACGTGTCTGAGTGTGATCGGTGGCCGGTGACCGGCGTGTGCAGATCCTGATCGTGTCGGGGTCGCTGGACATCTGCTACTACAACTTCCTGTGCGCGCACCGCGCCGGCACGCTCAGCGACTTCAACCACGTGCTGTCCAACCTCGGCTACCTGCTGCTGGGCGCGCTGTTCCTGCTGCAGGTGCGCCGCCGCCGCCTGCGCCGCCGCCGCCGCCCGCGACACCAGGTCGGACAGCCCACCAGACTCAAACACGGCTTAATCACAAAATCTCAAAGTTAATGTTAAAGATAAAATCATGAAAATTGCTTATCCTTAGGATATTGTTGTTATATTATAAAAACTATTTAAAAATTACTTTTGAAAATATACTTTTAAGGGAAGGAATCGGGGGCTTATATTATGTTATTCTAGCATTGCCCGCGGTTCCGCCCGCGTTCAGATGGCCAAAAAAAAATTCTTAGGTTTTACATATTAGTATACTCTTACAATGCAGTTTTGGTATTTTTTCTCGGAAAAGAGATATTTTCTCGCGTTAAAAAGTATCCTATATGTTGACCCAGATAACCAGCTATCATCATACCAAATTTCATCAAAATCTGTCTAGCGGTTTTTTCGTGATGCGACAACAGACAGACAGACAAAAATTCTAAAAACTATAGATTCGGACTCTGTATTGATAATAATGTCTATTTCAATTAGATTCCCAAAAAAATATTTAATGTACAGATTCGACTTAGTTACAATTTTATTATATGTATAGATTATGTACCTTTTCCCTTTTAATTCGCTATTGTCGGCTCACGCGAAACGAGTCGCGGACTTAGCTGGTTACTAATATGTCTAACTTGCGCGGTGTTGTGGTGCGCGGCGCAGGAGTACGGCATCCCGGCGCACTACGGGCTGCTGTCGGCGCTGGGCGCCGGCATGATGGTGGTGGCCGTGCTCTCCGCCAGCTACCACGTCTGCCCCAACAGGCTCAACTTCCAGTTTGGTCAGTCTCACATTTGTTCTTCTCAAGTTGGTTTGTTTGATTGAACCAAAGTACTACACTGAACTCTATATATTTTGCAATAAACATGGTCATAATTGGTTTTTGGTAAAAATGATTTTTGGATATTTGTTACACATTCATGCCAGAACGGCTGAACGGATCTGGATTAAATTTGGCGCAGACATAGATTTTAAATCTGGAATAGCACATAGGCTTTTTTCATTGTTTATCCCGGAAAAAGTACGATTCCCGTGGGATAGATTTGTTTTTTATTTGCTAGAGGCGAACCCGAGCGTATCGAGGGTGAGCCGCTAGTATCATAATAATATCAACAGTCTCTCTTTGTCGACTGCACAGTGAATATATTATATTATGTATACTAATGTAAGCAATAACGCTTATCGACAGACACGTCGTTCATGTACGTGCTGGCGGTGCTGATGATGGTGAAGATCTACCAGTCGCGGCACCCCGACGTGAACGCGCGCGCGCACTCCACCTTCGGCGTGCTGGCCGTGCTCATGGCGCTCGGTACGTCACACGCTCCTCATTCTTGTCATTTCGTAAAAGTCCCTATCAACCGCCGATACAATCCCCTTTGTTATCTTTAAGAATGTTCCAACACTTACTTTTGAGAACAAAAACAAAAAAAATATGTGAAGCGTATATCATATTTAGTACTCAAATGCCGTGCGTTACAAATAAATGAATCGAGAAAACTTGACACTACTAAGGGCCACAGGATACTTACATACATTAAAAAATATGCACCCTGAAACCATAATATCTAAATTAATTAATACTCTTTTCTTGTTTATAACATAATTATAAATGATAAAACCTACTTATTATTTTAGAAAATGTCTACTTTGTTTGTCTTTTCTCGAGCTAACTCTTGTACAAAACGAGCTATCAAGCCAAAAAACAAGAGGAAAACACCTCGTTAATGAACTTGTAATTTCGATAGTTCATGCTTATAAAGTTAGCTTTGACTCGTCGTAGAAGCATGTACACTCACTTGGACATGCTATTTAGTTTGTACATATTGATTGTATAACTATGGTTGGCGGTGCAGTGGTGTGGGGTGTGCTGGGCGGCGGCGCCGTGTTCTGGGGCGTGTTCACGGTGCTGCACGTTTTCACCGTGCTGCTGCTGTCGCTGCGCGTCTACTACGTGGGCCAGCTGCGCTTCGGTGAGCTGACTACTCTTGCTTACTTACATGACACACCTACAAAAATACACGTTTATATTATTTGAATATTTTGCTGCTTGTAATTTTCACTGAAACATGAATTAAATAAATTTAAATCTTCCGTACAGAGATATACATGATGTGTAATAGATATTAGGTGTTTGTTGAGTGTGCGAGTGGCGAGTGAGTGGCTAGTTCGGTGTGTGCAGAGAAGCAGAGCCTGGTGACGGCGGCGAGCGAGCTGCGAACCGGCGCGCGGCCGCTGTACCGCACGCGCCTCGCCATGCTGCTGCTCATCAACGGGCTCAACTGGCTCTTCGCGATATACGGGTATTCGTGTTTGTACATTTATATGATAGGTACAACACAATCGGTTGGGTCACATTTCATATTAGTTTAATTTTAAAATAAAATTGACGGAATTCCGGAAGGAGAAAACGTCGCGTGTCAGCACAAGTTAACTGCTGGTAAGAAATTAAATCATAATGGCGATTTAGGCTGTATAAAAAAATTATAGATTTGGTAAATAATTATTATTTTATAGAAGTCACAGTAACAACTTTACCGATTTACAATTTGCATGTACGTCTGTGCACGATGTCAATGGTTGTGTTTAGTGTAGGAAATAGTCCGAAATGTTGTTTTAATGGCTAAATTAGATTATTAAATTGATCGTTTAAAGTGAAGGACAGTAATATATTAAGTTGTCATGTGGTGCGTGTCGACTGTCGGGTCGCAGGCTGCTAGGGCACAGCCGCGACTTCGCGGGGCACATGCTGCAGGTGCTGCTGGGTAACGCGCTTGTGTACATGGGCTTCTACCTGGTGATGAAGCTAGTGCACGGCGAGCGCCTGCGCGCCCACGCGTGGGTGCTGCTGGTGCTGGCCGCGGCCGCGTGGGTGCCCTCGCTCTACTTCTTCACGTACGGGTACGCCGAGTGGGCGCTGCCGCCCGCGGTCTCGCGACACCTCAACCACGAGTGTCTGGTGAGACCCGACTTGTCTTATATCAAATCTAAATATACATACTTTATTCATGTAAGAATTTTGTGACAACATTTGAATTGTTGATTATTACATTTACAATAAATAAAATATTATATTTTATCGTTCAGGTGTTACAGTTCTACGACTCGCACGATCTCTGGCATATATTGTCGGCGATAGCTCTCTATCTCACCTTCAATGTGCTGCTGACGTGGGACGACGGTCTGTCTGCTGTAAAACGTACAGAAATTCCAGTTTTTTGACGTATTAAAAAAAATATAGTCGATAGAATAAACCTTTTTTATTTTCCCGTCTTTACTTTATATTTATTTTATTTTATCTATACATATAATAAAATTGTAACTAAGCCGAATCTGAACATTAGATATTTTTTGGAAAATGTTATTGAAATAAACATTGGTTGCGCCATTTTGCAATATGCAATTGTGATGGGTTAAGCCGCGTGAGTGCGCTGATGCACTCACCCCAGTCGTCGTTACACCGTGTAGCAATTAACACGGCTTCCGCATAATTAATTATCATCCCGCATCGCGCGCGCGCAGGTTGACCGTGCCTATACGCTTTATAAACTTTTTATTTACTGTGTACATACTATACGAACTTTAAGTGCTCTGTGCTAATTTACATGGAAGCGGAGATAGGAGTTGCAGCAGAAGGTGAGTCCCGGAACTTTTGTTTTTGCATGTGGTGTGTCCATCACCGGCAGGGAATCCCTTCTCAGGAAATAATACGCCTCCCCGCAACTAAATACAGTCCACTTGCTCCACCAAACATTATTATCGATACAGAGGCCGAATCTATAGTTTTTAGAATTTTTGTCTGTCTCTCTGTCTGTTACCGCATCACAGAAAAACCACTGGAGGGATTTTGATGAAATTTGGAATGATGATAGCTGGTTATCCGGGTCAACATATAGGATACTTTTTACCGCGGGAAAATATCTCATTTCTCAGAAAAAATACAACAACTGCAGTGTAAGAGTAAACTAATATGTAAAACCTAAGAATTTGGTTTTTGGTCATTTGAACGCGGGTGGAGCCGCGGGCAATGCTAGCTAAATATAAAAATGAGTTAATTTCATTTCAGAAAAAGTTCTTTTCTTAACCGACTGTAGACTTTGTTTTGTTCATAAATATCAACGCACAAGCATTAAATATTGGAACCACTGTGCGTAGCAGCAGAGGAGCAGGTCGAACAAGCAGGCGTTGTGGCGAGCATTTACGTATACCACTCAGACACCAGGTGTATGTGGTGACTGACCAGCTAGTGGAGAAGCCATACTGCCCACGTAAACCCAACGATCCTTCCCTGTCTTAATCGGTACAGCGACACACTACGCGCTCAACCATGGCCCGCCGATGGCTATCCTCCCAATATTTTTTTAACAATGAAAATGTTTTATTTTGTCGCTTCAGTATGGGCGATTTTCAGCGAAAGGGTGACATCGCCCTAGTGTCGTGGATTTTGGGACTACGTGGTTGATTGGGATGTTAAAAGATGTGTCTGAATGAGGGCTATAAAATGCAAAAAAATTTTCAAAACATTCAAAGACATTCATTCTTTTTTAAAATCGAAAAAAATGCGGTCGCTTTTCGCTCGGTTTCGGTCAGAAAAAAATCATATCTCGAAATGAAATAAGATATCGAAAATATAAAAAAACCCCTAGTGATATGACTTCGGACTACATTTAAAAAATATTGGAGGTTCATATCACTGATGGGTTATTCAGAAGTTGTACCATTGTGACGCTGAGTTTACGCGTAGAGAGTGCTTGAGCGCAATAATGACGGTGAATAAATGTTTTGGAGCATGATTTTCTCTTTAAACCGAAGTGATTCTTTGTGAATAAATAAATATGTATTTAAACTAATAACTAACTAATATTTATACATAGTATCTGGGCTACCGAGCTTCGCTCGGGAGTTTTTGGCCTAAAGTACAATTTTCTTTTTTTTTTAACTAAAAACTTGAGTTGAAACCTGATTACAATGACTTCTTTTTCTAACATCATAACTTTCTTTTATTCTATATTAGCGACTCACCCTCGCTCCGCTCGGGTTACGTTTTAAAGTTTAGTATAGATTTCTCAGAGATGAGATATTTTCCCGTAGTAAAAAGTATCCTATATGTTTGTGTTACCTTTTTTTTTTTAACGTTGGGAAATGCATTTACGCACGACGTGTGGGACTCACCGGCGTAATACAGCCAGTACTACCCACTAAAACCCAACAAAACCTTCCTCCGTCTGAATGGGGCGTCGCAGGATCGCTTACGCATTCAACTACGACGCCCCGACGGCAGGTCTGCCGAAGCAGACCACCACAACCATGGGGTTGCTCCACAGTCCACTCTGCTATCAGAGAAGTACCAGGAGCAACCCGCATGGTACACCGCCCCCCGAAGAGGGCCACCTCCCACCGCCCACAGAAGTGGGCAACCTCCCTGTGCGTTTCTTAGCTTCGCGCCCGGTTGGATTGCCGGGCACTACTGAGCCCCCCCACCACGACAAGGTGAACGCACGTTGGGGGGGGGATATGTTTGTGTTACCTGGTTAACCAGCTACCATCATACCAAATTTCATCAAAATCCCTCCACTGGTATTTCCGTGATGCGGTAATAGGCAGACAGACAGACAGACAGACAAAAATTCTAAAAACTATAGATTTGGCCTCTGTATCGATAATAATGTCTATTTCAATAAGATTTTCCAAAAAATATTTAATGTACAGATTCGGCTTAGTTACAATTTTATTATATGTATAGATAAAACATAAATTAATTACTTTAAAAAACTATTTTCGGGTATTCTGCTCATGGTTGGCTCCAACGGGATAAGCTGGGTATTTTGAGGTTTATTGTATATTTATATTGAAGGTATATCTGGTAAAACACCCTGTTTTCCAATTACAGAGCATAATTGCCGCTCTTTGGCGCAGAAATATATACATCGGGAATCAACACGTCTTATATTTTCTGATACTGAGTTGCTATTCGTTGTGTGCATTACGGCAATGCAGTACTTTTCAAAGTGCTCGATTGTGCGAAGCGTCGCAGTAGTTGAAAAAATCGAAATTGAGCATCATGTCGTAAAGTGCGCTTTAGTGCTGTAATTGGAAAACGGGCCCTGTTTTTCAATTACAAAGCATAATGCCGCACATTGGCGCACAATGCCGAAGTGTGCTAATGCTTAATTAGAACATGTATTAGTTTTCAAGTGCGCCAGCAGAGGGAACTAGGTTCAGTGTTGAAACAAAAAATGTAACTAATAAATATATAATAAAACATATAAATTATATAATAACTATTATTTAATAAGTATACAATAATATTATATACATAATAAATATATAATACTAGACACTCTCGCTTCACTAGGGATCGTCCCTAGTTTGCTTCCCCATACAAACTTTCATGCCCATTCTCACTCCCTTAAGGGATGATTTCCGGGATAAAGACTATTTCACTTACTCATTTTTCATATCATGAGATTTAAAAAGAAACTTATTTTACTAAAAAAATTCTTCTATTCAAAGCTTATCCTGACAATAAAAAACACAAAAAAAATTCTTCTATACAAAGCTTGCCCTGCCAATAAAAAACACAAAAAAAAGAATTAACCAATTTGGTGCAGTCAATTGAAAGCTATGCGCGTACATTTTTGTATATTTCGGTGATTCATTTTTATTTATATCCATACTACTATTATAAATGTGAAAGTGTGTCTGTTTGTTTGTCCTTCTTTCTCGTCAAAACGGAGTGACGGATTGATATCATTTTTTGTGTGGAGATAGCTGGAGAGCTGGAGAGTGACAAAGGCTACTTTTTACCGCGGGAGATTTTTTAAATCTCACAGGAAAACACTTGAAACTTGGTATTAATGCTCTTCAATGAAATTAAATAAATGCGTGTTTTAGCATTTTTCGAAATTTATCTTATAGGGGGTAAAATAGGGGATAAAAGTTTGTATCTTTTTTTAGAGTTTTTTTGTAGTTTTATCGCGAGCGAAGACACGGACTCTGCTAGTAGATTATGAATAAAATATAAATAATTGTTACTAATAACGTAACGTAAATAAAATTGTGATCAATGCCACCTTGAAGAAAAAACACGTCTTATATTTTCTGCTACTGAGTTGGTATATCGCTCGCATCGCGCCAAAGCAGTACTTTTCAAAATGCTCGATTGTGCGGAGCGTTGCTGTAGTTGAAACATTCGAAGTTAGTATTATACCGCATAATGCGCTTTAGTGCTCTAAATAAAAAACAGGGAGGGTCAATGACTGTTATCTCATGGCAGTCCTGCTCATTGTGCGCTCTTTTTTTGAGGACACTTGGGATGGTAGCTGTGTATGTTATGCTACGTTTACACGCTTGCGTACAAGCTCTAAGCCTTTACAAACGCTTAGATGCCATTTACCCGCTTGCAAGTGCATTAATATGCAAACTGCAAAGAGCATGTTAGTGTGTTCCGGATAGGCAAGCTGTGCAGACGTGGACGATGAAGTTGTATCGACTATTGCGATTTACGTTTGGCTTGACATAGGTATTTTTAACTATACATATAATAAAATTGTAACTCAGCTGAATCTGTACGTTAAATATTTTTTGTAAAATCTTATTGAAATAGACATTATTATCGATACAGAGGCCGAATCTAGATTTTAGAATTTTTTCTGTCTATCTGTCTGTGACCGCATCACAGAAAAACTACTGGAGAGATTTTGATGAAATTTGGTGTGATGATAGCTGATTATCCGGGTCAACATATAGGATACTTTATACTGCGGGAAAATACGTTATGGATGTAACGTTAAATCGTAAACAAAAAGAAAGGAAGCGAAAAGTTCGGCACAGAATATGGTCGATGTTAAAAGGCCATAATTTTGTCGTTTGACCAACAGCCAACTACTCATGTTTGATAAATGATAGTAGACACTAAACACGAACCAACGTGTATGTAAATACGCTACAAGCGCTTGCCACAAGCATCTTTCTTTTGATCTGTGTTCAAATATCGTCACTAGTCCGGATCGTGACAAGCTCACGCAAGCCAAGCCAAACACCCCGTTCACACGTTTCAAGCGTGATGCTTGTGTTTGTGGACATTTGTCGAGACTTGCCAAGCGTGTAAATGTAGCGTTAGGTTAGGTTAGTTTTTATTTTTAATTTATCAATATTCTACGTATTATATAATATTACAAAAACTATCTAAGGGAAATGTTTTTATTATTTCCTATAATATATTATTAGGAATATAATTCCTTATATAATTATATAGACATTTCATTTAGAAATCGTTAAAATAACATTTTGGTTTTGCAGAACTTGTTTTTGCACGCTACTTTAAGGCTCAAGCACTGACAAAACGTTGAAAATGAAATGTCAATGACGTCACATGATCGACAGTCTTGACTCTTGTTCTCATTATTTTTATTTCGCAATTTTTAAAAGATCTTTATATTTTTAAGCATATTACTTTTAAATAACTTTATTAAAGTTAGTGACATGGATAATCAGTACTACTATAAGCTAATGGCCAGTTACCTGTCTAAACGAAACTGTGACGAGTCTTTTATGAGGTATTTTTTTGGTAAGAATGCAACAAAGAAAACGCCTGAAGAATTGGAACGGGCAGACGAGCGGAAGCGCAGACTGCAACGAGAACGATCGCGAAGATATCGTGCTCTTAAAAACGCTAGACGACAACATGAAGGTGTGCGTGACAATGCGGACAACGAACCGACGCGGAGCAAGTCCCGCGGAGTGTCCATTGACGAGGAACTGAGCGACGGTGACGAGCCACCGACGCTCTGCAATCTCTCTTATGACGATAAATGGCGAGAACCCCTATCTTCGGACTGCGCGTCCGACGACAATTCTGCACATAGTGCCGCCGAGTTGAAGGAGGCTGCTCTCTCGGGGAATATATCCCTTAATTTAAAAGAGTTCCTTAGTTCTCCAAATATGGAGCTTGACTACCCGACCGTGCACAGCTTAATGTTCCATTGGTTGCAAACGTAGCATATCTGTTGTATGAGAATGTCTGAATGGACAACACTTACTTACTTGGCCCATATCATTTTATCATTATTATACTTAAGTATTGGCTATACCATGAAGTTTAAACTAAACAAATAAATTCCATGCCAACACAACTGGATTGTGAGTATGGTTTACACATATCAAGATAGAGATTGCTTCTGTACAATAATATTACATCAGTTGAAAAACCGTCCTGTTGTAGATTAGAAAATACATTATGTAATTTAATCATTTAATGATACAGGCTCTTTGTGATTTTGTAAATTAATGATTATGATGCCATTTTTTGTTGAAATTTACCATAATGTTCGATATATATCAGAAAGAAAATACAAGTAGAAATCAATATGAATAGATTACATTTATGTGATGTTTAAGTAGTAAATGGTGATAACATATTATGTCCTACTCCCTACTTTATGCTGCTTAGGTTATTTATTCATACTCAAGTTTGATTGGAACACACATTTGATTGAAGTAAAGAGAAAATTGGTGTGTGTTTAATTTTGTAAAAGAGATAAAATTACATATTTCTCACATCAGTAATATTAAGTGTCACACAGAATAAGCAAATGGTTGTTTATATTAAGAATGAGCTTGTGTCACTAAGAAGTAAGATCCCTATAATGAGCTTGACATCAGGTGTGATGTGAGCTCTACACTCGACACTAGTTGATAATTATTCCACTAGACAATAAGTTGTTGTTAAGTTGCCATATCCTAATATTTAGATACTCAATTATATTACATATTATATATGCATATAGAGAAGTATAGAGTATATATACCTATAGTTTGTGATACAATGAATTTACATTTTGTGCGAAATCTACAATATTAGCTGTGTTAAGTATTAGTGTAAGTAAATGAGATGAGGTACATTTGTTGTCACTGCTGTTGGCCCAACAGCATGAGTCGTAAACCACTCCACTGCCTATTTGAAGCTGTTAGCACATTCCTTGATTTTAAATAGTGTTCATCTCATGTTAGCAACTTGCACATTTTGTTTAATAAGATAAGTCAAACATTACCACTCAGTCCAAGAATGTCTCAATTTTTATTGCATTTAAATTGTTAATACTCAAAAACATGCTCTCTTTATTTTGATTAAGTTTATAATGAAATAATAATCATAAAATTTGTTAATATTCAGATGGCATTTATAAAAACACAGGACAGTACTAAAATCATGCAACTATTCTTGTAACTTAAAGTTTAATTAATATACATGTAATAAAAAAAATGACTTCCTTTAGATATATAGGTATTTCAATTATTTTATTTTAGTAATCAAGTGTTGAATTATATGTTTATATAATAAATAATCATCATTCCTTAGGGAATTAATTATAGTACGAGTGCCTGTTGTTAGATATTATACATTATACTTTGGCCATATGAGTTAGAATAGTGTTAAGAGCGAATTATACAATGTAGATGGCGCTAATAGATCAAATAAGAATCATTGTAATATTCAACTTTACTGGTGCTTAAATTCAAACTACTACAATATTGATTTTCAAAATAAGTCATTCACATACTCCCAAAAAATGTAAATATATATATATATATATATATATATATGTATTCACATGAATGAAACAATACACTTGTCGAGTACACAGTCAAATAGTTGTATATATTGAGTTCAATATGTATTGTATTTGAAAATCTTGTGTTATGTTCGATTTTCGAACCCTAATCTGAGCATTTGTTTGCTGCAGACTGCTGGCTGGTGCAAGGCTTGTTTCAAATACCTTGACCTGCGACATCACTTTTAAACCTGCCCAGTGCTGGCCGACGTCCACTTGCTGGAAAGTGTACAAGTATTATCAACTTTAGCACGTTTCACGAGTCCGTGTACTGTTTTTACTTTAGGGCTTCATAGGCTAACTCAAGAAAAATCTCATATATAATATACATTGTAGAAATTAAACATGGATATAATCTTTTTAATTTGTTTCAAATGACTGAATTCATTGTTGATTCCGAGCCACGGTATCAGTTGCAGTCCTCGCCGTGGCCGTCTGTAGTTGCAGTGATAACCCGCTCCGGCCGCTTCCGGTAGTCGCCGGTGACGCCTTCGATTGCATTGTATCTTGCGTATTGATATAAGTAGGTACTGTAAGGTAGTGCCATATTAAAGAGCTTCCTATTTTTTAATTATTGTTTTATTTTATTACATTCTGCCCTAGGTTCTTCTGGGAACCCATTCAAACCTTACAACCGACATTTTACACTATTAATGGTAACAAAATCAAACAAACACAAAAGTTCGAAACACTTTGAAACTTGATGTAGGGTAATTTTATAAAATTCCTAATCTACTTATAATAAAAGTCACTTAACGAAATCTGTATATAAAATATTTAAAAAAAACACTTACTGTAGCTTGTTGTGTACAGAATATTATAGACCCCAAAACAATGTTATTAATTGTTTTGTCTGTTTGTGTGCGCCTTCCACGCAAAAGGTCTTCAATACAATTTATTAAATATGTGTTTGTATTTTCCGAAATTTATCCCATAAGAGGGGTAAAATAGCGGATGAAAGTTTGTATGAAAACTACCTTTTTAGTTTTGTAGTTTTAGCGGGAGCGAAGACGCGGGTTCTGCTAGTAATAGATAAAACTACAATTTTGTGTTGTCATTTCAATTCTAGATGTTCTAGCCCTACAATATACTATTGTTATATATAAGTATGTGAGGAAAATAATGTCAAAAAAACCTTAACTAATAGACGAGGCATGTGTAAGAGGCAAGTTATATTAAAAGTATGAATAACGTTAATGACTAACATTATGTTTGTATTATTTAAAAACTCCAATATGGTCTCATAAAAAGCGTCAAAAGCCACATAGAAACCAATAAATATTTATTGAGTTTTTCCATATTGACACTGTAGGTTTATGTAAATACGACAAACTAGATTTGATTATTTTACGACATTCAACATCGTAGGTAGTGCGGCCAATGCTAGGTCTCAATGTCAGTCTACCTACGTGCATACTGTATACCTAATTTATTATTTAGGTAACTAATTTGCATAATTATAACAAGTAGCATTTAAAAATATCTATATTGAGAAACGTTTTTGCCGCGATAGCTCGGCGAGTTGCGGGCCATGGCTTCAAGCTGTTTACAATATACTGTACAGTGTATAGGTTTCGCTGAAGTTCAAATAAAAAAACATGGCTTATTATGATAAAAATATTTATATTTACTGTGAAAAATATAATATCAAATTAATATAATAAAATGTTTAACTTATTCACAGCCATCAAACGTTGAAATACTTAATAAAACCTGACCAAATCCAGACTTACGAGTATATTTTTGCTCCATATGGATAGACTAATGGCAAAATGTAGTGCATTAAATATAAACCTCATCATAGAGTTATTTATGAGGTTTATATTTTTTTATAATAATAATAGCCATTGATTATAATTTTAAATTGTCCCTATTTACACTAACGTACGACGGGAGTCAGGCCGGGTGTAGGCGGATCAGTAGACGCATACACCCAGATCACAGGTACAAATCTGGCCATTATATTGTAAAATGTTTATACTATTGAAATACAATAATATGGCAAAATTGTATTTTATAATTGTAATGTAAATATTATAACTATGTGTAGTGAATGTATTCTAAATAAATTAGCATAACTAAATATGACAACAAATAATTAATTATTAACTACGAAAACAATCTTTACACAATAAAGGAAATCTTTGGATACCGTTAAGGATGGAATAACTGTCAATATTGTTTTATAATTAGCTAATTAGAGTTGCGTACAAGTGGGCTGAGGCGTGTGCGCCCGGTCGAGTGGAAACCCCCACTTTCAGGCATTAGAGCGGTTTCTTATGTTTTTTGTAATTGTAAAAGTACGGTATGCGATGAATGCGACGCGTGCCGTATGTGGTTCTGTGCGGGTGAGCCCGGCCTCCGCCAGCGCGTGGGCGCTGCGCCGCCGCGATGACCCTCGCGACCAGCGCTCGTGTACGTCTCAGTGATACTCTCTAACATGAAATCCTGTACCATGTATAAAATTACCTATGTGACCAGAAAAAAGAAGGTATGATGTGTATTATTGGTGGTGGTAATGTATGCACTTATGTCTTGCAATATGTTTCTGATGGTACTTGCTTATTATTGAGAGTATTTTTAACGCTTATAGAGAGTGGAAACTTAACCCTGCCCGATAACTTCTCACACACCCCATTGTAATCATCAGCATTTAATGAGTAGATCATTGCACCTCGCAGTTTGTTATCTTTAATATATTTTGCTTTAGCTATAACACTGTCTGTATCGTCAAATGATACCCATTCAGAGTCATTGTATAAATATGGCACCAGTGCTTGGATGTCGTTCTTAACCACTGTTTTATTTTCATATTTTCTCAAGAATACACAGATGTCAGGATAGTTTACAAAGCCTAAGTCACCCAGCTTACCAAAGCCCAAAGCGGGGCTACCAATCTTAGTATTGTTAATATTAATCAATGTAAATGTATGCCCATAAGTGGGTATTCCAACAACAATTTTCTTTGGATCCAATCCCTTGTCTTTATACATTTGCACAGTATAATTTATATTAAGTGTGGCAAAGTAGAATTCTTCTCCTTGTCTTGCATATAGAGGAGAGTTAAGACCAGTGAATGGAGTGAATTTTGTATAAGAATGAAAATCATAAGTCATTAAGTTTACATAATCTGCATACATATTAATTTGATCCACATCATATGCGACATCAACTATTACTTGTGGAGCAGCCACAGCAAGTGTAAGCAAATAATCTTTTTTTTCTCTTATATATTCAGCTCTAATTTCTCGCAACAGCTGAGAGAAATGCTGCCTCTCCCTTTTTCCTAACCTGTTCCGATATAGTTGTATAGCTGGATACTCCCAGTCCAAATCTATTCCATCTAGTGAAAACTTCTTTAATATACTTTTGATTGATCTAATAAAAGTTTTCCTTGCAGCATGGTTTATTACCATTTCTGAAAAGCCATCATGACTACCAGCACCTCCTACAGAGAGGAGGATCTTTAAGTTTGGATTGTCCTTTTTTATTTTAACAAGGTCATGTAAAATTTTGTACTGTGAGTCTTCTAAATAGATTTGCTTATTTTTTATTTGAGCAAATGCTATATTAATGTGAGTGCATAAATGAGGATGAATATTAGCAGGCATAAGTTGTGAACTGTTGGGTACTTGAGGATCAGGCAAATTATAGTAGCAAGATACTACATCATAATCTTTTATGTATTCACTTAATAGTTTATCTTTATATAAATTCCAACAAATGAACTCTTTGAATACAGAACTTTGAAATCCAGTAAACCATAAAGTTGAAGCAAGACTTATTCCTAAGAGAGCTACAAGTAATAAAATTCTCTTGTTAGATATTTCAGCTTTGATCACTTTTACATTTAACTCTTGTACTAAGTTTGATTGACTGAAAACATCTTGCTTTTCAGTTCTAATTTTTTTTAAAACCATTGTTCACTTCACTCTTATAAACACAGTTCTAGTAAATAAAATTAAAATGCTATAGTTATACTGCTATGATGCAAAAATATGGTATGAACTATGAAGTTAGGAATTAAGACAAAACAATTAACAAATCGTCTATTAGAGATAGAAAACAAGTACAAGGTCAATAATCTTATACTTTACAAACGTCAATTCAATTGATTTATAAAAGAATAAAGAATATTTTTATTTACAAAAAGGGTTTTTTATAAAATATACTGTGTTTATGTTAAATTATTTTACTAATATTTTTTTTTAATTTATATTAAATCTGAAATTTGTCAATAATATATTTTTAAACGATCATATGTATTTGTAAGGAAAGCTAGTTATTTAACACTTCTGTTAAAAGATACTGTCATTATAAAATTAAAATATATATAGAAAGCGCCCAATTCTGTTTTTTTACAAAATTTATACGAGTATATGATTTTATTATAAACAAATATCTTATAATTCACGAAAAGATGCAGATGATCAAGACCTAAATTGCTCTCAAAAGTGAATGCTTAAAATATTGACATACTGTCACCTTGACTTTGGACTTTCTGAATTCTGTTAGATGTCATTTGTCAATAATTACAATGGGACTGACGGCTTCATAATTAAACCATGTCGTTTGTGATTTTTTTTAACTATAATGCAACATGTGATCTTTAGCACGTAAATATTAGGCTTTATGCGCTTTAAATGGTTTACTTTTTGAGTAAACGGTCGCAAGATATGGCTAGCGCGTCTATGAATCACTACGAAAAACAGCTGTACAGTGTGTTTAAAACCTTCGACGTAGATAACGAGGAAGCCTTAGACAGGTCAGCAGTACTTCAGCTTTGTGACACGTTGCAGCTAGAAGACCGCGGAGCAGCGCTCGTCGACACGCTTTTCGAGCGCCAGTCAGACCGTGTCACCTTCGCACAGTTCCGAAACGGACTTCTGTCTGTGCTTGGTAGCGATTCGGTACCGCGGCCAGGACTGTCGACTAGTGCAGAGTGTGGCAGTGTCCCACTGTGTAAAACTACTTCACCACACCACAGTGACGACGATTCTTCTGGAAGAGAAGTAGCGCCTAAGTTCGTGTTTGGTTCAAAGAAATACGGGCGACGATCGCGTCCTCAGCGCGTAGCTTCAGAAGACTCACCACGGCATCGGGTTGCTTCGGAGTCGCGTCTCGACAGTGCCCGCGCCAGGCAACGCATGAGGTGTAAACGAAGCGCCTCCGCAATGGAGAGTCGTGACGACTCTACTGTCGATAGTTATACTGCAGACCTCGACCACGACCGGCGAGTAGATCGTGACCGTGCACTCGCGCTCTGTCGTAGTTTCGGTATGCGTGATATCGACCACTGTTTAGTGAACCGCATATTTGAAACATCTTCCACTGAGGAGATTACAGTGGGTGAATTTTTCGATCTGCTTAATTCCTCACTTACGACTTCTATCGCTGCTTCACTCGACGGAGTGTCGGTGGATGATAGTTCCAAGTTTAAGATTGATGTAGTTTCCAGTGATGCAGTCGTGGACGCATGGGAAAGAGCAGGCGTCGAAAGACCTAGACGCTTACTAATAGAATTAGGTTTTACGGCTGCCGGTCTTCGACCACACGAACTGGAGCGTGCACTTGATGATGAACTAAGAGCACTTACAACACCCGCGGATAATTCACCGGATGCTCGCGCTCTCCTACTCCTGGCGTCCCACGCACTGGCTCGTTTGCGATTGGATACTGCGTGGCGGATGTTGGATGTCGCCCGAGCCGAGCGTGACAAACTTCGCGATGATCTCGCTGAAGCTAATCGGCGAGCGAGGATGCTCGCTCAGGATGTCGATGAGAACCACGCTCGCATTGAAGCAGAACTGAAGTCGAGCCTTCGCCAAGTTGAAGTGCGGCACGCTGAAGCGGCTCGAGCTGCGGCTGCGGAGGCCGCTGCGGAGAGAGAGCGCGCGGCGGTCGCCCGCTTGGCGCTAGAGGAGGAGGCCGCACGCCGCGCGGAATCTGAGGCACGACTACGCACCGAAACTTCGTCGCTTCAAGAACGTATCGATGATCTCCAGGTTCGTTGTCACTGTAAACTTAACTAATTTTATTACAACTTAAAGTTAATTAAAATGTTTTCTTTTTATTGGATAGGAACGTGTACGCGCCGTGGAGGCTCGGGCGCAACAGGCGGAGCGCGAGCAGGCCCGGCTGCAAGAGGAGGCGCGGGCGGCGGAGGAGCGCGGGGCGCAGCTGGCGCGGAGCGAGCGCGTGGCGATGGCGGAGCTGGACGCGCGGTTGTTGGAGCTACGCGCGGACAACCAGCGCCTGCGCGACCGCAACGACGAGCTGTGCGCGGCGCTGGAGGCCAGCGCGCGTGCCGCCGCTGCCCGCGCCCACGCCGCGCCGTCCTGGCGTGAGGAGGTCGCCATGCAAGCCTTGCCACTTGACTCGCACTTAGCTAATAAACTCGAGGTTCAATTATTAAAAATAATTTATTATGTACTCAAAACCATATACATATACATGTCATACCCTATCTTTAAGTAATAAATTTAACAGTTAAATCAAAAATTAACTAATGAATAGAACAAATACTTGCTTTACTTAATTATATTATACATATACAAGTATTATGTTTGTAACATGCATGGCTCGTCCTTATAATGAGTAAGTTACCATTTGGAACATTCTTGTAAACATAATGCAATTGTTCTAGGTTTCTGATCTATCATTGTCACCAAATGAAAAGAAACCACTAGATCCCAACGAGGTTATACAGAGGTTACGGCAAGTGTTAGATACTATTGGAAGGTTACCATCACAAATAAGAGATGGGTGCCCAATGTGTAATAGTGTGGAAGAAACTATCAGCAATTTGCAAAAAGTGGTGCGAGAATTGGGTGAAGAGATCATAGTACCAGAGTCACAGTCCCGAGGTGTGACGAGAGCGGATGTAGGCCTGCAGACTGACTCAGATATAAATACTGAAAGTGTGGACGCACTGAAGAAAGAGCTTAGTGACATCAAGCAACAACATGAGATTGATAAACAGAATTTGACGTCTGTGATAAAGTAATGACATTGTTTTTAATATCATCTCTTAATTAATCCAATTGAATTTGAATCTTAACAGAAAAATCTTGCCTTCGCCCGGGATTCATTAAGATAAAGAAGGACATGGAAGTTTATGCATTATTTTTTTTTTTAAATATTTTATGTCCTTTGGAAAAACACAGTTTTCTAAACTTGTACTGACATTGCAAATAATAGTGAATTGGAATTTTATTGAGATTGGTTCAGCAAAAAATTAAGCGAGATTTAATCAATTATAACATTGCCATAAGTAAAAAGTTCATTATATTCTTCTTTATTAAATTTATTCATACATTTGAGTTTGAAATTATTTTTCAAATGGTAATTTATTTGGAACGTTTCGCAGAGAGCTAGAGTTGAGCTTGGAGCAAATGAAGTTGGAGTACGACAAGTGCGAGGAGTATTGGACGTGCAAGCTGGAGGACGAGCGCGAGCTGTTCGCGGACGAGCAGCGCGCCGGCGACGAACGCCTCGCTGACCTCGTCGCCAAGATCGCCGACTACGAGCGCCAGTTCGCGCCCGACGCCGCGCATCCCCCGCACCCCCCACACCACCCGCACCACCCCGCGCACCACCCCCTGCCCACCATCGACGAGACGCACAGCCTCGAGCTGCAGTTCAGCGACTTGGAGGACGAGTTCGCTAAGTATAAGACTGAGAAAGAAGCTGAAATTGCAAATAAGGTGTGTATTAGTTCTGTTCAATAAACAGCTTGCTTATTATATTCTAAAATAACAATCTTGGAGAACATGTTGCGACATTAACACACAGCACCATCTAATTCTATGGTAAGCTACGAGGCTTGTGTTATGGATACCTAATGGATATACTAATATTATAAATGTTGAAGTTTGTGAGTATGGATGTATATTTGTTACTCTTTAACGCCAGAACGGCTGAATGGATTTGAATGAAATTTGGCACAGATTCGGCATAGTCTGAAATACACATAGTCTACTTTATATCCGGGAATAATGTACGGCTACCTTGGGATAGGTTTGTTTTTGTCTTCCTAGAGGCGAACCCGAGCGAAGCGAGTGTGAGCCGCTAGTACATATTATAAATATAAACACCCATGACTGGAATACAAACGTTCGTGCTCATCACACAAATGAATGCACCCAACGGACTTGAACCCGCGACCGCTGGCACAGCAAGTAGGCTCACTATAAACTGAGCCAAACGTGTCGTCAAAATGTACGTGTCGTATTATTTACGATTATTACTAGTTGCATTTGTTTTTAGTTAAAAGAATTAATTAAAAATGTGTTATATTAAAACATTTTTATAACAATGTTGCAGGCAAAGGAAATAGATCAACTGAAGGGCAAGGTGGAGGAGCTGGAGCGGCGCCAGGGCGATGTCGCGCCGCACGCGGTACGTACTCGCGTTATTGTTGTTATTTACACTTTTAAATAGAACTACTGAACCTTTCTTAAATTGAAATGTCTTAAGAAATTAAAACAGCATCACACAGACACACAGGGGATGTGACAAGACTTTACCAAAAAGTTTCATTAGCAATTAGGGAAAAAGAATTCATTTTATCATCGTATTCGTGTATATTTGTACGACTGATACTGACTATTTTCTTAGATGAATAAGTCACTGTGATAAATATGATCTATGTTCGTTGCTCGTGGAGTCCTGTATAGGTCTTGTCAAATAATTATATTTAAGCCATAACAATAATGTCCCCTTATTCGATTCGGCCACAGTGGTCTATTTTACTGATTGTATGACTGACTTACCTATTAGTCTGTTGTTTTGTTTCTGACAACAGACATACATTTTTTAATTAAAAATGTTTTTCATCTCAATGAAAAGATAAAAACTTCCTTCTTCTCTTCTCCATTCTATGTGACATTGGTGAAGTAACCTGTGCTCAACTTCATTAACAAGAGAATTGAATTGAACATGAAAACTTACTTAAATCACCAATGTTGAGGAGTTTGTTGGAGATTCAACCGATGAATGTCAGTCGGTTATGAGTTTTATTTTTTGAACCTACTGGATGGAAAAAATTAAAAGGGGTCCAAACATGGTAATATAGAAGCTAGCTTCGGCTACCCGTTGCCATAATTTTCAAAATAGAAGTGTAGAATAAAATTTATAATTTGACAGTAAGACCAAAATGGCGGTGTTAGTATTGCCGCTAAAGATTCTATTTCATGTATCCAGCCCTGCGCGTGCGGCGGCGCGGGGGGCGCGGGTCCGGCGGGCGCAGCGCGCTGGCGCGAGGCGGGCGCGCTGCGGGCGCGCGCGGCGCGGGCCGAGCGCGCGGCGCAGCGCCTGCACGCGCGCCTCGCTGCCGCCGACCTGCTCGTGAAGGACCTGTACATAGAGAACTGCCGCCTGGCGCACCTGCCGCGCCTGCCGCGCCTGCCCTGACACACCGCACGCGCACCGACGGAGCAATGTCCGCGGCTCGTTTGGATAGGTATACAGTAGCTATGGCTACCGTATACCTATCCAATCCTATCCGCAGTTACTTATGAGTAACTGCATGCGAGAGATGTCGTCGATAGGTAGGCGAGGGCCTCCTTATACTTCTTGTTACGTTTTGTGTAGTGTTCATTTGTCACAGTTTATCTTTCATCCACTACCGTTTTCGATAGAAATGATTAAGGCATCTGAAAGAAAGAATCCCACAAGGCGACCCATCACCGCATACTATTATGATACATATGAAGCAATAAGTACGTTCAACATAATTAGAAACTTTAACGCGAAACTAATCTTGTAATATTACAAACTTAAGTCTATTTGTTTAACGAGTGCATCCTTCACAGTGACATTATATGCACGCGCTGTGAGCGGCGCGAAGGGATTTTTTCCCTCGTCAATATCGGTCACGAGTGAAGTACTCGAGCATAATTGAAAGGGTTCGACACGTGTATATCCAGTATACACGTTTATCTGCAGTCGTTTCAATGTGTTAAATCTACGCTCGAACATTCGCTCTCCTCCAACGTCCTCCATAAATGTTTGTCTTTTACTGAAACATAATCAAGCTTTTTGCAATGTTTATTGGTATGTTGTTCGGGTCAAATCTTGCAACTGAATTTTAAAGCAGTTATTCTCAACCGATTGAGCTGAATTTTTGCTTCACCAATGCATGGTTAGCGAAATGATATCAACTAAAAGGATTTGCTTAGAAGAATACAAATAAAAACCTAAAAAATAAACTTTAAATCAAATGAAATCCATTTCTAACATTACACAATTTGTATAATATAAAAGCTTCTAAAAATGTTTTTTTTTTTATATTAATTTATTTTGAACATTATGAAGGCTCTCGTTAGACATTCTTCTTCCTACCCGATGGCATCTCATTTTAATTATCTGTTATTATTAGGTTAGCAAATATTGCATTATCTGTGCGACACCGTTCACACGGGTCGGATGGGAAATTCAATAGATCGATATTTTAAAGAGCCTTATTAAGCATCTCAATAATTGTTACTGTGTGTTAGGATACATCACATTTTGACAATTTTACGACGAAGTTATGATTTAAGCTGAGCTTGTTTATGTTAATCATATATTTTTATGAATTGGTAAATTTATTCACATGCTAATTTCGTGCAGTCGACTTGTATTATACCTCTATCCGAGTTCTGACTGTAAGCCACGTTGCTTCACTGAACGTGAACCATGTAAGTGCCTTTGTATTTTCTGTCAAATAAGAATATACTATGAGTGTTCACTGTACATTGCGTGTATCATAGGTCATGTTTTATGGAATTATTCTTAGAATGTGTTTTTGATTGTGTACAAATACTTTAAATAAGATCTAATATGTTTCGACTTAAAGAAAATTATTATTTTAATTTTATATAAGTATAATTATTAAAGATGGGCGGATCACAGACGCACCGACGGTTTCTTGTTATAAGTATAAAACGATCATCGCGTAGACTAACTTGGTGCCTTTTCCAGTTTTCATTAACAAAATTAAATTCGACACTAGTCAAAAATCCAACCCAGCACTGAGCACGATGCGTCTATAGACACGGGGGCCGGCCGCGGTCGCCGCCGGTCGCACTCTCACAGGGGTGTCGACTGTCGGCATTAGTTAGGTAATGTTAAGGCTAAAATATCACTTATAAATTACTTAAATTATAATCGACTTGTGATTTCTTTATTTTTATGACTGTATATACTTACTTGATTGTGATATGTTAACGATTGTTTACTCGTACGTACGTACGTAGCGCTGCAGCTGCGCGTGCGCACTACACGCAGCACGAGTGTCTAAGTCTGATTTGGGATCTGCGGCACGCGCGTCCCGGGTGCGGTCGCCGGCGGTGGCTCACGCGCGGTCTAAGTCTTCGTTAGGTTAACTTAGGTTTTAATTTAGTGATCAATTACACGCATTTAAAAAAAAAATTGTTATTGCACTGTACTACGTACTTGAACTATTTCGTAATTGCTCATAGGTAGTACAATCGGGGTCCAAATAAACAACGCTGAGTGTACTTTTTATATGTTTAGTTTACTTAATGTATTATGTACGTTCGGGCGTTTCGAGTTCCTCAATTGATATGTATTTTATCAGAAAACCTATAAACTGTCAATTCGTTGTTTTGTAATATAACGATAGTTTATATTGGCCTAAGCCAGCCGCAGGGGCGCGGTCTTTTAGACCGGCACGCGTTAGCTGTAAGTTGGGGAAACCCCTAGTTGTGAATTGTACATGGATGTATGCTTAAATGATTACATATATTTTATTTAGTTTGTATCTCAGTGATTTGTTAAAATAATGCATTTTTTTTTATATTTCCATTCCATGCAAAAATGATGAAAGTATCATTAAATATTATTATGATCGATCAATGTCAATGTTAAATGATAGAAATTATTAATGCGTCGATAAAATTTTGTATTTTGACATTCATATCGCTTTTGTAGATAATATATGGTAGTAATTAACCTGTCGTCTTTGTTGGTATAATAACAAAACCATATGGTATTTGACTTGTTTAATCTTATCTCACTATGAATGCGCATTTTTGTAGTTCAAACTACAAAGCTGTAGGCTGCTTCCCTCGCGCTAGTCCGTACTTACTTGACATAAACAAATATAGGTTCTTCTGTTTGCTCATCCTGGCATTTAGCCATGTCTATACCATGTGATATTATTATTATTATAAAATACTAACGTTAAAAGGATTTTTACAAAAACTTTGACATCATAAAAATACTTTATTATTGTTTTAAATGTATCTATCACGTACAGACGTACCCAGCTCTCGCCCTCTCGTTTCGCTCTTGATGTAGCTCGGCCGGGAGACTCGGGCCTATCCAATAATCAAAAATATCTCACCATTACATGACAAACTTTTTGGACAATATTTATTATTTCCTATAAGTGTGGCGCTGCAGGGCGGCCGGATGTGTTCTGTTACTGTTTTTAATTGATTTCTATATCGAGCTACTTTTGTCAGTAAACTATTTGAAAAACTGTCTAAAATGGTTTTTTTAAGACATATTCTTACAAGGTTTTGTATGTGTAATTTATTTTCTTAAGTTGTATGTATAATATACTAAATAATTACATCTATCAGACTCTACTCCCTGGTAGACCGAAGGAACAGTTGTTATTATATTGTTATTATTGTTACAAACCAGCACGTGTACTTGTGTTAGTGCACTACGCACTACGCGGGCTAGCAGGCGCGGGGAGCGGCCCGCCCCCCTAAGAGCGTACATAATCAATATGTTCGCAATCCGACATGTATGGAATTGTAATACATTGATCTAATAAAATGTTGATCTAACTTATCGTTTATTTTACTAATTACTTACTAAAAATGCTAAATTAATATAACACTTAACAGTTTTAAAATTTTATTTAAAATAATGTATTCCGACTGTACAAACAATATGATATTTTTTCTCATATCAAAATATTTTATGACTAAATTATTAAAAGTAACACATTCAGAGATGATAACAAATTATAGTAAATCGATAAGTAATATTAAAAGCAATTGCTTGAAATTTATATTAATTAGTAAAGACAGATGAATTTCAAGAAATGAAATCTTTTTTTTTAACTATTTCCTGTATAAGTAGTGAGTAGTTTATAGATAGTGAATTTTAACTCAATAGCACTACGTTACTATGACTGAAAATGATATAGTTGCATATTGTATATTTATGTCTATTTTTATGCTTCTTAACTTATACGAGGAAATAGGAAAGTTACTATGCTGCATGTTTTATATCAAACACTTTGAACCTCTCAGCAAACAGGAAGTTGTCCCAGTTGCTGAAAGGCAGTGCCGACTAGTCTGACGACTGGAATTCTTTATATAAATCAGACTAACAGCCTACATTACAGTCTAACTTTTACTCGACTTCAAAGCACAAATTGATTGTTGTGTTGTTATCAGTCAACAACACTAGTTTTGTTTGTGGAGTAACTCTTTTTCATGCAGTGATATGCGCTGCCCGTCACCCGATTGATCAGTCTGGGCAGGTTATAGGTACATGCCGTTGACGAGATAGTCCGCGTCGAGCGCGAGGCGCGGGTGCGCGCGGCGGCGGCGGCGGGCGGCGCGCGCGCGGCACGCCAGCAGCGTGCCCAGCGCCGCCGTCATCAGCGTGCCTGCAGCACAACGCATGCAGGGGTCGAGTGGATCAACCAAAATACACATAGATATGTACATAGAATACATAGGTAATATGGAAAAAACATTAAGCGTTTGAAAGCAATTGGACTACTATTGGAACCGCTTGACGGATTTGGATGAAAAGTACATAGATTTTACCTTGATTAACAAATTAGCTACTGTGTCTGTCAGAAAAAGGGACGCAGCTGAACGAAGCGAGAGTAAGTTCCATGGTCTCTGACATATCGTCACAATTAATGTTATTTTACTCATTTAGTACATAGAAGTAGTGAGGTATGTTACCGAGCACGAGCAGCATGACGGCGGCGGGCGGGTGCTCGCTGAGCCCGTCGTGCTCGTCGGGCGGCCAGTGCTCGCGCGCCGCCAGCGCCGCCGCCGCCAGCGCGTGCGCGCCGCCCGCCGCGCCCGCCACCGCCGTCCGCGCACCTCCGACCGCGTCCCCGGCGCCGCCGCTCGTAGTACTCATGGTCTTCGCGGTTTCCAGAATTTTCTGTTGAAGAGTAAAGACATAATGAAAACTTAATTATACAAAATAATATTATGACCTATAACTTATCACTTAACCGTAGGTACATGTATAACAGGCAGATACATGGTATAGTTACTATCTATGCTATTAAGCATATCTAGAAGCATCCACATATTTAGAAGTTAGAGGAAAACGAATGTAAATCCTGCGAAAATCATCAAATGTGGAAATTTAGTGAGTAGGTTCGAGCTCCTGATACATTCAATGAGTAGACTTTTATTTATTACAAAAATACTTACAACATCCTTTAAAATCTTTTTCTTGGTGGTATTTTCTGATACCAAAGGCTTTTTGTCTTCTCTCTGCTCGACGCTGTTGTCAATCAGCGGCACAGAGGGCGCTCGCGGCGGTGGCTCAGTTAGGAACTCTAGCATCTTGCTCTTTGTCATAAGTTCAAATCCCTTCTTAGGACTGTCCCGCAAACTCTGTTGTTGACCCGAATACATCATGGGCAACTCCGGCATCGTCTTAGGAGGCATATACACTGGCATTTCCTGTAAGGTAGAATTGATTACGATGTATTTTTATTAAGTTGTATATAATATGAATCTATACTGCCAGGGAGTCATTACCGGTTCCGGCCGCGTCTGTGGCACGGGCCAGGAGCGGCGCGGTTCCACGTCGGGCCAGTCCAGTCGACCGTATGCGTTCCAACCTCCTTCCATACCGTCTATAATTAAACATAATTCCTTCATTAGAAGATGTTATTTTACAATCCATGAAGAATAGACATTTTAAAAATTGTATTGAAATGACTTTAATCGTTTGTCATGGAATCATAATTTGTCACTCTCATATATTTTTTAGATTTCATTTCTTGAACGAGTGTAGAATAACATCTTGTGGCATCAACAAGCCTCCTGATTTGACGAAAGTAACGACCGCTATTGTTGTGTTCAAACTAGAAAGACACAAACTTGTTTTTCTATACATATAATAAAATTCATATTAATATTTTTTAGAAAATCTTATTGAAATAGACGTTATTATCGATACAGAGGCCAAATGTATAGTTTTTAGAATTTTTGTCTGTCTGTCTGTTACCGCATCACGGAAAAACCACTGGAGGGATTTTGATGAAATTTAGTATGTTGATAGCTGGTTATCCTGGTTAACATATAGGATACTTTTCACCGAGAGAAAATATCTCATTTCTGAGAAAAAATACAAAAACTGCAATGTAAGAGAATACTAATATGTAAAACCTTAGAATTTGGTTTTTGGTCATTTGAACGCGGGCGTAACCGCAGGCAATGCTAGGTATAAATAGTTATACATAAGACTGAATTAACTGTAAGAACATTCCAAAGAAATATGTATTGTAAACATAAAAATGTATTTTGAAATTTTTTGTTTGCTTGAGTAAGGAATGTGTATACTCACAGCATATGCTATGCCTGCATATGAACGCATACCGATTTCTTTCCTTGTTTGTTGCAAAAAGAAATATGTACTTTTGATTTGCTTAATTCTTTATTTTTATTTATAGTGAAATTAATGCTCTATCTAAAGAATATGTTTTGATTTCCTTAGCTTTAATATTTAAAACATAGTATGGTTTGAAAGGCAAAAGTGCGCACAGTTACCCCGAATGACTCTACCTAATGTAGGTATACTTATATCGCGCGCGTTTTTTTTATATTATACTACCTATAGTAGTCTAGAAAATCGTTACCAGGTTGTGGGGGCGGAGGCTGCCAGGTGCGATGTGGCCACGGCGCATTGGGAGCGGGCGGCTCGAACGCGCTCTCCTGCAGCAGCCCGCCTTTGTGGCTGAAGATGTGCGAAGCACTCATGCTGTTACTGCTCCCTGTAATATATATTGTGCATATTTTAACTTTGTGCTGGATGTGAACAGAGGTTTTGATGTAATATTTATTGTAACATATTATTTACCTACCAGTATTATATCTATGCTGCGGCTGCGCCTGCGTGAGGCGGTGTGGCCAAAGGTCAGCGCCTTCGACCAGTGCATCGTTACTTACGCCTACAACTGGTCCACCAGCCTCTTCACTGCTGTCGAGAACTTGTACCTATTACAGATATGTAATAAGTTTAATTGATATGCATAATTGGCACCTAATGTTTCTTATTCTATCAGGATTCCATATATGTAAGTACATACTTGTGTGAGAGGAGGAGGAGTGGAAGGCCGTGTGACAGGCGGCGGGCGCGGCGCGGGCGGCGGCGGTGGCGGCGCCGGCGACGCGGGGCAGCCCAGCTCGGGCGCCTCGTCGCTGCCGTCCGCGCACTGCGGCACGCCGTCGCACGCGTTATACACCGCGATACACTCGCCTCCGCGGCGGCATTCGAACTGGTAGCGACTGCAGCGCCCTGCTTCACATTAGAACACTCCATTAAGAATCACTTCTTTCTTGGCGTTTTATTACGATTTACTCTTGTTCATCAATAACACCAGGAATGATAAGTTATAAAATTATTATTTATGTACTAAGGTATAGATTGATATATTTTTAAGTTTATTTATTACTATAACTAGGTGTACTACACTGCAATGTTCTTAAAATAATACAATGTGCATTTCAATTGTAATGTTTTGTAATGGATGATCAGATTTACTACACTCATTGTAAAGAGTGAGTCAGAAGGTAGCGCGAACCGAGTGCACTGACACCGCGGCTGGGTCGCGCTCCACTTGACTCATCTTCACCGTTACATGTTTGTACTCTGCTCTGTCTTTTACATTGAACCGTGTAATCCTTAGGTATTCAAAACATTTATGACTAAATCATAACGCCATTCTCAACACAAGAGTATTACAATTTAGATAATGTACTTATTGTCTTTGTAATATCCATGTCAGTGTCTGAAATATATCTGTAAATACTTAACACGTCGGCTATTATATACGTACATAAGTACGTAATCGCTTATTAAAATTTTGGTAATGAATTTTATATACATTTTTAAAAGCTTTTTTTGTGATTCTGGTACTCTTGAAAGTTTTTTTAACCCACATGAGAAAATTGAGGTTAAGTTTAATGAATCATAGCCTTACTTGGTAATTGTGGTGGCGGGGGCGGAGGCACGTGCGGCGGCTGCGGTGGCTCCGGCGGCGGGCGGGGCGCCTCTGTGCTGTGCACTGTCTGCGTTGAGCTCACTGTGCTACTTGTCGGACTTCTGAGGAAATAAACAGACATACTGATGAGCTCAATTAATTACAGTGTGCTCCGAGGAGTCGTACAGCACAATTATTATTAAAACGTTTCCACTAAGTAGGTAATATTGTTCTCAGTACAACTGACTTTTGCTGAAATATTGAAATAGAGCTAATTTTATTGAAAATTAAAATATGTTGGGATATCAGCACACAACACGATTTTGTTTTATGGTAAGCTGCGAGGCTGGTGTTATGGATAGATTATAGATAGTTGATACGATTCATATATATAGACTTAAAATACATACATATTATAAATATAAACACCCATGACTAGAGTACAAACGTTCGTGCTCATTACACAAATGAATGCCCCCAGCGGGACTCGAACCCGCAACCGCTGGCACAGCAAGTAGGGTCACTACAAACAGCCAAATTTGCAAGCCAGAAACATTTATATTATAATTTTAATGAAATACTTCTATAAAAAGCTGTGCATACTTTTAAATTAAATTTATATACAAATAGCGTAATATTATAATGTTAAATACATGTTTTATGTAAATTTAGTTAGTAAGCCTTTATAATAAATAAATAAATAATACCTACTACAACGAGCAAGTTGGTGCAGCTCTTTATTCTGATTATTTTACCTAAGATTAGCAAGTTCCCGCTCGTGGTGCGCGAGGCGCTCCTGGTCTTGCAACTCGGCAAGGCGGCGGCTCAGCGCCAGCACCCCGCTGCTGAAGTTGCCGTGCGCTGTAAATTTGCAGCGGAAGTCTTCAGGCGGCCCGCAGTTGAACAAGTAGCAGCTGCCCGGGCTCTGTGGGTGTGATGAAATCCTTTAAAGCAATACTAGGTATCCTTTAAAGCTACTTCTTTGTGCTGGATTACCATTTTTATTCGTATAGATTTTTATGGGCCGGTGAAAATCCATGATTATCAATAGCTTATAAGTATATTTTTGGTTATAATTTACATATTATGTGACAAATTGCGACGTAGGGACATGTACATAAATAATTGTGTCACGACTCAACCGTTTATCTATAGTCTATACAGATATGTAAATAAAATTGAAGTGTCTGTATGTAGTGTTCAAATAACAGCGTTTTAGTAAATGCATACTTTTACTGGAAGATAGCTGATGTTATAGGGAGTAACATAGGCTTTTATTTTAGAAAGAGTTAGGGTTCCGCTCAAAAAAATTAAAACGTACCTAAGGACGAACCCAAGCGAAGCGAGTGTGGGTCGCTAGTAGGCACATATGGATGCACATAAGCAATACTGTGTCAAGCCACACGAGTGCCATTTTGAGAAAATTGAATATAAAATTTTTATACCTCCATATATTGAATTTGATAGAAATTAAACGATTTTTATTGATATAAATGATTATTTCAGATATGTTTAGTTATCTTTTTTATGTAAAATACCTTAAAATATCTTGTAATATTAAAAAAAAATGAAAATAATTGTTTTGCGAAATTCTCTATAGCTAATTTGAAATAATAAAACATTTTAAGATACATAAATCTTTATTGCAAATATCAATATAATTTTTTGTTATATTAAAACAATTCAAATGTTTTAACGCATTAAAAAAAACTGAATACTTTGGCATTCTTCTAGAAATATTTAATACGTAGCATAATATAAATAGAATTGAAAAACCTAACATACCTTCTAAGCGAAAGTCAGTCACAGAACATAAAACCGTCTTAGGAAATTAACTTCTTCTGCGGATAACTCACGACTATCAGGGTATAAAACTAGTTAGTAGGTTAGTAGTTCCACATTAAAATCAATATCCTTTTGATTTTTTGCTCCTTTGCTGATGTTCACAGTTGTAGGATCATCCGAAAGTTTAGATTTCATGTAGCTATAACATTGTTGACTCATTTTTATTTAATTCTATTTCAAACGTGTTCATCCAAGAAACTTTTATTTTATTTATATCGCATTTTCTATTTCCTATTATTCTATTATTTATCATTTTTTGAATCGGTTCAATAGACAAGAAATTATCTTTTGTTAGCTTAGTACTATCAAATCTATTTTTTCTCCGGTAATTCTTCATTACAGATATAAAGTCTTCGTCAGTGTAAAGACGGCAATTAGTTTTAAGAAGACACTCCACATCTCCTAATTCAGAGTCATTAGACAGATAGGTATGTTCAGGTTGCAAAAAACGAAGAGTTATTTTAAATAAAACTAGCTTTTCGGATTATTTCGCGGATTTATTTTGATTTTTGGATCCCGACGTTTCGAATGCTTTACAGCATCCATGGTCACGGGAGAGACTGAGGTGTTACATGTCTCAAAGGTCTGGTCTGTCTATTATTTAGTTGTTACAGATAGCCTACCCACAAACAACAAAATGAATTCAAATAAATTAAAAATGGCACCAAAGTACCTTACAATATTTTGTTACTTTAAACATTTTTATAATATTAATTAGTTTTATAATTAAATATGGAATATTATAATTTATTATTTATATATTAATATTTAATAAATTTTTCTCTAACGTACCCTTGAATCAATGCACAGCAAGCTTTGTAACACCCGGCGCTCCAAAATATACTTATCGAATTCAGCTTTCCTTTCCTTACAGATAAAATTTCGGTATATTTTTTAGGACATTCACATGAATAATCTCCCAAAAATGGTCTACTATTTACTAATTTTCCTTTAGCACTCACATAACCTTGATTTGTATTAGCTCGTATTTTTCTTATATCTCTGTTTTGTACTGCATTTTTTCTTTTACGTCCCCTGCTTGGTCTTTTACTGATTATAGCTGTGGCTGTCGCATCATCATTGTCTTTTACTGGGATAAAATCAGGATCTTCTAAGTTTTGGCTCGTAATTGTTGCGTCTACCTCGTTTGATAAATGTTGTTCAACTTCATCAATTATGAATTCTGCAACAGCTCCTATTTCACAGTCTGTATTGTTATTGGTATCTCGATCATACTCTATTGTTAATAATATTGTACAAGGATTGTTTACATTACTGTCGCAAGACTTGATTTCTTTCATCGCGCCTTTCTCATAAAGAGATTGTCTCAACTTGATCAACCGACTCCAATTCCTGTAATGGGTAGCCAATACTACAATCTACTACGGACTGAAATATAATTGTAATGGAAATAAAAATATGAACAAAAATCTAATAAATAATATAAAAATATAAATCCGTAATTGAGTAAAACAAAAGCTTTTAGTCTTCTTTAAAATAAAATTTAACATAATATACCTACACATTTTTAATGTTGTGTTATGTTCCTTAAATCCTCATTTTAAGCACTTACATTCGTTGAACATAAATTTTTAAAAATGAGTTGTTTTTCTTGATACCATACGTCATCTCAGGTCTTGATAACCGATTCAACATTTTGCAATAACCAATTAACTAACTTTTGACCAAAAACGAGCAAAAATAATAAAGCAAATGGGTAATTAATATTTAAAATCTATAAAACACAGCTAATTCTATTTAAATACATAACATTTATTGTAAATTAACTCCTTATGTGTGTTTTTTATGCACCAGACTGTTGTAAGAACTTAATCGTAATACGAAAATCATTTAAATTATTAATAAAACACTCCTTGCATTAAAAAATCATTCTTTTGTAGCCCTAGTTTTTTCTTAAATATCACTGGACATAACAGTCACTCAAATAACTATTTAAATATAAATAAAATATGAAAATTAAATAACCGTCGCAATCAAACTTCAAACGAACACTTCAGTCTTCAACTGACTTGATTTTCGCAACATGTTAAGTTTCATGAACTTTAATAACGAAATAAGAGATGGCGCTATGTGTTTGCAAATATAAATCAAGGAACTCGAATTATTTTTGTAAAATGATTAAATAAGATATTGTGGTTTAACATTTTTAAAAGGTATGGTTTTTCAAAAGAAATATGGTATTTTAAAAGAAATATGGGTTATTTGGTTTTTTAAAAGAAACATGGGTTATTTGATTTAAAACGTTATTGCAAATCGTTCTTAGACCAAAATGAGAATATATTTAAAAAAAAAAACTTACTTTTGTGGGTTAACATGTTAATGCATATTTGCATCCATATATTGATTGAAAGCATAACTTAAGTTTGGAACGAGAAATTTTGAAACCAATTTATACTTTATAGTATTCAAAAAGAAATTGTACAATGCTTATTTAGTATTATAAGCCCAATTAAGAAAGTAGTTACGTATACAAAAAACACATACATGTTGTTACTTAAATCATATTATCGGAAGTGACTCAGTAAATAGGTATACTATTTTAGTATTCTAGATTTTTTAATAGAAGCGTTTATAATAGGTATATTATAACAGGATAAATAGGTAGGTATTTGTAAATTTAGTGATTTTTAATGTTTATATGAAGTAAAATATAACCTTTTCTTCGAAAACAAACACGTCACAGGAGTCGGTCTCGCAGCATAAGCGCAGACACTCGCGGCGCGCGCCCACGTCCAGCTCGGAGAGGTAGCGCGCGCCCATCTCGCGCGACTCCTCGGTGCGGATGATCTTGTCGCGTTGCACGTCGAAGCGCGCGGCGCACGCGGCCGGGTCCAGCTCGCGCGCGCCCACCACCACCGTCGCCGCTGCTATACACCACATCCACACGCTCATTCTTCAGACTCTACTTCACTCCAATTTAAAATTAACTGTCTCCAATGCGGCTCATTCATTTGATTTCAGAAGATTTCCTGCTATGTCAGGTATAGCCGTGGTTGTCGTGGTCGATACAAACGCGCATGCGCCGCGTTCGTCGTTCAGCCCGCGAGCTCCGCCATGGCTTGCTGTCCGCCGGGCGGGAGAGAGAGCGGGCGGGGGCAGGGTTGGAGCCACCCCGCGTGTTTTATTATACACATACCACGTAGCAACGATAAATTAACTAAAGCTCATTTTATGTTACGATATATTAAGACTTAAGATACATTGTGATACGTTTGTCGAAATGAATGCTGTGCAGAATATTTAACTTTAATGTGATAAATAAATTACTTACAAATATATTGGTGCATTACATAAAGATTTGCATCATTTTTGTATTTTAATCATTTAGGTAAATTTTCCAATTACTCACCCAACTATGACTTTTATTAACTGTTAAGTACCGAACCCACATATTTATAACCTAGGTTCAGTAGAGAATATAATAAATAAAGATTCGTCATGAAACTGATTATTATGGAGTGCTACTAAGTAATTCTATTACTAATTGAGTGAGAGTAGTATTGTCGGTGTCCTCTCCGCTCATCCAGCAGGTCGCGGCGGCGGCGGCGGCGACGGTGGCGGCGAGTGCGGCGCCGGGCCGGCAGTGAGTCGCGACCGGCCGCAGCGCGCACCGCCCGCACTTGCGACCTCATGTCGCTGTTCTTCAAGTTCCGGAGCGGTGTGAGTAACTTCTACTTAAGCACTTGCCTTCGCCTTGCACATCCTTAGATCCGATCGTCGGGTACTTGCCGGCGCCGACCAGTCAACAGACGCTCTCAACATCCCCGCGCACCCTCACGCCCCAATCTCATTATGTTTATACTGCTTTCAGCTCGCTCTCGCAGCTTCCTTTGAACCTCTCTGGTGATTGAACTATCGTATAAGTAAAGCTGTTAATTATTTATGAATATTTCTGCTATTGGCGAATAATGTAGAGGTTTTTCATTGACATTAACTTACGGCAATGTTTCATGTACATTGTGCGATTTAATAATCCCAGATTAGATTAGCGTTACAGATATATTTCATTGCTTGTAATAAAAATATACGTTCTATCCCATTTAAATCGGTCGTTAAAAGTCGGTGTAAGTGGTAGTTTGGTAGATGTACATATTAAATAGTCATGCGAACGCTAATTATAGTATAAATTATTATTTTAACTTCATATTAGTTTTAGATAACGATATGCTAATGTTAGTACTAATTGATATTTGATGATATTTTTAAGTTATTTGGTTTAAATAAAACATAATGTTAGTGAGTATGTACTATGTGAGATGGCACTGCGTGCGTGTAGGGCGCGATGTGCGCGCAGCAGCACTGGCCGCCGGGGGCTGGGCTGGTGCGGCAGGCGGCGGTGTCTCGTTGCGTGAGGTAGAGAATAGAGAGGTCATTGTGTCGTGTCGCCTCCGCGCGGTCGGAGACGCCTCGCGCCGCCTCAATGGCTCACAAATAAGCGCTCTACAGCGCGCCATTCTGTCGCCGGCTTTACCTAATAGCCTCTCCGCCAACTTGGCCTAGGCCCCATTCTGCTTTGTTTATATTTTAAACTCTTCAGCGTTTTCGATTTTTCTGTTTTCATTCGATAGGTTAAGGTTGTGATACTGAGTACCAACACAAGAATTTATCGAATCTATTACCTCATATTTAACATGCGTTTCATATAGTAAAAGCATTATTATTTATTATTGTAGGTTTTTATATACGTTTTCATATATATATATATATATATATATATATATATATATATATATATATATATATATATATATACATATATATATATATATATATATATATACACTACAGGATATCATATTTACATAGAAGTCGCATTTATAATTTTATACGCAGACTGTACATTAATGTGGCGCTTCGTCTCTAGTCTCTGCTGAGCAGCAACGCTATATGTAAATATTATATCCTAAAATTACTGAGATCAGAATTCAGATTGTACCAAAAAAGTTTAACAGCGGAGGCGATTTGCAGCAATTCTGTACATCGCCCTATACTGAAAGCACTACAGATCTTTTCAATAATTATTATAATATTATATAAGTATATTTGAGATTTTCGCTAAATGCTATTGAATAATAATACCTTATTCTTATTTTGGAAGAGCGTCTTTCTTGTATAGATGGATACATAGGCACAAATTCAGGATTGGGGACTTTGCCCCTAGCGGAGTGGGTGGTATTTCTGGATAAGGGACGTGATAGGGAGTCGAAATGTTAAATAAAAATTGTCCGCGAACGTATGAGTAAAAAGTTATTGAGACTTAAAGTTACAACATTTCCATACATTTTCATATATTTCTTTACCACCATTCGGAGTGGGTGGTATTTTTAGATAGGGGAGGTGACAGAGAGTCAAAATATATTAAAAATATTTGGAGGAAACGTACGAGTAAAAAGTTATTGAGACTTACAAGTTATAACATATCTAACACATTTCCATACATTTCTTTACCTAAATAAGTGATTACAACAGATAAACATACCTTTAACGAATAGTACGCATCCTTTTTTATGTACATTACACATTTTCACAACAATTAATGCTTTATTGTATTTAATATTTTAATAATTTCACAACACAAACAAAACGATCTTACATTTTGACAAAAGCAAAACTGACACTTTGTTTTATATTACCGCTTAAATGACAACAGATTATATTTGATTATTTTTGCTTTTTCTGTTGGTAAAATATTAATATTAATAAATAAATAAATAAAAAGAAAAATATTATTTTCATTTCATAAATACATTTATGATTTTTTATCTGATTTATGTAAAATATATTGTTTTACAATTGTACATTTAGTAAAGAAAATCATTTTTTTATCTGTGAATATTTTTAATTATTTATTTATTATTCGTCATATCTGGGTTAGGTTAGGTTAGAACATTTAAGATCATATATTTATTATTCGTCATATCTGGGTTAGGTTAGGTTAGAACATTTAAGATTATTTATTTATTATTCGTCATATCTGGGTTAGGTTAGGTTAGAACATTTAAGATTATTTATTTATTATTCCTCATATCTGGGTTAGGTTAGGTTAGAACATTTAAGATTATTTATTTATTATTCTTATTTATAAAAAGAATATATTCTTGTTTATAAAAAGAATGAATTCTTATTTATAAAAAGAAAAATATTATTTTCATTTCATAAATACATTTATGATTTTTTATCTGATTTATGTAAAATATATTGTTTTACAATTGTACATTTAGTAAAAAAAAATCATTTTTTTATCTGTGAATATTTTTCAGTATTATTGGCGGGTGTTCTTAAAATACCGCGAAGTTTCATAATTTGTTACTCTGTACCCTGTATTCAATTATTATTTTCCATTAGTTATTAGTTTTTGTTAATTTTTATATACTTTCGTTTCTTGTTTTTGTTTTAATATTATTTTTATAGTTTTAAGTGTTCATAGTGTTAGTGTAAACAATTTATAAACGTGAGTAGACTATTTTTAAAATCTAAATGTATTATTTACTTTTGGTTTTTATTTTGCGACATCGTGGTTAGTTTAAGACATAGGTTATTTATTTATTATTCGTCATATCTTGGTTAGGTTAGGTTAGAACATTTAAGATTATTTATTTATTATTCCTCATATCTGGGTTAGGTTAGGTTAGAACATTTAAGATTATTTATTTATTATTCCTCATATCTGGGTTAGGTTAGGTTAGAACATTTAAGATTATTTATTTATTATTCCTCATATCTGGGTTAGGTTAGGTTAGAACATTTAAGATTATTTATTTATTATTCCTCATATCTTGGTTAGGTTAGGTTAGAACAGTTGCCACAACGCACGAGCCGAGCGAGCGAAGCGAGCGTGCCGCGGTAGCGGCCGGCGAGTGCCATAAATGACTAGAAAACTAGAAAATTCGAATTTCACGCAAAGTACAAATAAAGACAATCATCTGGAGATTATTTTGACAATTGAAAGTGACGTTTTGACTCCAAGTGTCTAAATGGTAGTAATGTCAAAATAATGTATGGAAATGTTGTAACTTTAAGTCTCAATAAATTTTTACTCATATGTTCGCGGACAATTTTTATTTAACATTTCGACTTCCTATCACGTCCCTTATCCAGAAATACCACCCACTCCGCTAGGGGCAGAGTCCCCAATCCTAAATCGCAGCCGATACATATTAACTATGACGTGATGGTTCTGACTTTGTACGTATCTACTCTAAATATATGTTATTACAGATTACTAGCGACTCACCCTCGCTTCGCTTGGGTTTGTCCCTAGCTTGTTTCCAATAAAAACTTTCATCTCCATTTTCACCCCCTTAAGGGAAGATTTTCGGGATAAAAGTATCCTATGTCCTTCCCAGGGTCTCAAACTATCTCCTTACCAAATTTCATCTAAATCGGTTCAACAGATCCAGAGATTACCCCCTACAACATCACAAGCTTACAAATTTTACTTGTTTATAATATTAGTAGGTATAGATAAACCACTTTCAATTTTGATTTTTTATCGTAACTTTTTCAAGATGAAAAAACTGAATGTTGACAAATCAGACTTTTGTTGACAGAGTCTGAGGTTGACAATGTATATTAATTTGCCAGTAAAAAAAAGTAAGTAGTAATAAACTGTGGAGAATGTTAATCATTATTATTATTAACTAAGATATAATATTGTTAGTTATACTCGTAATACTTTTTTTTATTTTATAAAATCTATTCCGCGATAAAAAATATTTAACAGAAAGAAAAACTACCTATCTATAGGTACTAATATTATAAAGATGTAAAGTTTGTGAGATTGTGAGTTTGTGACGTTTCTAGATCTACTAAACCGATTTAGATGAAATTTGGTAAGAAGATAGTTTGAGATCCTGGGAAGAATATAAAACACTTTTTATTCCGGAAATCATCCCTTAGAGGGATGAAAATGGGGATGAAAGTTTGTATGGGGGATACATACGAGTGTACATCTCGCGGCAAGGATGAAACGTGTACCTACCTATGTCTCAGACTGCATAACACTATACTCCTTCGTGAACTTGTTTTCATCTTTTTAGTTAGCTTTTATGCAGTCGGGTTTTTTATTTTTATATTTTACCTAACAAAGTTGGAATTTTATTAAAATACTAATAGAGATCTATTAGTTACCACGTGAACCGTTCATTTTTCCGGGATGAAAAGTAACCTGTTGTTTGACCGGCAACATAAGATATCAGCATGCCAAATTTTACTAAATTAGGTGCATAAGTTGTAGTGTACTAAGCTGTATAAGTTACTATAGTTCTTTAACTATCCGCACGGGAACTCTTTATTTTCCGGAATGAAAAGTATCTTACATGTTGACCGAGGATATAAGGTACGACCATGCAAAATTTCATTTAAATGGGTCCAATAGTTTAGAAGATTAGCCTGTACACACAGACAAACAGACAGAGAAACAAAAAAATTGAAAAAAATCTGGATTTGTTCTATTTGTCTTCTTACATCCCCCTGACTCGGTTTTTAGCATTTTTTTGCTATGTACAGACATTCGACCTCTACTCTTTTATTATAGTATAGATATTTTTATTAAAGTGATTTAGTCCAATTCGGCACGTATTACTTCATACGACTCTATCTGATTATGGCGATTTGGGCTATTTATAATTACGTATGTATTGGTAGCCTCCGTGTTCTCTGCGGTATAAACAATACAATTTATACTATAAAATTTCTGGGAATATAAACCATATTCATATCATGATAATTTACGTTCCCGTCTTATGTCTGCAATCTCAATCTCGGCGTCTATCATTTATCAACAAACATTACTATTCGTTTCAAATTATTACTAGCGAGGCTTTTTGTTGTGATTGCATTATATGTAATATACCTATAGTAATTTGTAATACTGTGACAATCAGGACCAAAGGAAGGTCTTGTATTGTATTCAGCCCTTTTTTAACGTCCCACTGCTGGACATGGGCCTCCCTTCAATACGAGGGGGATCAGGCCATAGTCCACTACGTTGGCCAAGTGCGAGTTGGCGGACTCCACATGTCTTTCGAAAACTTGCTAGGTTTTCTCAGACACGCAGGTTTCCTCACGATGTTTTCCTTTACTCTAAGGCAAGTGGTAAGTAATCATGTTAGAAATGATTTGCACATGAAAATATCAGAGGTGTGAGATCCTGGACTTGAACCCGCTTCACTCGGTTTCCCAAGCGAGCGCGTTACCACTTCACTTCTATTAATATGATTACATATTGGTGATCATCGATCGGTGCGTGTTAATGATTACGTACTGTAGGTCGCTAGTTAGTAGTTAGGTCTAATTTGCAAATTTTTCTCGCGATCAGGAAACAGGTATCAAAAATTACCACCCGTCGGCCGTCACGTACCATTCTAAATACACCGGAGAGCGAGAATGTAGAGTGATTCACTGTGTCTTCCCACTCGTGTGCTGCTAGAGACAAACAATTTAATATATTATATTATTAATATCGCCTGATTATGGACAGAGCCATTAATACCACTATTGCGGATAATAAAACGTACCTACTATTTACTTGCATGTTTGCGTATTACATCTACGCAATTTATATTTTGCTCTAGTTCACCAAACAATAGGTACATGCTTACGTTGAGCACGAAAACAATACTTATTAGTTTATAATATTACCACTTTATTTTATAAAACTTAAAAGTAAGTGTGTGATAAAAGTTACATTACATATACTACTATTAAGTACTAGCAGAACCCGCGGCTTCGCTCCCGCTAAAAGTACGAAAAATCTTTAAAAAGGTAGTTTCGCACAAACTTTCATCCCCTATTTTACCCTCTTATAGGATTAATTTCGAAAAATGCTGAAACACATATTTATTTAATTTTATTGAAAAGTATTAATACCAAGTTTCAAGTAATTCTGATCATAAATATTTTTTGAATTTTATTATAACGTGTTTTCCTGTGGGAATGAGATAATCTCCCGCGGTAAAAAGTAGCCTATATCACTCTCCAGCCCTCCAACTATCTCCACGCAAAAAAATCACGCCAATCCGTTACTCCTTTTCGACATAAAAGAAAGACACACAAACAAACAAACAAACAAACAAACAGACAGACAGACAAACACACTTTCACATTTATAATATTAGTATGGATATCTAATATTTATGCGGCCTACATAATAATTATATAGCAGTCTGTAGTCAAAGGTTAACTTTTGATAGCTAACTGTAATCACAATTTTATCTTTTATTTGATGACTCTTATTATTTTTGTATACAAGTGTACAACTGATAGTTAATAATGTGTAGTTCAAAATCTGTTTTATATTAACAATATTTATGTATGTTAAAGTAAAGAAACATGAGCAAGTGCTTTATTATTACCAATTCCAGGTTACAGGTTTTCATAATATTTTTTAAATTTCCTTCTCTACAGTAACAAGAATCACTATTCTCGGAAGCTTTTGTTATGCCCACTTTCCAAGTATTCGAGATAAATAAATGAAATTTATATATAACTGCTCTAAAAATAATGATTACGTCAGCATTCAATAATTTATTTATTTTTTAAGAGCCACCGCCGCGAGGTCTGTTTAATTATCTGGTTTCAGATAGTGGTTCAATAAGCAGCCTTAACTGCTCAATTCAATGTTCCTTCTTTCTTTTAAATTAATTTACTGTTTACTTTAGAAATCGATATAAAGTATATCTATTTATACTTCTACGAAGACAGAGGCAGACAGTAGATCATCTCAAACTTAATCTAAAGTCCAGCGAAAAGCTCTATCTCGAGAGCTATCGCTTCGCCCATAACTCCGGCTGCGAGCGAGTAGCGCGCCCACCTGGCGCGGCAGGCGCGCGGCGTGCGCACCGGTGCGGAGCGCCCTCCGCCCGCGGGCTGGCGGCCGCGCGGTGCGTCAGTCTGGATCCACGTCTCGCCGCGAGCGCGTGCACATCCGTGTCTGCTCAGTGTTAGCTAAATCTAAGCGGTGACAAGGAATTTTGTGTGTCGAACTTGAGACCGAGCAGCGGAGCCGGCCTGGCGGGCGACCACAGCCTCCCGGCGGGGGCGCTGACCTCCGACACGATCGCGGTATGACTCGACCCCTAGTAACTCTTCTTCAGCGGTCATCAGTTCGCATGACGCACTTGCCCAACGCTAACGGTGCCGTCGAGGAACTTTCAGAGCGACTGTCAATGTTTTATTGAAATAGAGCCAAACATAGACACGAGCGTAGTATGGTAGAAATCTCTATATTTATAATTTACGAAAGTCTACAGTTTGTATCACGGGAAGGTTACGGCTTATCTTATTAACGGTAATTTGACACGGGCCGCTTAATTACTGCGAGTTCAACGTCGCTTCTTCGATTCGTGTTTTCTGTAAAATATAAAATAATGATAAGCGACGCGCGCGAAAATCCCCGGCCTCGTACAGCCGGTGCGAGCTGGTCGTATGAGATCATATGATCTTCACTCTTCAGTATATTATGATCACTCTTAATTTCCCTCGATACTTTGACCACGGTAATATTACATATTTACATTACCGTGCTTTGACTTACAGGGATTAATTGTTAATCGTATCTCGTGGTGTATCAAATTTTCCGAAAGAATTATAAATAGTGCTGTTGATTTCATAGCTTACCTACGCTTGCCTAAAATTATTATTGCAATAGATTTTTTTTTGCATAAGTATTCTAGGCATATCGAAAAAAATCATCACATAATGACTACGTACATAGGTACTAATAATAATGAGTCTTAATTGTTTATTTACAATCGTTTAGATTTGAAGTCGGACCGCGGCTCGCGTTTCTATGTTCACGTTGTTCGTTTTTGAAAGCTTTGCTAACTTTTTCAACAACTCAAATTTATTGCACAAATATACCTAGGTTTATCTATGTCTAGTTTGAAAGTTTAAGCAGATATAAAAACAGGTCAATTGCTTGCAAGAACTAAAATAAGTAAAGTAGCAGACAATAAGACAGTTTACAGAAAAGAAAGAAGGTCGCGAATGGATATCTAATATGCTAATTAACGATGGATCGTAAAGCTTCAATCTATTCATTCGAGCCGAACCAAACTTCTATCCATATATGAGTATCTACAAGATATCCTGCATATCTACAAGATAATTAAACTAACCAGTCAGTACCCATTATTTACGTATATACTATTTGTGATTTTTTGACTTCTCTATTCTGAATATTAAATTCATGCAATAGTAAATTCTTCAAAGTAAATTGTACCAGCGATCTTAACTTGCATTCTTTCTTCGACAACCTTTGGACTTTTCAGTGATGTTTTTCAACTATCCAACGGAAACCATATTATCCAGCGGATGAAACAGTAATCTGTGTTAATCATTATTACTATATAGTGTATTTACTGAACGCAGGGATTTGTAAATCCCAAATTATCGAATATATTTGGATTGCCACCAATCTACTGCTATGTACGTACTACCTCTGAAATAAACGCGGCTCCTGAAAACCCCCATGCTCATTTACCCTTTATGTTATTTTGTGTCTATTATAGACAGAGAATTCTATCACACAAATAATAGACCACAGAATACTGACGTCTTTTCACTTTGGATGATAAAAAATAAGGATTGATATTTTTATGAGATTTATGAATATATAATGTACTAGCATTGCCCGCGGCTCCGCCTGCGTTCAGATGAACAAAAACCAAATTCTTAGGTTTTACATATTAGTATACTCTTACAATACAGTTTTTGTATTTTTCTCAGAAATGAGATATTTTCCCGCGGTAAAAAGTATCCTATATGTTGACCCGGATAACCAGCTATCATCATACCAAATTTCATCAAAATCTGTCAAGTACTTTTCTCGTGATGCGGTAACAGACAGACAGACAAACAAAAATTCTAAAAACTATAGATTCGGACTCTGTATCGATAATAATGTCTATTTCAATTAGATTTCTCAAAAAATATTTAATGTACAGATTCGACTTAGTTACAATTTTATTATATGTATAGATATCGTTGGGTCTAACCTAGTAGAACATTCATACCATTTTAAAGTAAACGAGGCTCTACCTTAATATTGTGACTGACAAAAGATTTCAATTTTATTTCTTTTCAAATTCTGGAGGATTTTCTTGAATAATTTGATTCAATTATAATTTTTATAGTCTACTTTGCGTAAGAAAACATAATAATAAATAGGTATATTTTACCATGGCAAATACTTAATATCTATATTTTATAGAATATGTATAGGTATGTATGTATGTGTGAAGCACGGACCGCATTCCAAATGCTTGTAGCAGTTATTGTAAATAATAATGTATTCGTCGCGGACTTCTTTATCGCGGGCACGGCAGCGCGCTGCTGATAGCGATTGTGACGATTGTCATTGTTTATCTTCGTGATAGCTGCGGACTGCACGGCGCTAGCGCCTGCTACCTGTTCGACACTATTTCCTGTTCGATGACGTTCTTCATAATTTTCTTCACTTAGTAGGTCATCATAATCTATACATATAATAAAATTCTAACTAAGCCGAATCTGTACATTAAATGTTTTTTGGAAAATCTTATTCAAATAAACATTATTATGGAAACAGAGGCCGAATCTATAGTTTTTATAATTTTTGTCTGTCTGTCTGTCTGTTACCGCATCACAGAAAAACCACTGGAGGGATTTTGATGAAATTTGGTATGTTGATAGCTGGTTATCCGGGTCAACATATAGGATACTTTTTACCGCGGAAAAATGTCTAATTTCTGAGAAAAAATACAAAAACTGCAATGTAAGAATATAGTAATATGTAAAGCCTAAGAATTTGGTTTTTTGTAATCTGAACGCGGGCGGAGCTGCGGGCAATGCTAGTATTATATAAAGTCTAAACTATCACGTTGAACATTATGCGCTCATGGCGTAGCGTCCAATACGAACACTTTTTAACTACCATACCCACAGATTACGGAGACTACAACCGTAGCGTACCTATGCAGTATGTATGTACATATACGAGTAGGCATATATATGCTTAAAGTATATACTTCTCGTACGTTATTACAATCTCTCCTCCTCTTAATCCCAAAACGAGGAAATATTATATTAACGAAGATGTAGTTTATTTTAACCTATTTGGATGGCTAGTAAACAATTGGGTCAAATGATTGAGACATGTGATATATACTCGGGAGGCCCGCAAGCAAGTGGGTCGCAGGCGCAACGCCGGCGACGCAGTTGCATGCGCGTGCGCATACGTATTACGTTGCATAACAACAACTCATATTTGCAACGTCAAGCTGACGAACCGTTCCACGCCAGAGCGCAGCGACATGGTCACTTCTTCTTAATTAATAGCAAGTAGTAAATGTTCAGATTAGCTTGGAATTTGTCACTATATTATTTTAAATAAATTAAATATACTTAGTGTTACACTATTCACAAACATACCATTTCCTTAAAATGAATAAAAAAAATATTTTAAATACACTTTAGACGAATAGAAGTATTATTTGTAATTTAGATATAGACGAGTGATGCTGTAACCGCGACTCTATTTTGGGAAGTGACGCGCGTCCGTTAATTATGTTAACACGCGTCGCATGTGGCGTGGTCCAGCGGGCGGCCACTCCAAGACGAGAAAGATAACATTTTCATGAAACTGCAGGCGTTAGAACTTGTACTTGTATTCACTCGCTTGTAGGTTTACGAATTTTATTAAGGTTAGTTAAGCTCACAGGCATAATATTAACATAATGTTTAGAGACCAACCGACCAAGACCACAACGGAACCGAACTCATAGACCTTCGACGTTTTAAACGGTTTAAACTTGCCATAGTCATTATATGTTCTAGAGCATACATAATCAACAGATCGTAGCTCATCGTACATAGCCTGGAAGCCGCTCGATTGAAATTCGCGTAAGTGTAGGTCGTTATAATTTTATTTTCCTTAAAATATACAGTAATCATTAGCAAAATATGAAAAAATTGAATGATTTAACAATAGTTTACTATAGGACAGGATAAATAAGGTGTTTAAGAAGAGAATTTTAACGAAGTTAATTTTTTATTAATGTTAAATTATTTGCAACTTTTTACAAGAAACGTAGTAAAAAGCGTCGCGCTCCGTCGCGCCCCTCGTCCGCGCGTCGCCGCGCCGGCTGCACCGTGCGCTGCGCGCTACCATCTCTGGCGTCTCTATCGTTCTAACTATGTATATAGTTTAGTTGACCGTGCCCGTGTGATAGGTTATGTAATTAGTTTTAATAAAATATTTTTGAGAGATAGAGATAGTTACACACACATGAAAATATTATACTGAGCATAAACATTTATTTGTTGATAAATGTATTAAAAATATCATGGTATATTAGATTTTAATAACTATCTTGCAAGAATCATTATAATGTAATGTGTGAACTGAATGAGATAACTGTTTGGCGCCAAGGTTCGTTTAATACTCTTTAAATAATAATAGGTCGTACAATATATAGGTATCGGGGAGGCTTACACACGTACACACTACAATACAACATATCATATCTATCTACTGTAGTAATCAGTTATCTCTTATCTGTTTGCCTTTATCGCATTGTTTAGGGTAATTAAAAATTACTCTTTATTTAATAGCAAGGAAATTTAAACTTTACTACACAGAGTTAAGATGCCTGACTCGATGACAGACGTATAGCTTTAATTTCGTTTTTTTTAATGATTACGAGAACGGAGGCCGAAATAAAATATAAAAAAACGAAAGAGCTCGTTAAGTTTTAATCCCTCCACGGACGCGGACACGCCGGCGACGTCACAGTTAACAATAGATTTCTTAGAAATTTAATTAATTTCTTAAAAAAACCTGAAGGTGTTAAGTAAAAACCATATAATATAAGCTACGTAATAAATGAAGTAGCGGAGATAATGTTATATTTTTTGGTTTTCTCCGTCGCAATGGTGCGGTGCGTGCTGCTGCGGACTGTCCTCTGCGGCGGCGGTGCTCGGCGAACGTATCGACCGCGGCGCCACGCCGCCTGCACGTGCGGCGGTGGCCTCCTGAGACTCCGGGAGGCGGGAGGCGCAGACCGCGCGATCTCACTATCGCTTACATTCACTGTCACTTTCCAACTGGCTAGTGCTCCACTGTTCACTCCTGTGGACTCACAGAAGCTCTCATTCACTTAAGATACAGAGTGTTTCATTATTCTTTAAAAAATTCTTTAAAAATAATGAGAGTGATTTTAAAAATAATGAGAGTGATTTAGAGTGATTTATGAGAGTGATTTTCTAGGAAGAGCTTTATACACTTTTTCTGTATTACTACTTTAATTTTGGGTTTACAGTTTATCCCCATTCAAAAATACGACTTATTCGTAAACATGTAGGATTACCTACTGAAAATGAAGTATTTTTTACATATGTGACATATATATGTATGTATTCAGCCCTTTTTTAACGTCCCACTGCTGGGCACAGGCTTCCCTTCAATATCAGGCCATAGTCCACAGCGCTAGCCAAGTGCGGGGGGCGAACTTCCCATGTCTTTCGAAATCTTGCTAAGTTCTCTTAGACTGCACGTTTTCTCACGATGTTTTCCTTCACTGTAAAACAAGTGGTAATCATATTCGAATTAATTCGCACATGAAAATATGAGAGGTGTGATACCTGGGATTTGGACTCGCTTCATTCGGTTTCCCAAGCGAGCGCATTACCTCTGGACTACCACTTTTTTACTTATAATAGGAACCATTTGACTTTATTTTAATTTATTTTATTTTTGCTCACTAATGTAAACTATTACTGTTATTCAATTATGTATAATTATGTGTAATATAATTAGGACATCATTTAGTCTAGATCTTTATTTTGTTACAACATGTACAATTGTAAGAATGTGTGCTTTATTAGCGACATATGTAATAAATAAATACATAAAAATAAACTTGTTTCCAAGGTTTATACGTAGTACATAGTTAATGTATTTAAATTAGAAAAGACTTTAGAAATTGCCGACGCTTTGTCAACAAAAACGATGCTGACGATGCAAAGGGTTTGTTGGACAGCAAACATTTAAAATTCCCCGCCATCCGTGAGACGTTTCTACGCTCCGGACCATGCCATAACAACCTCACCCATCGTGCTATGTACAAAATATAAGAAACAGGAGTACAATTATAGGGTGCACTGAGAATTGCCGGACCCTCGTAATGTACTATACGACGTACATTATATTCTTTTATTGTCGCTCTTCGTTGTCACGCGTCTACTGCGTTTTGAAGTTATACTCCAAAAATAAATAATTATTAATTATAACATATTGCAATGAGCTCAACGCTTAACGATAATGAAAATAGATTAATAACGGTCCCGGAGTTCGTGGAGGTAAATCCACATTTGAACTACCAAAAATAATATAGGTATAATTACCTACTACTTGTACATATTTATTTATTCATATCTATATCTAAATAAAAGTCAAAAGTTTTTGTTTATTCGTAAAACTATTACGATTCTGTGTTCTGTCACCAGTCTGGCGTCATATTTTAGAGTTAAAACTGTCTCAACTCTGAAGAGAGTCTAGACTATATCTTCGACATCTCTGTGTATCTGTGTAAACAAAATTGAAACGCCTATATGTCAAAAAAAAGATTTTTTACACTATGTTAATGGATTTACCCTTGGCGCCGCCCCTGGGCACTAAAAAATGCCGCGCTATTATCGAAATTTTGAACAAAATGTTGAAAGTTTAAATTTATTTCATTATTAATTTTTTGAAAAGATGAAAAAAAGAATTATAAATGATATCAATTTTTCGAAAAATGTTCCTACTAGTTTCTTTTTTTATTTCTCATTTTTTGCAAAATAAAAAAAAGCATTTTCGATAACGCGAAGAATTTTTTTTCCGCCAAAAAAAATTAGCAAATAACAAATAAAAATATATTAAAAAATTGCCGCCCTGGGCACTAGCTCCGAGTGCCCCTAGTGTCAATCCAGCACTGGTTAATGCAATTATGATGTTGTTGAAATTGCACGTAAATGGCCAATTGCACGTTCATATGCAGGTTTGTTGTTTAACACAAATTGTTATTTAACATTGTATTTATGTCTAACACAATTTAAACATAGGTATCTATTAAATTTGATATTAGATATATTGATAATTTGGTACTTTTTAATATATACTCGTAGAACAACGTAGATACAATGTAAAATATAAATCTGAATCTATAATAGATAACTTATTGCGTTGTTGTACGGACGTGCATCAACCAACAAAAAAGAGGCGTGTTATAAGTTTAACGTCGATGTCTGTCTGTCTGTGTGTGTATGTGTCGGTCTGTGGCATCGTAGCTCTCAAAGGGATGGACCGATTTCGATGCGGTTTTTTTCATTTGAAAGCCAGTTTCCTTGTGGTGGTTCTTAGCTATGTTTGGTCAATATCGGTCCAGCAGTATAAGAGTTCTTTTCCAAAATGATGTAAGGCTCGATCAAGTGCTTCGTGCCAGTGTAATCGTTAAATGACAATTAATTTGCGTAGGGGGTTTCTCAAATTTTTAATTTATAATTATTATTGTTATTTGAAACTTAACATATTTTTTGTTCTTACTTAATATTACGATAAACATCAGATTTCAATATTAGGTAGATGCCTACTACTGGTACGAATACAATAAAAAATATTGAATTAGTAAGTAGTGGTAATGAAATTGTAAACTCAAGTTCAATAGCCCTTGGAAGGTGTGTATAGTAAAATATATTAGGGAGAAGTCTAGTCACCTGAGAGGAATGCCGCCAGACGGGAGGGCAATTCCACCCGCGGGGTCTTTGTGCCGATGTAATAAGCCAAAGCTGCGCCGCGGACGCGCGTTGCAATCTGTCATCGGCGTCAAATGATTCGTTAATAAATATACACGATAGTAAAATTAAAATATCAATAAAGTTTAGAAACACTCGAGAATTTCTAAATACGAGTATCAGTTAGATAACAATCCGCTAATTGATTTTGAATGATATTGATTTGTAAGACTACCTAATAAGTCTTATTAGTTTTAAAATTAAAATGGTATAAAAACATTTGAATTTTCATAATAATTAAGATTATATTAAAAGTGTGATGGCGGCACTCATTTATTTAATGAAGAAACATTTATGAAAAGAAATTGTCTAATATAGCCGTGATGAACGCCGCTCTCACACCGCGTCGTACATTGCACAGTGTAGCAGATGTCCGGAGCCGCTCTCAGCTGCGCCCTCTCGAGTGCCACTTGTACTGTTTCCGCCTTACTTCATTCCTGGCTAATGCGCCTCGCTCTGCTGTATTTTCATCATTTGCTAAAGTTTCAAAATATTCATATTCTATATACTCGAATATCATTTTTTTTAATGTCGAAAACAAACGAATATAACAAAATATTTAATTACAATACAGAGAAACTAATACTATAATATTTAAAGGTTATAACAGTATCAATATGTAGAATCGTTAATTTTAACTCTACCTACCCCTCGTTATTTATTATTTTCGTTTGTAATTGAAAAGCTCTTTCGTATTTTGCGAACTTGTTGAATCTGTTGATTAAAACTTGCAAAATTGTGAAGTGTTGCGTAAATATACTCAGAAGGTTGAGAGAGCCGATGGATGCTAGTAGAGATGGGCCCGCGCGGGGTCGGCGCTGCAGGAAGCACGCTCGGCTGTGCGCGATACCTATCTTACGTCCACTTCACTCGGCGGAGAGGGGTAATGGATGTTAAGCCCTTGTCCCTCTTTAATCCTCGCCATACAACAAACGCCTTGTTGTGTCGCTACTTTAATGAATACTTGTGTCCGCTGCTTTTATGAAGAGGAAAGTGTTTTATAGTTACGCGAGGGCTTATTGTTTATTACAAGATTTATGCTACATCATTACAATAGTAATGTTCAAATTTGTGGATGAATTTGATTTAGAATATTCATTTATGAATATGGTATATATTTGGAAATTTAATTAGTGTGACAAGATGAAAAATTAAACTAAGCGTAGAATTGAATAGAGTGGTTCTCTTATCTACTTGCAGTCTAGTCATGCAACATGGCGCACGCTATTTACTGTCATAGTGTATTGTATGTTAATTTGACATGATCGAAAAGCAGGATCAATATGGTCTCTCCTGGGAGACGGAGATGTAACACCACGAACTCCAGAATGAAACTAGAAAACTGAATCTCATATGCCGCAGCCGTGCCAACTAGTCAATAGACGCCAATAGACGTACGCTATTATACCATAAATGAAAATATACCTACTCCTAGGGCGGCAGAGGGTGTGTAGGTAACATACATATAATTTTTATTAACTAGGTAAAATTAATACAAATATCTTAAGAAAGTAATAATTTTTTTTTAAACATAAATTGAAGTAAATGAAGCAAGTGTCCAAACTGAGAGGACTACATGTTACATAAGTTTATATACCTATGATTAGCGTACTGTGTGCTAGAAACCACGCTTCGTAGCGTACGTGTAGGTTCTTATTCTGTTCGAGCGCGCAGCCCGACGACCGAGCGCGCGGCGCGGACGTGAGTGGTTGGGCAGCGTTTCGCCCTGCGGCGCCGACTACCACGATAGCTTAGGCTTTAGCGAGCTGCTGGCAGCACTTATATTTATTGTACATTTAAAACGCTTTCGATTAATGCAATTTTGAAATCATACGGAAATTTATACATCTTATAAGGTAAATACGTGTAAATAGAAAACTTAAATATTTATAAATAGTTTAGTAATCAAGTGGGTACTTACGTTTTACTTGTTATAACTTTAATAAGCCATCAATTTCATAAAAAATAAGTTCAAAAACTAAAACCCGATTACTGAAAAATTACGCTCTAAAAAGTATGAAACAAAAAAATATTTTCATCTGAAATTGAATCTGAATTATGTACAAACTATTAAATATTTATCGTCTATTAAATAAACAATTAAATCGTAATATATTTCAATGTATTGATACATATTCATAGTGATGTTCAGAGGATAGCCTTGCTCGTATGTCAGTGCCACTTTGCCCTAAAGCTTATGATCGCTTACTTCTGTTAGAATGTATCGTTTTGCTAGGGTAGATAGGGGAGAAATGTGCTAATTAAGCTCTTTCATTTGCTACCTAATACGGTAACATTAAAAAAAATAGTTCACGAGTATCTTCTCTAGAGGACGCCATATTAAATTTAATGTGACGTTACATAGTCTTATAATCAGCGGTCGGTCAAGAGCTTCCGACGATATCTCATTAGTCAATTTATAATAAGTAGTTTAGAAGTTAGGAAGGAACAGATGAACATACATACAAACATTCTGGGCAAAATCATAAACCTTCTTTTGCTTCGCGATAGTCGGGTAAAAATGCCTAATTCACAGACTCGCTTAAACTCTTAAATGTGCTTCTTTGACTTTTACAAGTGTCAGCTCTCGCGAACTGACCAGTCACTAGTTTATATTCACTTAAATAATTCTTTGTTTTATATAATATTTTACTAGCGACTCACCCTTACTTCGTTCGGGTTCGTCCCTAGGTACGTCTTAACTGTTAGTATTCCCGTACAAAATATTTGCCCAATATTTGACCCACTTCTAAGTTCTAACAGACAAAAAAATAATTATTCAAATCGGTCCAGCCGTATCTTTACATAGGGAAGGCTGGTCTAGAAGTACGCACTTACCCCCCCAACGTGCGTTCACCTTGTCGTGGTGGGGGGGCTCAGTAGTTCCCGGCAATCCAACCGGGCGTGAAGCTAAGAAACGCACAGGGAGGGTGCCCACTTCGGTGGGCGGTGGGAGGTGGGCCTCTTCGGGGGGGGGGGGGGGCGGTGTACCATGCGGGTTGCTCCTGGTACTTCTCTGATAGCAGAGTGGACTGTGGAGCAACCCCATGGTTGTGGTGGTCTGCTTCGGCAGACCTGCCGTCGGGGCGTCGTAGTTGAATGCGTAAGCGATCCTGCGACGCCCCATTAAGACGGGGGAAGGTTTTGTTGGGTTTTAGTGGGTAGTACTGGCTGTATTACGCCGGTGAGTCCCACACGTCGTGCGTAAATGCATTTCCCAACGTTAAAAAAAAAAAAAAGGAGTACGTACTTAAGGTTCAAACAGTTCTAAAATTAAATTTAATATCTCTAGATAATCAGCTTAACTTTTATTTTATACTTAATAATCACACTTTCATAAAGCGACATGAAATGTAAGTAAAGTATACAAAAACTTTATAAAAATAAAAAAATAACAGGAGTGATAATTGCGTACTCTTACAAGAGCTATTGGATAAGAGTACCCATGTGAGTTGATAAGAGTACGCAGGTAAAATTATCTCATAATTCGTGTCCTGTAGCACCTTCATGCCACCACTCTTGGTATTAAATTGGAACATCCTATCCAATCTTTATTTGGGGAGTCCACTCTTACTTCACCACATAGTGAGCATTTCCACATTTTCTTTTTGGGTATCTTCTTTGGGACTTGGGAAAGTTTTACAGCTTTCTTAGTAGTAAGTTTCGCAATCTTTTTTGGTTTCTTTTTTGGTACTATTTTTGAGATCAAAGTATGATAAAATTAACTGCCTCTATAATACATTAGGACGCGTGGTTATCTAAAATCAATAGTATTGGATTAATGTCTTTATGTGTAAGATAATTCAAAATGCTAAAGTTATTTAAGAAAATAGACAAAAGTGTTGAAAGTTTCTGTGTTTTTGTAGGTTTTTTTTCCGCATAGCACATTTCCCTCGCATAAACTTCAAAATAACACTGAAGTTAGCCGCGGATCGTAAACAACGTCATGGCTCACACATATCACATTGCGCACTCTTATTGGATGCGTACTCTTAGACCAGCCTACACTATTTATATTTATATTAGTCAAATAGGATTACATTTTAGTATTTCGCCGCCAAGGAATCGAGAAAGGACAGAGAAATACCTAACTTACACTGACGAGTGAAGGTCCGTTCGTCTATTCTAGTTATGTGGCTGTATCTTATAAACTACCTACCTAGGAAATAGTCGCATAAGTTTTTAATGCAATAGGTACCTAAGTGTATATAAATATTACGGATCCTAGTGAATAAAAGAAAAAAAGTAAAAAAATATTTCTAGTAGGTTATTGCCTATTATCATTAACGACCAAATCAAATCTTTCCCATTTTATACTACTTAGGTAAATTCAACGCATAATAAAGATATAACACAAATATAGATATCGTGTGATGTTACAGAATGCTAGGTGCGCCAGACGGACTGATTGATACATTATCAATCTTTTAATTGGTAAAAATAATGTTTGCTCGACTTGGCGGGGGCACTGCCGTGCCCCCCGATTTAAATAAAACTATCTTTTCGGATTTTTTTTTGATTTATGGTTACCGACCATCGATCAAAAAAGTACTTTTTTGACTGATGTCCCGACGTTTCGAATGCTCTTCAACAATCATGGTCACGGGAGAGACTAAGGTTTTAGACGTATATATTTCAAAGTGTGCTTTTGATGTTTGCAGAGCCGCAGCAGCGGCGGCGGCAGCGGCGGCATGGAGTGCGGTGTGGCGGCGGCGGGCGCATTCCCTGCGCGGGCACACCCTTCCCACCCTGCGCACCCCACGCACCCCGCGCTCTCGCCGACCGAGCGCTCGCCGGCGAAAGCCGGTCTACATGTTAATTTCAGTGATAAAGGCGAGGTAAACGGATGGTGCCATCAGAAATAGAAAAAACTGTAGAGACTAGTTTAAATATAAATACCTGACCAAAACTACCCAACCAATAATAACGCAATAAAATTTAATAATAACTCTACATAATGAAAAAATTTACTTGTTTGCAGTAACACGAAAATTTTAGAAAATACTGATAAGTTTGTTATGAAAAAAATTATTACGTAATTTCAGGTGAAGGAGAGACGAGAAAAATTTCTAACGGCCAAGTATGGCAGTCACCAGATGGCTCTTATTCGCAAGCGCCTTGCGGTCGAGATGTGGCTCTACGACGAGCTGCAAAAGCTCTATGAGACACCTGTAAGTTGCACTCTAATACACATCAAAACAAAAATGTATATAAATGAGGATCAGTACAGTTATAGCAAATTTCATAGAACTAGTATCCACGTTATTTTATAAGACATAAGAATGATATATCTTTTTGAATTATCTAAATCGGACCACAACTTACGAAGACATTAAGTAATAAACATTACGCCGTTTCTGCCGGCAAAATCCATGTACGCGGGTGCGTGTGACGTCACTGTGACGGTCCGAACGTTGCCGGCCCACCGCCCGGGCCTCTTACTTCACAATTTCGCGACATAATATAAATAAAAGTATAGTAATATAATAACGTAATATAATATAAAAGTATAGTAATTACTTATTTCGTGTTTTTTCAAGTGTGTTTGTGATATTTAAATATATTTAGAAAGTATCTACATCTATACATATAATAAAATTCTAAGTTGAATTTGTACATTAAATATTTTTTGGAAAATCTTATTTAAATAGACATTATTATCGATACTAGCGAAGTTCACTGCGTGGGCGGTGAACTTCGCTAGTAATTTCTTCATAACTTCGTCAATTTTTGTCGTAGAACAAAAAATTTTGCACTGTATATTAAGGATTTCTTAGCTCTATAAATCTGCATTCTCAACTAAAAACGTTACAGATCCTCATATAGCAGTAAAATTTTAACGTTTATAGTTTGTCCATTTTATTAATAGTTTTTTTGACAGCTCGACGACTGACAAGTTATAGTGATGACCTAAAGGACGTAATAATCGATATCGCTTTTTTTTGTAAAAATTATAATATAATATTTATTTTCATATTTATGAATATGAAAAAAATATTATAATCGTAAAAATTACAAGACGTCACTCGCAACATAAACCGACCGTCCGTCCGGCCGCCATTTTGACGTAGTCTGTCACTCGCAACAAACGCCCATGCAGGTCACACTCATTTATGTTCGCTGAGTGTTCTCTCGCCTTTGTTATACCTCGAGTTGAGTAGTTTTATTGCTCGGTGCAACTTTTGGGAGTGCTTAGATTGGGCTGAGTACATTGATCGTGAAAATGCTGAATGGACGTGTGTTGAAAGGACAATCGAGACAATTAGTGCTACAACTTCATGATTACTTTGAATAAGAAAATCAAAATGGCGGTCCGCTTATACCTATCTCGCAAGTGCGAAACCGAGTTGCGGCCGCGTTGGGTATCAGTCTTACAACTGTGACTAAAATCACTAGCGAAGCCTACGGCAGGAGCGGCTTAGAACAAAACAAGCCTTTTACACCAAAAAGAAAACACCGGTCTCCTGATGTGACAGCAGTTGATGATTTTGACGCTGAAGCCATTCGTTGTCATGTATATGATTACTATCTGAAAAAATAAATTCCAACTTTATGAAAACTTATTGTTTCTTTGAAAAGAAGTAGTCTATTTCGTGGCCAAAAAGGCCAAAGTTATGAAAAGAATTGGCTTTTCGTATAAAAAATCAGATAAAAGGAAAATATTAACGGAACGCACTGATATTGCTTTGGCACTATGTGAATTTTTAAGAGAGGCAAAAATACTTCAAGATTGGAATATTGTCTTTACGGATAAAACATAGCTCAACGCTAACCACACCGTATCCCGATCCTGTACTGACGACACTGCTGCTTCCACCCCCGCAGTACCAATTGGAAAAGGCGAAAGCCTCATCATTTGCCACACAGATACACCAAAAGGTTTTGTACAAGACGCACTGCTGGCATTTAAATCAAAGAAATCTGGCGATTACCACGAAAAAATGAATGTGGAGGTATATGAAGAGTGGTTCAAGAACATGCTTCTATCATTGGAAGAACCATCAATAATTTTTATTGATAACGCTCCCTACCACTCTCGCCAAATTGACAAAATGCCAACGCAAGCCAATAAAAAACATGAAATTATTAATTGGCTACGCGAAAATGGAGAATATGTGGACGATTCCATGTTAAAAATATTAAAAACCAAAAAGAAACCGAAACGGTATGTGATCGATGAAATGGCAGCAGAATATGGTCATAATATCGTCCTTAGGATTCCTCCATATCACTGCTAATACAACGCCATAGAACTTATATGGGCACACGTAAAAGGCCATGCTGCAAGAAACAATACAAGCCCCCCATTCACAGTGAATAAAATGTTGCAATTACTCAAAAACGCTTGCACCCACGTGATGGCCGAGAACTTTGAAAGTGTGGTGGAGAGAACTAAGAGAGTCATAATGTCTAATTGGGACCGTGAAATTGCAGTTGATAATTTATGCACACAAGAGCTAAATCATTGATATTACTGAAGACTCTTAGGACGAATCTAGTATAAATAATGGTTCTGATGACTAATGTTAATAAAAGGAATTAAACTATTTTAGTTGTTTTATTTTGAATGCCTTATACTAAGAAAAAAGTTAAACTTTATATAATGTTAATATTTTAATTTATCGATTTCAACTTTAAAATTTTGTTGTCTTCCTGATTAAATAACATATTACACTTTATTTACATATTAGCATTTATTTCTACCGATTATGTGTAATCTGTGGCACAATCGTAGTAATCGTTATGCGTGGTACATCTCTAAGGGGGCGGTACCCGTCCATGAAGTACAATATTATTAGTATGAAATTTTAACTTAAACAATACGAAACTTCATGGCCGTGAGCTGTCAATTTTTTTTAATAAAATGGACAAACTATAATTATTAGTATATAGAGTACACTTTTAGTCTAGGGTTGTAGGGACCAAATAAATGAGCCCCGTCGTTGTTAAGTTGATCACCCAACACGGCCACCATGGTTACGCTTGTCAACTCGCTACGCCGCAATCAATGATATTACTGATATTACTGTTATCATTATTTATATCTTCTTGGCACGTGACGACGGCAAGAGATTACACAGAATGTTGTAGGTAACTTGCGTAGGGGGTTTTTATAATTTATAATTATCGTAAATCGTACTTAAATTAAACACAGAATTATTAGCTACATGCTATACAGACGGCGCGCGGCTTCGGGAGAAGCTACTAGCCAAATATAACCGAAAAACGCCGTCGAGTCTTTCGGCGCGCAGCAAAAAGTGTTGGAAAAAAGTCTTATCACACTTTTTTTGGTCTAGCGCTAGCCCCCATCCACTCAAAGCGTGTAACGCGCGATAAGGAGCTTCGTTCTGTTATACCCCTTCGCTGTATGGGTTATTGCTTATTTATGTTATAGCCCTACTAGCTATCATCATTTTGTACTCTATATATATGTCCTTTAATTTGTATTAAGTTAGTTCGAGAGTATCGTCGGTCGAGAGCACTAGCTCTTAATATCCCATATATATTGTATAAATAATTAATAAAGTTATTAAAGTGTTTTCAGTGATAAATAAATCTTTTTTTTTTTAAAAAGGGTCTTATCCAGGGACCCATAACAATTGGTGGCAGCGGTGGGATAATAATAATCCCAGGGGGTTATAATAATCACGGATACCCCAGGATTATACGAAAATTCTTGTGCCTTAAATGACCGCGAACTCTCGGCTCCGCGTAACTTCAAATAAGTGGGGAACCACCATAAGTGAAAAGTTGTGAAAATTTGTGAAAAGCTATAAAAGCTGTGAAAAGTGTTAGTGAAAATCCAGGTTGTCCACCAGAGAGTGAGACGCCTACGTCTACTGGCAGAGGACCTAGTACGTGTGCCGTGTTCGTCTCCCGTCCGGAACGACGCCAGGTTTTGAACCTGTGACCACTGAGCTGGCGGGCATACAAGGTCTGGCCTTATCTACAAGAATGCAGCTCGTCGCCACCCGCGTCGTGTTCGTGTTACTTGTGGCCCACACGTGAGTGATAGATAATATTACAATCAAAACAATTACTGGAAGTTGCGCGTTAAAGACAATATAATATATTATTATCAATTTTCTATTTTAAACAATTGTTATTCTGACGAATATTTTATTGAAACAAAAGTTATAATACTTTATACTTTATGAATATTTAATACTGATTTATTATTTTTCTGATTGTTCTGTTTATTTTTATTGATTTTATATTTTGATATATTTACAATATAATATTAATTTGTAACAAACTATCCAGATCGAGTGATAAAATAATTTAAAAATGGCAAAAAAAAGTTGATATCCCAATAGTTCCGCTTACTGACGGAGAAAAAGCGCCTTCACCCGCCGTGTCTAAAACGGAAAAGAAATATATAAATGAAATTGATTTAAATATTCTTTTGAAATTTATTAAACCCTATGACGGATCTAGGGATACAATTAATTCTTTTCTAACAAATTGTAATAACGCATACGAACTTGCATCTGAATCACAAAAACATATATTATTTAAATACATTTTGAGTCAACTACAAGGCAAGGCTGAAATAGCAGCCTCAATAAAAGATTTTACATCCTATGACCAATTAAAAGATTTTCTAAAAACTCAATTTAGTCAAAGGAAACATTATTCTCATTTAATAAGCGAATTACAGGAATGTAGACAAACATCTGTGGAAAATGTCACACAATTTTCTATTAAAATTGAATCTATCTTATCTCAACTTTTGACAGAGATTTCTATGAATCCTACTAAAAAATTAGAGATTCCAGGCAGAACAGCTGCTATGGAGGACCTAGCCCTCCACCATTTCTTGATGGGTCTCCACCCACGCATATCGAATATAGTTAGGTGTAGATCGCCTAAAAATTTAAATGAGGCCATTAGTTTAGCTATTTCTGAAGAAAAAATTCAGAAAACATTATATAAAAAGGCGGAAAATTTTGAAAAACCTAATAAAGTAGATAAATTTACAAATAGTAATAATTTTCATAGAAATAATTATTTTAATAATGTACCCAGGCGGGTTAATCAGTATAGGTCTTTTAACCCTTTGCAGCGTTATCCTAATAGTGCGCCTACCACATTTACTCCAAGACCTCCTCAAGGTCAAGGACAAGTTAGTCAATATAATCGACTTACTAATAACTCCAGGCCTCAATTT